CTCAAAATAGATTTAAAAATTAATTGTGACTGCACACAAGGAAGCTTCCATAATATGTCAACTCCTGTATATTCAGGTTTCACTTTCTCACAGTTTCAGCTACTGTAGGTAGCTGTAGTCAACCTTAAAATAATACATATAATATGTGAAGAGAGACCCCCACATTCTGGCAACTGTTGCATGCTGTCATTGTTAATTATTTTATTTTGTTACTAGTTCTTTTGTTACTAGTTATTTTGTGACTTTGTGAATGTTACTGTACATAATTTATTAATTGCACTATCATGGGTATAGGTATATCTATATAGGGAAAAATGCTATGTAGAGGGTTCTGTACTTTCTCTGGTTTCAGGCATCTGTTAGGGATTTAAAATGTTTCCACTTTGTATAGGGGGAGACTATTATAATAAGGAGTTTGGGAAAATTCTAGATTATTAACCATATCCATGTACCAGGAATATGATGAACCCCAGACTCTACAGAAGCTCTTGTATTTGGTACCTTCCCGGACTTGTCCTTCTTCATCTGACTTTTTCTTTGTATCCCTTATCATAACCTTTAACAGAGTGGGGAACTTAAATGCTTCTCCTTCAGAGCTTGTCCTGTGCTATGGCTGATCATCTGTATCCTTTATTATTATACCTAAGCGTTACAGACTTAAGAGTTTTGCTGAGTTCTGTGAATTGCTTTAGCAAATAACTTAATGTAGACCTCTGTAACCTATGGAGGTATACCTGTGCTGAGCATCTGAAGTAGAAGACAGTCTTGAGGGACTGACCTTTCAACCTATGGGATTTGATAATTCTTCCAGGTAGATGGTGTTAGAATTGAGTTAGATTGTAGGACACAGTTGATGTCACAGAATTGGTTGGTGTGGTTAAAAACCTTCCTTCAAACCCAACAGTTTGTTGGAAATGTTACGAGTATGATATTAGTGTTAGAATAAGGGAAAAATACAGTAGGCAGTCTAGTTATTGTTTGTCTCAATGTCAGAGATTGAAAACATATGCTCTGAGTCTGTGTTTCATACCTTAATTCCTTTTGCCCTTTTTCTTTTAGTTGGACATAGTAATTACTTCACTTTTTTCATCCCATCTCCCATTTTGGTTTAATGTAATTTTTTCTATATGTATGTCAGTCTGTTTTGAGAAGTCATTATGATGTAAAAAGTTATAACTGTATTTCTTCCATTCCATTTTCCCCTTCTTTGTAGGTAACAAACTGTACTGTTCCCTGCTTTTATATTTCCTGGTTTTTTTTAGAAATACTAAGCAGATACATGTACTTTTTTCTTATTTTCCTTACTCCTTACACAAACAATAACATTATAGATAGTGGTTTTTTCCTTTGCTTTTCTCCACTTAATAGTATCCCCCAAAATCTCTCCATGTTAATTCATAGATCTTTGGTATATTGTCCACTGCCATAGTCCAGTGTGTATCTTTCCTCTCCCTACCTCGTTAGCAGCATAGCAGAATTTTTGATTTAGTATTTACGTATTCTTGAAAAGATAAAGCAAAATGCAAATATGGTTTGACTTATTAATGTATCCTATATTTATACAGTCAAATAAGTTGTTATTTAATGTCTGTAGTCAAGAAAACTTTTGTTATAAACCCCAAGCATAATTCTCAACTCACAGTGTGGTGTATAGTTCATTTATATCCTTTTCACCTCTTTCCCCACCCCCCATCTAGGAGTTTCATTGCTGTTCACTAAGTTGTATTTCTGAGAGAAGAAAGTGAGGACAAAATGAGAAAAAAGGAAATACTATTACTTCAGCTTTCTGCAATTCAATAAAAATCAGTTATTTTCATTTGATTTAAAGTTTACTAGGGCTAGAAGTAGATATCTTTGCACTTTCTAGTATTGGCATGGAGGAAAAGCCAAATGACAGATAGGGATACAGCAGCAGCAAAAGAACAAGAGCAATCCAGAACTGACAGAGTCTGTGAATAATAATGTGATAATTGGATTTTAAGTTGACATCTTGCTCTGTACAGGGTTAAGTGTTTACTTCCAGGATAACTACATTTGTCAACTTTGCAAATGCTCAAAACTTGTATTAAACATTGTATGAGGTCCTTTAGTATTAACACAGACTTAATGGAGGAAAATTTGGAGTCATAAGTGACAAAAACAGTTGCAACACAATTTCTAAAAGTAAGCCAGATAAGTTTAGGTATAACAAAAGGAAAACATGACTGTGTTTCTGTGTGGTTTTTTTTTTTTAAAGATTTATTTATTTGTGCATACAGAACTGGGGTACAGGCCAGAGGCTCAGGGGCAATGAGAGGCTTCACCAGAGACAGAGTGGGGAACAGAACAGGCCGATCGACGAAGTACACTGCTGAGGGGAGCAGCGGGCGGGTCAGGAGAGGTCTGCCACACCATGTGTTCACCTCCGGGGCAGGCGGGAATTGAACTGATGCTGAAGCAGCTTTAGATTCTCAGTGCTGTGCTTTAACCCGCTGCGCCACCAGGGAGGGCCTCTGTGTTTTTTTTTTTTAATATTCCAGTTAATAGAAACTGCAAAGAAATTGTCTAAAGAGGAGGAAATCTAAATTATAGATACACAAAATTTATTATGTTATTTTGGGAAAAAATGACAGTATCTGATCAAAATTTTATATTGAGGACAAAACCAGTTTCAAAGATTCTAAGCCAGAGTAGTATGAATGGAAATTTTTCTCAAGATAGATTAGCTTTGAGAATTTATACTTCGTAATAGTACCATGACAGACCTTATGATCCTATGGTGGATATTTATATAGATGAGCAAACATCATGAGACTTTTGTTTACTGAGTCAATTTTTTTCCATAATTTGATATCATTGCAACCAATTGTTGTTCCCAATTTCTTTTAGGAAATTTCCACCATGTTTAACTAGGTAAGGCCTTGTGGTACCATGGAAATAGCCCTAGACCAAGAATCAATAGACCAGGTTCTCAAACTCACTATGCCACTGAAGAGTTTACTCAACCTTTTTGGTCCTCAATATTTCTGTCTGTAATATGAGCAATTTATTTTTGTGTTCTCTCAAGTCCCTCTTCTAATACTTTTGATAGTTGTTTTATTGCCAATATTGTACTACCTATAATACAATATTGTACTGGACTATAATACATGAATTCTAGAAGAACAGCCTTGTAGTCTGTAATGGCGGAAATTCCTGTGATTGGGAAGTGAGGGGCGATAACCCCAAAAGAATTTTGGCTTGAAAGAGTTCTGTTAATTTTTTTGTGAAAATTATGGTAATAAAAATTATATATTATATAATTACATGTATAATTATATAATATATAAAGGATTTATATATAGATGGATAGATAGAAAGGATAATGTTTTTGTTTCAAACATTAAGTAAAGTAACCATGCATATTTAGGAAGTAAAGAGGAAGCTGAGTTATTAAAACTTGGAACTTAGGATGGAAAAACAGATTATGATAACTGTTTTATTGTCAATATTGTACTGCTGCTGGACTATAATACATGAATTCTAGGAGAAGAGCCTTGTACTCTGTAATGGAGGAAATTCCTATGAATAGGAAAGGAGTGGAGACAACCCCAAAAGAGTTTGACTTGAAAGAGTTCTCTTAATTGTAAAATTCACTAAAAATGTTTGACGATTTGTGAACTTTTTATTTATTTATTTTTGACTATAATAGCTATTTTTAATTAAATACTTTATTCCACAGGTATTTATAAAACAGACTCTTCAGAATACAGGGGGACAGGATGCCCTTGAGCCTTACCTTTTGTCTTGAAACTTACCTCCTAGTAATGAAAGAGGGCAATTTAAAAGATATTTATAAATTGTGACATGCTATGAAGAAATATAAACAGTAATGTGACAAGAAGTAATGAGAGAGGGAAAGAGAATGCATGAGAATGACTGGGAATGCAGATCTGAATGATTAAAAGAAGCTAACTAGGCAGTGCCCAGGTAGAAAGAATGTACAATAGATAAAATACCTTGAGGTAGAAAAAGATTGAAATGCCCAAGTAACAAAAGAATGCAGAATTGGGACAAGAGTCATTGAGAGAAGGGTGACTTGATAATGGTTTGAGATTTCAACTATGGTGAAGTGAAGTGTTGAGAATTTATTCAAAGCGCAGCAAGGAAACTATTGAAGGGAATTGAAGCGGGGAAAAGCACTTGGTATAATAAACATCTTTAAAAGATCACACTTGTCCAGCGCCATCCATGTTGCCGCAAATGGCATGAGTTTATCATTTTTGATTGCTGAGTAATGGTCCATTGTGTGTATTCACATCTTTTGATCCAGTCATCTGTTTTTGGGCATTTGGGTTAATTCCACATCCTCCCTTAGTGAAATAAGCCAGAAAGAAAAAGAAAAACACCAAATAGTTTCACTCATAACAAGACTGTAAAAGGTTGGAAAAAAAATTGTAATTAATTAAAAGTAATAACTAAAATCAGCTAACAACTATAAACCAGAGACATTCTATGGGGGAGGAGGTGGAACCAGATCAAAACTGGGGTGGGAAGAGCACACAAGACTATGATGATGACACATGGCTGAACTGGTTGTGGGAAGTCCATGGGAATTACAACTGAGATGAAAAAATGAAGAACGATGTAAAAAAGTACATATATTTTTAAAACACTAGAAAAAAAAGATCATGCTTGTTTGTGTGGAAGTCAGTAGGGGGAAGTAAGAATGGAAGTAGTCAGGCTATTCACGGTAGTGCAAGAAAAAGATTATAGTAGTTAGGTAAGAACACTAGCATTCAGTGAAGATGGAAGAGGTGACCAGAGTAGATATATTTTATAGATAGAATTGACCAAGTTTCCTACTGGGGTTGCATATAGCAGAGAAGGGAAGTATTTCCAAATAATGTAGATTTTCTTAAAAAAGAATGTTTAAAATTAATCTTTTAAAACATAACTATTAATGGTGTTATTCCACGCAATTCTTTTTTTCTTGACAATGTTATCATTTTTTATTCTATTTTTTTCTTTCTTTTTTTTAGGCTTATGCATCTGGATGTGACATTGTAATACTTGGAAGTGACTTTGAAAGATTACAGATAATCCCAGGAGCTAAACATGGAAATATCCAAGTGGGATGTGTAGATTGTTCAATGCAACAAGGCAAGGTTAGTAACCTTTTCATAGTAGGCTATTTATTTTGATTATGGCTTTGTCAAGATAGTCTTGTGCCTTTCCTATTGAATTATGCTTATTTTTCTTTAACATCGGTGTACATACAAATTTCTTTTATTCTAGAGCTTAGTAGGAGTTCTGCTCTTACATAATTTTAAAATGTAGCATTAACTTCTCCATAGTTGTTGACAGACATATAGTACTGCATACACAATAGGCAAAGCTTATGTAAAAATTGATAGGATTGAGGAAAAGAAATGACAATTTGTTTCTAAATAAACTATCGAAGAGAAAAAAATTGTAGGAGGTATTCTTACAAGGTAGTAATTTTGTAAATTCTGAATAAACTGCAAAAGTGAAGATTAAACTATTCTGAAGTTGTTAATTTTTTATTTATTCCAAGTCTGTAAGGAAACTCTTGGCTGGACTTCTGTTTGCATATGAAATTTAAAAAGTAACCTTGAAAGTAAAACAACAATGACAATAACAGAAACAAGTCATATGATTGTATGTCAAGTTAAAATACAATTCTACATAGACCCAGCATTGGGAGTCAGTTAATAGGCAGCATAATATGTAACTTAAAATAGCTCCATAAAGGCATAGTTGGCCAGTCTGGGTAAGTTATATCTTGAACTGGGCTAACCTATGCAAATGAATTTAATTTTTTGCTAGATCTTTAAATATATCATATGACGATATGATTCCAGTAGTACATTTTGTGTGAGGAACCAAAGTGTATGCAGTCCTTCTCTTTTTTAGTTTAGTCATTTCTAATAAACCTGTCAGAATTATTTCTTAGACTTAGTTTAAAGATACTAGTTTTTGCTTTTGTGCTCTTTATCTTTTTGTTAGTTTTTTTTTTTTTTGGGGGGGGTAACTTCTTTAACTCCCTTATTCCCTTTAATATTGTTCCAAGTGTTTCTCTCTTATCTGTTGTTCATGACTTTTATTTTCTCTGTTCTAGTAAAATGATTTTTATTGCAGCATGCTAAAAGTGCTTGAGACATTTCCCCCTCCTTCATGTCTGCTTGCTCTCCTAGCTCAATCGTTCTGCCATCTTTAGTATTGTATAAACAGTTTGTTTATGCCATCTAGATTCATAGTGCTGGTTAACCTTGGAAATCTAATTTTAATAATTTCCAGTGAAAGCTATATTTTTGTGATAAAATAGGTTACATGACAACTGAGATTTAAATGAAGTAATTTGGCTTTCTAATAAAAGGCAACTGTCATTTGTTTTGTAGATAAAAGAATTTTCTCAGGTGTCAGGAAAAAAAAAATTGTAGTTTCTCATACCTGGGGAACTTGTGTTTGCCTTTAAGAAGAAAACTGTTTGACATGATGGGCATTGTGTTTTTTTTTTATTTGTTGTACTACAAGATTAATTTTCTTGAGAAAAATCACCTGCATTTTTTTTTATTAGTCATTTGCTTAAAAACAGTCTTAGTTGTCCATTACTTTGGAAGAATTCAAATTGTCCACCTTGTCAAGATCCTCTGCACTGTGGCTCATACCTGCCCTTTTGGCCTTGTGTCTGTTATTATTAAGAGGGAAACTGTCTTTTATCTGGGCTGATAGTCAGTGGCTTCTAGATGTGTATTCTTTTAATCTTTACATACTATGTCATATTTTTAAAACTGAATGTTTACTACCCTTTGAAATCCTGCCCACATTCAAATGCCCAAACTATATCCCAGACCACCTCCAGGCAGAGTTGCCTCAGAATACTTTGAAATGGCTTTTTCCCATATGTGTATTACATCCTCATTTGTTAACCCCTCTTCATTAGCTTAAATGTTACTATTTTTATTCCTACCTCCTTTACTGTATCTGTTCTTCTGTTTGTCTGTTCGATTTCTGGTATTTCATTGTCCTTCATTTGTGACTCATTCAAGCTACAATAGTAATTAAGCCTTAAAAAGAGAACTAGCGACTACTATGCTCCATTCATTTAAAGTGATATTTACAGATACTCAAATAAAATAAAGTATTAAAAAAATACACTATTTAGGGAATTCCCAAAGGAATAGTTCTAAGTTTCAGTTTTAGAAACTTACATATATCCTGACAAAAGTATAAACTTTTAAGGACAGGTAGTACAAAAAACTGATTTTAAAATTGTGTTAGAGTCCATACTTTACAAGACCACCTTTGGTACATTTTGTTCAGGAGGAAGGAAATTAACATTTTACAATGCATCTTATATAGTTACAAAAGTTTCACAAAATTTGTAAAATTTATACATAGAAATAATTTCAATACTCGAAAGACCCTATTAGGAGATAGTACTATGCATACTATAAATACAGATAAAGAAACAAAGGTTTAGAAAGATTAACTTGCTGGGTACACAGCCAGTAAGTGACAGTATTGGTATGCTGACCCATAAGTATTGGTTTCTAACACTGACATTCTCAACTATTGAAGAAAGAAGTTGTGTGTGGGTGTATTTTAAGTTATAGTATTCATTTCTTTTGTCCTTTTGTTCACAAGTTAACATATCCATAAGGTTTTTTTTTTCTTTTCTTTTTAAAAGATTGCAGCATCCTATGGAAATGTTATCTCTGTTTTTGAACCAGTTAACCTACCGAAGCAAAAGAAAAATTTGGTCAGTAATTTATCATTTTTCTTTTAGGAATTGAAATGTCTTAAGTATTAAAAGTTACTATTTTAAATAGTATAAAATCAGTGTACATCAGGAAATCGTCATGTATACATAATTAGAGATACAAATTAACACCATTTCCATAATAAAAATGTATTTAAGTGTTTCATTGCAATAAAATTGAACATTATTGTGATGATGACTTACCTTGTAATGTTTTACTCTTCCTTCTAATGTATTTCACTTATGATGAAACTTTGAAAAGTCAAAAACTTTAGGTTTGGCAGTTACTTCTATGTTAGTGACAAATATTGCCTAATCATAAGGCCACTTTTTTATTGTATGGCCTCTCTCATACGGTTTTCTGCCTTTTAAAAATGCATTTTGTTTTTAAAGTTACATGTTGTAATTGTAGAGTCTTAGAATACTGCTAAGATTTATTTTCTTGCAATTGTTTTATGTCATTGTTAACAAGTTACTGAGTTTCTTTTATTTACAAAGATTATATTCAGAAATAGTTCTGAAAACTGGTTAAAATATTAAGGAGTGGGCAGATGCTTTAATCACCCTTAAATCTAGCAGACAGACCAGGTTATTTTACTTGTTTCTCCTGAAGATTAAACTAGTGCTATAAGTAATTTCAAAGATAGTAGTGTAGATTAAGAAATATTTCATTCAGTGTCATAAGATTGATTTCTTTCTTTTTTTGTTGTCTAGCTATTTGATCTGAAGCAAGTCAGTTTTATTGTACTCATTGCTTAATTCTGAAATTGACTAATAGCTATTCATGGGGAAAATATAAGGAGGAAATCGTGTTAAAAGCTGTGTGAAAATATGGTAAACATAAAGTAAACTTTTTTTAATAGACATATTTTTAATGTACCTCTTAATAACTTTCATCCTATTTATACTTAGCTTGTTATAAGTATCTAACAAATTCCCTCTTAGTTTGGTAGCTGGTTGTTTTTTGCAAATTCAATTATTTTTTAATAAATCAGGCATCAGACCACAAAACTAAAGTAAAAAACAACAACACACACACAAAATATATATATTGTTTACCTTACCTTGTTTTTGATGAAAATAATTTCTCTGGGTTAACCGACAACATTTTTAAATTTCATGTAGGGAGAGTCCACAGTTCTCTCTTGATTACTATTTCTGTTCATATATTACTTAATAATCTAATATTAGAGAACCTTATAACCTTCTGAATTAGTAATTGATGGTAGTGAGAATAATTTTTAAAGATTGTTGCTCCATTCAGGGCAATGTTTTGCAAAATAATAAACTGACTTTTATTGAATGAACTGACTTTTCAAAAAACTGTTAAAATGCCTTTCATACTAAGGGCAGAATCTAGAATATCATTTTTGGTCTATTTTCCTATGTTATAATTGCTTAATATAATAGTGTCAGTACTTAGAAGAGGCATTTTAATTGGTAGGGAGCAGTGACTTTGGGGAAGAGTTGAAAAAACTTGATGAATAAGGAGAAAACCAGATCAACATAAAGTATTATAGACTTGAAAGCTACACACAAATCTGTAATTCCAGATACAACCTCAAAGAATATTTAGACCTTTGTTAAAAAAAGATACTTCCTTCTCTTTGTACATTCTGGAAGATTATTCTTTTAAGATGATGGATACTTATATATGAGGAATACACTTCAGAATTAGTAGTTGATATATGTGTCAGATTCTTTGCTGGGGAAGTTTAAGCCTGCAGTTGTGCTGAGGACCTTTTGTATATCTAGTTTTAGAAAGGGTTCTACTGTGTACTGCTATTGAGAGCTATTACCAAAAGGCAGTATTCATAAAAATGTATTCTTCAAATAACCTTTGTCAAAAATCACTTGGGGGTAGTGATTTAAAGTGCAGATTCCTGTGTCCTGTCTTGTTTCTTTTGTGCCTGAAACTTTATGCAGGCATCTCAGAATTTTGAACTTGTAGCAAACTTCTCAGGTTGAACTTGTATTAAGTATAAGAACCTTTACATTAGGAGAGTGTTTTGGGGTCTCAATCTATTAGTGGTTCATGAAATCAACTTAAATAGGCCACAGTGGTCAAAAAAAATTTTTTTTGAGAAGTATTGCTTTAAGGAGTGAAAGACCTTAATGATAAAATATTGAAAGTGTTAAATCACTTATTCTGAAATTTTACAGATGTATTATGATTTCAGGTGGGGATGAAACATTAAAAGGAAGCCACATATAACAAAGACAAAGACATTTAAAACTAAACCTTTGTAACTATAATAATGTAGTAAAGTAATAATAATAAAGTAATATTACAGTTTTAAACAACAACATAAGGTATATTGTCCAAAGTGGGATACTGATTTGTTGTTTAAATATATATGAAATAGACTTTCGGATATGTAAGAACGGTCATTCTCTTACTGATTTCTAACACATACTCTTTTCTTATTTTTTGGATTGAATTGGGTATTTTTTCCCTTAAAAATGACTATTTATTATTGAGAGTAATACGGATGTGTATATTTGATAGAGAAAAGATATAATGGAGAGTGACTAATTTTTTTTTTTTCAATTTTAGGAATTATATAGTCAGTGGCAGAAAAGTGGACAGTTTTTTTTGGAGTCAATAGCACACAATATAACTTGGGATCCCACAGGTAAGAAAAGGGAGGATTAGCTGAAATGAAATACCACTTGCTGAGGCTGTTGCTTTCATGTATTTCAGTTCTGCTTTTTGTGAGATTGTGTTGATCATGAAAATAAGCTGAACAGATTGTGTATTTTTAGAGCTTACAGAAATGAAGGCCAAAAATGCACTATCAGAAGAATATGTACTGTCCTGGAAGGACATTATTAATTGTCTAGAGAATCAAAATTCCATGAGAGAGGAACATTTGACGTGATAATAGATAGATACTTAGTAATGACCAATGGAATAGCATAGCGAAGAAAGGAATGAATTCCAAGTAAGGAATGTATATATCTGTTAATTATTTCTCAATTTAGCCAATCCACCACACAGATATAAAGAGAGAAGTAAAGATAAAGTCTGTTAGTGGTTAGTATTTTATTGAGGCAATAAAGAATTTGGTGGCAAGGAGATAGGATGCAGGTTATTATAGGAAGGCTTTAAAGCCCTGCTGAAGACTTTGTATGCTGAAGACTTTGTAAGCATGTCTTTCTAATTATCTAAAAACTATTACAGACTTGTAAAGCTAGCTATTGATAAGCCAAGATTTATGGTTTTATAAGATTTGTTCTTATTAATAACTTAGTTCAGAGAAAACAGGATGTTTTAGACATGTAAGTTCTAAGATTGATGTTTATTAATTGGAAATCACTGTATTTTTTATGCATACAGTGAAAATGAGATGAGACTTGGATTCAGGTTTGGCATTTAGCTAAGTACTTTGCATGTAACTCTTGTATGTATAAGATTAACTATATCCCAATTTATGAGTGCTGTCCCCATGATTTCTAATAGTGCCACTTTCCTATCACCCAAATGTATTTATTTGGATGGTAGATTATGTGGTTACTCTATTATAATACCATGTTCTACTAGCTTGTTAACTTGGTTTATTTTTTTAATTAGAAAAGGGCCAGGAATCTGTTCTCTTTAGTAATTTGTCTTTAGGATTCTAGTATAAATTAGACTTTTAGTAAATCTTCACGTATATAACTACCAAGTTTTGTGGCCATGACTTAATAAATTAAGAAGGATTAATTCACTTATGAGTTAAGATTTCTTTTTAATGACCAGATATGACAATGTTGAAAGTATTTGGTAAATGATAGCATCCTGTAAAAACATTGTTAACAAGTGAACTGGCTACTTTGATTGTAGTCAATAGAAATATGGATTCTAATATTTGGGAACTATTAGTGTATTGTTACTTTCATAAATGAATTTTGTAATGTGAAATTCTTAATTATTTTAAGTGAAATTGTAGTATTTTAATTTTGATCTGTCTCTGCAGTATCTTTCTAAAGTATCTTTGTGTACTAAAATTTTTGAATATATGGTGAAAGTTATAGCTCCTAAAATTGCATACATAGGTAAATTTTGCAGATTGTTTCAGTGGAGGGAGGCTTACAGAATTCTTTCAAGTTTTATCTGTTGATATCCTTTCTCCAGTTGAGATTCTTGTTCTTAAATACATTTAAGAATATAAACATCTCCCTGCTTTAACTTCTATCTGCCTATAGCAAAGTCCAGACTTCTTATGAACTTCAAAAATGCTTTACAATCTGATACCAGATTATTCCAAACTCATTACTTTTTCTTTCTCTTCTATATGCCTTATTCCTCAGCCATATATGATGACACCTTCTTAGGAATATAGTTGAACTTGTATTCATTCATGCCTCTGTACATAATATTTCTCTACTAGAATGTGAGCTCATCATGAAACAGAACGGTGTTTCATTTGTTAGTGCTTAGCACACTGCCTGGCACAAAAGTACTCATTAAGTGTTTGTTCTTCTTTCAAAGCTGCTACAACAAAATTAAAAGATACTCTCTCTTTCCTTCCTCCAAATCTCTGTCATTTGACCTTTTTATAAGCTGTATTATCTTTTATATATACACTTTATTATATGTTACACTATATATTTATATTTTAAGTGTATGTAAATTTTTATTGTTTTATATTATATATAATTTACTATATACTTACAAAACATGTTTATGTATAATAAATTCATTAAGATTAAAGTGCTTATAAATTTATAAAATATTTATAAGTTTATTATAAATATTTGTATTTATCTTATTATATAAAACTTTTGAGCATATTGTTTAACTCAATAAGTACCCGAATTACCAGTGTGAATTATATCTATTTATATACACACACATATGTATATATGTGTGTGTGTATATATATATATATATATATATGTATGCATATATATATATATATATTTTATGTTTTCTAGGCAATCGTCTTTTAACTGGTTCTAGCTGTTTGCAACTGTGGTCCAGTGCGAACTTGGGGAAACCAACTGAAGATGAAAATCCAGATAAAGCAGATCTTAACTTTGGGGATTGGAGATGCATTTGGCATTGCAAGTAAGCAATTAATTCGGGTATTAAACTGATACAATTGCTCTTTGTGAATATATTGTATAAAACCACAGTAACATAAAACACTGAGTTTTTGTTATTTGGTGATATGCCTTTTTATTTATAGTGGATTCATTTCTCTTATTTTTATATCATTCTTTAAAATATAGTTGAATAAAATTACTAGGAAGAAACATATGCAACTTAGGCTAATGCCTTTTTTGAAAGGTCTTAAAAATTAATTAGGAAAACCCTGATTTAATAATAGTAAAAAAAGAATGAGCAGTGAGAAGTTTTCACATATCAATAAAAGATATAAATATACACACAGAAAAAGTTGATTGACAACTCAAAGTTAGGAAACATACCATGTCCTGAAAGAAAAGGGTTAACACTTATACGAGTGTTTGGAGACTATTGTGTATGGTTAATAGTGAAGTGAAATTGATATTCTCTTACTAGAGAGCAGTCTGGAACTGTGAATCAGTAGGTCTCATTTTCTGATTTTCTTTCATACCCTATAAATAGCAATTCCAAGTTTCATTCACTCATTTAACAGTTATTTTTTGAGTGCTTTGATACTCAGGCAGAGGTAAAGTCCTTGGAAGATGACAGTGAGCTGTTAGAGGTAGATAAAAACTAAAACAGTAAGTCACTGTGACAGAATGTTAAATCAGATTCTTCTGAGTCATTTTTATATACAGTGGTAGTAGGATATATAGATGACGAAGTGATAGAAAGATACATCTTCTATATGTGGGATTTACAAAGGAGATTTCAAAGGAACTGTGTAGTTTGTTTTCCTTTAGCTAGATCATGGACATTTAACAGGGAATATGACTTTAAAAGTAGCTATGTTTTATTGTATCACTATTTTCAATAGCCAATATATGGAAATGATCTAAATGCCCCCAAACAGGTGAATACATCAGAAAGATGGTGTGTATATCTACATTGGAATACTGTTATCAAAAAAGATAAACATGATATTTACAGCAGTATGGATGGAATTGGAAGGGATTATGCTAAACAAGATAGGTCATAAGGAAAAAGATAAATATCAGATGGTTTCATTTATACGTGGAATCACAGAACAACCAAAGAAAGGGTCAAACAATGACACTTTGAAAGCTGAACATAGACAAGAGACAGCCATGAGTGGAGGGCTTGTAGAAGGGTGAAACAGGCTTGTATGGGAAGAATGTAAGGAACTATCGTGAGACTGTAGATGATTTGCTGGTGGGAGAACTATGGTGGCCATAGAGGAGAAATCATGTATTGTCCAAAAATTAAATAAAAAATTAAAGGAGAGCTCTTTCAAACGGGCCCTTGCTTTGTTTTGGAGTGTTTAAGGCCAGAGAGAGAGAAGCCCACAGTGTTACAGTGCCTTCAGCACAGACCTTATAAGGAGTTTTGCCTGGGTTGAACTAAAAATTTGTTTCTGTGTTAGGAGAGAGAGGAATCTTGAATTAAAATCAGAGTATACAATAATAACTTGCACTAGACTTATTAGTTATTTATTTGAGACTATTTAAGTACAAAAAGCATGGGACTAGAAACTTTGCAAGTTTAAATTTTAAATTAGTTGAAGATTACACTTGCTTTCATAAGTGTAAAAACTTCATTATATGTGTGGTGTATTTAAAACACTGGTTATACAAGTTAGATGATGGAGTATAGAGGAAAAGTAGGGTAAAGGGAAGAAGAGTATAGGTATGAAGCAAGTGAGGCAGTAGGACATGTGTTCCTATCTCTGGAGAAGATTGTTCTAGGCAGAAGGAACATCAGGTGCAAAAACTCTGAGGTAAGATTGTGCTTATCTTGTACCTGGAGCAAAGTGAACAAGAGGAAGAAAAGTAAGGGATCTGATTTCAAATCCAAAGTCAGCTAGTAGGTTTTTGTAAGGTTGTCTTCTATTCTGAGTTGAGAAACTTGTAGATTCTGAGCAGAGGGAATGTTGAGATATGATTTCCAGTTAAAAGGATTGCTTTAGCTCTTTTTTGAGAAAAGACTGCAGAGGGCCACAAGAACACAGTTATGGAGACCAGACATTTTCATTGATTTGTCTTAAGGATGTACTTAGGATTAACCAGATACATTAAAGTATGTGTACAAGAATGTTTACTACTGTTGTACTCTTTTTTTGTAGCAATAAAGATGAGAAAGCATAAGTGAATTATTAAATCATTAACTGTGATTTAGTCAGTGGTTGACCTCATATGTCAAAATGGATTCTCTTTATGTGTGTATATATATCTAATTATGTTTATATAGTCTACATATGTGCTAGGCTGTGACATTTAAGGTTTTGTAATTAAAGTGAAAACATCTAACAACACACTACTCAAAATGAATCCCACTGTTAATCAATACATGACTGTGTATATGTATAATGGCGCAGCCAGTAAAATAATGTGGATTTATATACAATGATACACAAAGTGTTTGATGACATCTTAAGTAAATATTATAATTTACAAATAAAGTCATAGATACAATGTCAGTTTCATCCCCATTCCCCTCTGTCCCACATAGAAAGCAGAGAGGGAGAGTCAAGAGCCAAATCTGTAAGTCTGTGTATTAAAAAGGGTAACAGTGATTTTGCGTGGGTATCAGGTGTCATGATATTGGTTAATCTATGGATTGCACTTTCTTCTTTCCATTTATCTGTAATAACATTTTCTTTATGTATTTATTACATTTAAAATTGGGGAAGTCAGTTTATTTGGCATGAAATGTAACACAATTGTTCTTTGACCTGCTTTACAAATAAATTTAGGGGGGCCTCCTTGGTGATGCAGGGCTTAAAGTCTTAGTGCTGTCAGGTGATTGCAGCCATTGTGGCCTGAGTTTGAACCCAGGCCTGGGAGCTGACCCACATATGGTGCAGCAGGCACATACAGTGCGGCAGACTTCTTTTCATCTGTGCCCCCCTCAGCAGTGTACTTCAGCGATCTACCTTTCTGCTCCCTACTCTGTTTCTGGGGAATCTGCTCACCCTCAGCAATTCTGGCCTACATCTCAGTTCTTCTATGCCAATAATAAATAAATAAATTTGTTTTTAAAAAATGTATGATGAATAAGCATGAACTTGGTAAAGAAAAGGAAATCAGTGATAGGAAAGGTATTTTGAGATCTGCATATATGCATAGTTAGAGGGAAGGTCATAAAGAGAAATGAGCCAAAAATTGCAGAAGTAAAGGACTGTATGCATCCAGTATGTAGGTGCAGTCGACAGGCTGAATCCCTTGATTGTTGCAAGTTCTCTGTTAACCTATACATAACATTTAATTAGGCAAAACTTCTTAAAGGAGAATGCATTTAAAATACTGACTTATTGTCCATGAAGTGTATGTTGGAGTATATTACCTATGATTCTGGAAGTTAGATTTCCAGATTTAAAAATGAAAACATTTCTCTCTCATTCTCAGGGAATGAAAACAATGACTCTTTTGTCTTAGACTTTAAAGACTTTGAAAAGTTATTACTTGCATGGTTCTTTCTATAGTTATTTTTACATAAAATATAATTCTTGTTTAAAGTTTTGTTTCTAATTTTTATATTTATGAGTGAAACTTGTGTTATTACAAAATTCTATTAAGTGAAACAGTTTGCTGAATACAGGTTAAGAGAAGTAATACTATATTTTTCCTTGTTTAATTTTGCTTACCTTCTCTGTTTAATTTGCAGAACTGCTTCCCAAGTTTATTTAATGAAATTTTCACCAGATGGAGAATTTTTTGCCACTGCTGGGAAGGTAGTAAATGATAAAATTGCTATTGTTAAATTGTGTTTACTATTTGAATTTCTTTTTTTTTTTAATTTTTACTATATATATATAGTTTCCATCATTCTTTATTTTTGGACAGTGTATGCTCAGATATAGTCCATGTAAAATTTCTACCACCAATTCCGCTATGCACCATAACCACAGTTCCTTGTGCTTCTCCCTTCCCTTTCCTCATCCTTCTCCCTCTCCTGTAAAATGTCTCTGACTTATTGTTGCCTGTTTATTGATTTTTAATTTATTACAATTATGGTAATTTGTGTTTATGATTTTGAATTTTCAGAAGCATTAACTGAGTCTGTCTTGTACTTAAGCTGTAAATACTTTCTTATAAAAATTTTGAATATCAAAAATTGTTTAAATATTAAGAGTTAAAAGCTAGTAATATGCAATTGAAATAGCATAGATTTCTCGATCTGGATATAAATCTGTTATTTAATAACTTTTGAATTGAAGTAAGTAGGTAAGTAATCTCTTGGAGAGTTGATCTTAGTTATCTCTTAGAGTGTTGATCTTTTCATATGTAACTTTAGGATAATAACACCTACCTCACAAGTCATTTTTTTTAATAGTCTATTTTTTTTTTAATTTTTTTAAGATTTATTTATTTGTGCATACAGAAGTGGGGTACAGGCCAGAGACTCAGGGGCGGTGAAAGACTTCACCAGAGACAGAGTGGGGAGCAGAACAGGCAGATCAACGAAGTACACTGCTGAGGGGAGCAGCGGGCGGGTCAGGAGAGGTCTGCCGCGCCATGTGGTCACCTCCGGGGCAGGTGGGAATCAAACTCATGCGGAAGCGGCTTTAGATTCTCAGTGCTGTGCTTTAACCCGCCGCGCCACCAGGGAGGGCCTAATAGTCTATTTTTAAAAAAGATTTAATTATTTATGCATACAGGAGCTGGGGCCAGAGGTGTGGGGACTGAGGGGATTCACCAGAACAGGGAGACTGACTGAAATACACTTCTGAGGGGAGCTGCGTGCAGGTCAGGAGAGGTCAGCCACGCCATGTGGGTCACCTCCCTAGCCGGGGATCAAACTTGTGCACAGTGGCTGAGGACAGCTTCATAGTACTGTGCTTTAACCCCTTGCACCACCAGGGAGGGCCCTTATGAGTCATTTTTGCTTATATCAATCTAAACAGTGTATGTGAAGTGACTGACACTATGTCTTACATGTACTAAACTATGTGTGAACTACAGCTGTCATTTATATTAATATCTTTTACATGACAGCTGTATTTAATAAATAAGAATTTATAGACTTTTTGTAACTTTTTCTTTTATTACCTGTTAATTTCAGAACAATATACTTTTTAAAAATTATTTTATTTTTAATTACTGGTTTATATACTGTTCATAATCAAATAATAGTCTGAAATTATTGTTCTCATGGCTTTAAAGTCTTATGCAGGCTAAGAATGAAGATACCCTAAATCTTCAGTAGGGATTTTTTAATAGAGCAGTGGAACTGCTTATTCTGTTTCGTAACTTTACAGGTGGGAATAATTATAACTGAAGAGCAGAACCTGGCACATTATCATTTGCCTTGTTTTTCCCTAACTTCCCAAACCAGAGGGTGCAGTTTTGATTGTACAAAGAACATTTTATGTTGTGGTTGTTAATTGGTGATTATAATTCTCACTTGTTTTCTTTGGAGATGCATATGATGACTGGTGAAAACTCCTTTGTTAAAAAAATTAGCAGTGTGTCTGCTAGTTTAATGCTTTCTTACTTAATGTTTGGCTACATGGGAAAATAAACCTTTAATTTCATCTTTCAGTCTTTCCAGAGTAAGTCCACTTCAGGAGTTCATTTAGTATATGACAACTATATACCAGTACTTGCAAAACGCACACATCCACACACCTTAATTCACAAAGCACAATTTAGGCACCTATTAGAAAAGTGTTGGAATGACGGGTCTTTGTTTCAGTTCTCTTTTCCAAATTTCACCTCCCATCCTTCAATTCCTGTGATCAGAGAAAATCTTACTTTTGTTATTTGACTTAACCTGAAATTTGATTCTGATCTAGATGTTTTCTGTTTTGTTTTCCATAGGATGACTGTCTTTTAAAGGTGTGGTATAATGTAGAAAACTGGCGGACAACTGTTACTTCTCCTGATAGAAGTTCAGAAAAACAATCCCAAGGGGAACTTGACTTTTCTTTTGTTTATCTGGCTCATCCTCGAGCTGTAAATGGATTTTCCTGGCGAAAAACAAGCAAATACATGCCTAGGTCAGTGGATTAGTCATTTCTTCCTGTGTTTTAAAAGAGCATCATCTTTGTGACTTTGTGTGTGTGTGTATGTTAGAAATCTCTGGTGTTTCTGGCATGTCATTTAAAAGCCACTGATCTCCCTGAGCTGTCTTAATTTTCACTTTTGTTTCACAAACTGCCTTCAGGTATGTAGTGGAAAAGCTGGCCTTTGTCATGAGGATGAGAGAAATCCTATCAAAGACCATTGCACTTTTATGACATGGCATTTTAACTGAGATATATAGCTGCTTTTTTTTTTTTCACATAAAAATTAAGATGCTCAGCCTTTGCAAAAGAACTGTTTGTTAGCTTGAGACATAACAATGGAGAAGTGTTTGTAATAAGCATGTACTTTTTTAAATATTAAAAATTGTAAATGTAGGGTAGGTTAGGAGGTCTGTTTATATCCTCCAAAGTCTAGTTGATACATCAAGATCTAACAGGTGTTATAAACACCCATTGTATGCTGCCTTCTATAAGGTGACACTTTTTTTAAATCTATACCTAAATGTGATATGCTGTTAAGGCGGATAATAAGATACCCTGATGAAAGGCAGTTATTGCTCTCGAAAACATCAGGGTATTTCTTCCATACCATGCTTATGTTCACCTGCAGGAGGGTCGCCTGTAGACACTCGTACTTCAGGGTCAGGACTGCTTCAAGCTTCTGAATTGTGATGCATGTTTGCCTGTTTTGTTGCTCCTACCTCTGTTCTCATGCCTCTTCTGATTCTCTCTGTTAGTCCTTAAGTGTTCTATCTTCCACTCTTCTGTTAGACATCTTTCCATTCTGTCCATTTCTAATTGGAACTCTGAACCTTAAAATTTCCCCATTTTTCTTTTGATACGTTTTTGTCTGTTACTATTTGCTTATTTTTAATGGTATTGCCACTGCTGGTGAATGTACTCGAGAAAAATCTAGAGAGGGAAGCATGATAGAAGAAGATCAAAAGGAAACAGAAGACAAAATGGAGGAGGAACAGGGGATATGCAAGGATGAGAAAGGAGGGAGGAAGAAGGGATTTAGAAAGGAAAGAAGAAAGAGCCTTCTGGAAGACAAAAGAGGAACAAAGGAGAGGTAGAAAGGATGAGGGTTGGGCTAGAGACAGAAGCAGAGAACTGGGGAAAATGCAAGAGAAAGTAGCCTAGAGAATCGTGGAATGAAGCGAAAAGCCCAGGGAGTCCACAGACAAAGGGGTAGGAGGAAATAAGCTGATGGGCTGAAGGGGAGAGCAACCCAGACAAAGAAGGCTGCTTGCCCCTTTTTCCTTTGTAGTATTCCTTGTAAAAGGTAGACATGTCTACTAGTGACTGTGATGGATTTTTCCCCCACTTAACTTACTGAATTACTTAACAAGAATCTTGAATAGATAAGATATTATATATACATATACACATTGATATATATATATGTGGTGTGTGTGTGTATGTGTGTGTGTGTGTGTGTGTATATATATATATATACATATATATATATATTAGTCAGCTAGATAATATCTGAGGAAGTGTCTACTTCATCTGCTAAATTACTGTAGCTCATTACTGTGCATGTACCTTTACGGAATCATGAAACAATTCAAAATAATAATCGGGCACTGACTAAATTTGTGGATTGAATAAAATTTATTTTTTTTAAAAAAAATATGTATTTATGCATGCAGAACTGGGGTACAGGCCAGAGGTGCAGAGGGTGAGGGGATTCCCCAGAGTAGAGTGGGGAGCAGAACAGGCAGATCAACCGAAATACACTGCTGAGGGGAGCAGCCGGCTGGACAGCAAAGGTCTGCTGTGTCATGTGGGTGAACTCCCTGGCTGGGGATTGAACTTGTGCTGCAGTGGCTGCAGTAGCTTCATGGTGGTGTGCTTTAACCTGCAGCACCACCAGGGAGGGCCCAGATTAAATAAATTTTTTTTTTTAAATATTTATTTATGTGTACATACAGAACTGGGGTACAGGCCAGAGGCTCGGGGGCGGTGAGAGGCTTCACCAGAGACAGAGTGGGGAGCAGAACAGGCTTCACCAGAGACAGAGTGGGGAGCAGAACAGGCAGATCGACTAAGTATACTGCTTAGAGGAGCAGCAGGTGGTCAGGAGAGGTCTGCCACCCCATGTGGTCTCCTCCAGGGCAGGCGGGATTCAAACTCATGCGGAAGTGGCTTTAGCTTCTCAGTGTGGTGCTTTAAACCTCTGCGCCACCAGGGAGGGCCCAGATTGAGTAAATTTTAATTGAAAATACAGGTTTTTTTTTTTTGCTCTTTAACTGAAGGATAATGGCATGATCTCAGTGGCTGTTCTTTAGATGTAAGAACATATAAGTAAGAAAGATCTTATTAAGACATGAACTACACAACTCTAAGAAAAAATAGGTTAGCAAGCGTTTGTTATGCTGAGGTAAATACCCACATGATTGCAATGATTTTGATTATATAACTAGTGAAATTTTCTTCACTGGTACCTTAAGTTTTGTACATTGCAATAATTGTGGAAACAGAATTTGATACTGTGTGAAATTTATGTTTTTGCCTCTAAAATCTTTATTTCTTAGGGCATCTGTATGTAACGTTCTGTTGACTTGCTGCAAAGATAATGTATGCCGTCTTTGGGTAGAGACATTTTTACCAAATGATTGTCTCCTATATGGAGGTGACTGCAACCATTGGACCGAACCAATTAATTTAACAAATAACTTCAAGAGAAATGCCTCCAGTAAAGAACGAGTTCAGAATGCTTTAGATGTGAGTGTTATACTACATGTCATTTCCTATACTTTTTAAAACATTTTGCACATTGTAATATCCTAATTGAAGATTTAAAGTCAGGTGGATAGTATCTTAGGAAAACAATATTTGGAAATTCTGAACTTTTTTCCTGTCAAAAATATTCTTGAGGATTTTGTTTAAAGCATAAAAAACTTAACTGTAACTGTGATGTTAATCCTAGGTTTACTGATAACAAAAGAATGATTACATTTGTTAGTTAAAATAACTTAAAATAGCATAAAATCGCATAAAATGTGGGAATACAAAAGTTTGACTGTCAACTTTTATTTCTTTTTTTAGAACATGGAGTGTTTTGTCCTGTACTTAGGTTTTGTTCTATACTAGTTATCTTAAAAACTCTCAGAACTTGGAGTGCTTACTTTATTAATAAATGTGGGAAATAAAAGTTTATTATTATGCTACTTACACTAATAAAACATAATTGTTTATTAGAATTGAAAGGAAGTCATCTGAGAACCTAATTTATCTCTGACTGTTTTGATGAGTATGGAACAGTTACCTTTCAAATTTGGATGCTATTTTATTAGCACAAACTATAATCAAATATATTTTGCTTAGAACTGATACAATATTCATGTGTAATAATCACTGAAAATAAACCTTGACTAGAGATTTAAAAAATTACACTGTTAGTATAAACTATGAAATATAATCCTAGTATAAGTTAGTAATGTTTTATATTGTGTGATCCCAAGGAATAAGCTATGTATACAAAAAAAGTACATACACATAGATGTCATTGTGCACACATACTTATCTAAACGTTTTTTAGAGTTCAAGAAATTTTCAGAAAAGAATACAAATAAAATTTGAAAAGTACTGTGTGATGGTTAAAAGATCAGGCAGCTTAAGTTTTTAAGATTATTTTTGGGTTTCATTTGCTATACAAAAAGAATAAGATCTTTCTACATATCTGAAGTCATCGGAAATAGGATGTGTTTAACATCTAATAACCATTATATAACCTATATATATTCCGGTGCAATGTATACATTCATTCTACTTTGTTGTTAATTGCACAGGTAAATCTGAGACATTTTCGTAGAGGTCGGAGGAGATCACTTGCACTTGTAGCACATACTGGTTACCTGCCACATCAGCAGGACCCTCATGAAGTCCACAGGAACACTCCCCTGCATGCCAATGCACTTTGCCACTTTCACATTGCTGCCAGCATCAACCCAGCCACAGGTAATAACGTGGTGGTTCAAATGTTAATGTATTTGAGTAAACTGAATTTTTGGAAATAAATTATCTTAGTTTTTGATTAAGTGGAAAATTGGAGGTGTTTTCCCTAGCTAACCTTTTCTTGTAGCCATTTCACTGGTTATATAGAAGAAGGATTTTGTTTATTGTTTGCTTTTTAAGACTATAAATGGTGGTTTAAGATCTTGACAAGCCATTGATACGCTTCCTTAGTTTATTCATATGTTGAGATTTGAGCTAATAAGCATAGAAGTTAACATCAGAGAGTGTTTTGTTTTCAGTTATATTGGTTTATGTTTTATACGTTTCAGTGGTATAGCAAAGTGTTGTTTCCATTCACCATCATCGTTGACCTCGTTGACCTTGGTATTCAGTTTGTTCAACTCAATCTCCTTTTCCTTTTGGTGACCAATATTTGATTTTCATACTCTTAAGCATTTGTTTTATATTGTTTTGTTTGTTAATAACTTTTCTTTCTCTCTTTCTTTTCTCTTCTTTTCTTTCTTTCTTTTTCCCAAGTTTTAGGGATACAGCTTTAAATTTTTACCTGTATATGCTGGATTCTTATCACCATCAAAAGTCTTTGTTTCCTTCCATTACCACACATTTGACTCCCTTGCTTGTTTCACTTGTTCCCACCTAACCTTCCCCTCTGGTAACCACCATTCTATTGTTAGAATCATAAAGAAATTTCTGAAACTTTTCTTTAGACTGTAGGTCCCTAAGTAAAATTCAAATATGTAGAGTAACTTAAGCGAAATAACATTAACTGCTAGGTTGGACCCTTTGGAGAATTCTTTTCCCCAAATTAGATATATTGGAATGAGCCTTAAGGAATACTCTGTTATTCAAAGCCCAACTCTCAGATTTGGTTTTAATTATTTGCTTATCAAAAGAAATGGACATAGGAGAGGAGCTTGTGAGAGCGTGCTCTCCTAATTCTGGTTTTTGTATTCTTTTCATGAAGATTTCGTATTTACTACCTAGGTTTAGCACTTCTGAACAAAATTACATATATTCTTTGAATCCATTTTATTCATTACTGTTCAAGTAGGCACTAGCATGATCCAGATTTAGATTTGACTTAGTATGATGGATAAATTTTCTACTATCTTTTTTATTTAGGGATAATTGCTTGTCATAATTACTGTGAATTTGCTTTCAGCATACTTAATCTAGCAATTACATCAGAAGTAAAATACCAAGAAACTTTATTTGTAGGTCATTTGATTTGTCTCAGATGACTTCATTGTGTAATAGAAGGTTACCTTAGTTTGATATCTTCTAACTTAAATCTTGATGCTAGTATTTATCTTAGAATTAGATGAATAAGTGAATATATCACTGTTAAGTAAAAACTAAAGTGGTATGATTGAAATAAAGATATCACTGCTTCCTATAACTTATGAAGATGGCATTTTTCATAGTAGATCAAATTCAAATATTTGATACCAATGTTTGCATATAAAAGTTTCCTACTGGCATGTTTACAAGTTATAGTCATGTTTCTGATTAAATATATTTACATTAAATTATGGACCAGGAAAATACATGCATATATGTATATATTAAATAAAACACAAATTTTAGGGGTCTAAAGTAAATTTAATAGTAATAAATATGAGAGCTGGATATTTTGTAAGCTAGAATAATAAAAATTTTAATTGTATTGTTTTTCATTTTTCTTTTTAGACATTCCACTTCTTCCTTCTATTACATCTCTAAGTCTAAGTGAAAATGAAGAAAAGAGTGGACCCTTTGTGGTACACTGGCTAAACAATAAAGAGCTGCATTTTACTTTGTCCATGGAAGTCTTTTTACAGCAACTTAGAAAAAGTTTTGAACAACCATCTTCTGAGGCCAGTGTAGAAGACTCAAATCAGGCAGATATAAAATCCGATGAAGGTAAACTTGAAAATAATGATGAAAAATGTAAAGCTTTGTTTTAAAATATAAAGATTTTTGTTTTAGGATTACACTAGCTTCGATTAGAAACAAACTTTAAAGGGCTCTCCCTGGTGGCTTAATGGGTTAAAGCGCCTTATTATTATGAAGCTCTCTGAAGTCACTGCAGCACGAGTTCGATCCCCCCCCAGGGAGCTGACCCACATGGTATGGCAGAGCTCTCCTGACCCGCCTGCTGCTATCCTCAGCAGTGTATTTCGGTACATCTGCCTGTTTTCCCTACTCTGAGTCTGGTGAATCCTCTCACCCACCTCACAGTTTTGTAAGCATATAAATAAATACATCTTGAAAAGAAAGAAAGAAACCTTAAAATTGCTATGGCATAGTATACATTTGGATTAGCTCATTTAATGATCAGTGTAGATGTTCCTGTTCCAGGTGACTTTCTTCCACATGGTGATGAAGTCACTGGAGAGTCTCCATGGTTATCTCTGGTCTTCTCTGCTAAAGAAAGCAAAATAGTTCATAGGTATTTTCCTTTTTTAAAGTTTTAATTAGGAAATTGTACATGCTTACTTTAAAAAAAAAAAGCCAGCAGTACAGAGAAATAGGAAATTCTCATGTTGTTTGATAACTTTTCCAGATTTACTCTTTTGTAGACTCATGTATACAGGAATTAATTCTTTTAAGAAATTCTTTTTATTTTTTTAAAAGATTTTATTCATGGGCCCTCCCTGGTGGTGCTGCGGGTTAAAGCACAGTACTAAGAAGCTAAAGCTACTTCAGCTTGAGTGTGATCCTCACCTGGAGATGGTGCACACAGCGTGGCAAACCTCTCCTGACCCGCCTGCTGCTCCCCTCAGCAGTGTACTTTCTCAGTTGGCCTGTTCTGTTCCCCACTCTGCCTCTGGTGAATCCTCTTAACCACACCTGCACCTCTGGCCTATATCCCAGTTCTGTATGCATACATAAATAAATCTTTAAAATAAAAAAAAGATTTTATTTAATTATGCACACAAGAATTGGGGTATTGGCCAAAGGTATGGGGTGAGAGGATTCAGAGACATAGTGGGGAGGAAAACAGGCAGATTGACTAAAATACACTGCAGAGGGGGGCAGCAGATGAAACAGAAGAGGTCTGCCACTCCCTGTGGGTCAGCCTCCTGGCCAGGATCAAACTCTGCTGCAGTGGCTGTGGATAGCTTCTAGTGCTGTGTTTGAACCTTTTGAGCCATTGGGGAGGGCCCTATAGGAAATTTGTAAGTTGCTTTAAGGTGTACATTTTAAAACAATAGTGTTTTGTGACTTGGTTTTAAATTCAGTAATGGATACTTTTTCATCTCATTATTTTTAACAGTTCCTGAATATACCACCATATCAAAAGAGAATTAGTATCTCCTCTACTGAAGGACATTTACATTCATTTAAATTGTTTATCACTATACTACTGATGCTACAATCACACATTTTTCATTTTCGTGTTTTTCTATGACACAACTTCTTATATATAGAATTATCTGAGCATAGACATATCCATTTTCAATGTCTGCCAAATTGTCCCCCTAGAAATGTTTTATTAATTTATATCCAATGTTAGTATATACAAATCATGCTTTTTCACATTCTTGTTAATACTACGTCTTTACATTATCTTTTTTTGATGCTAGTTGATCTATGGAAAATGAAATTTTGCTTTACTTGGCATTTTCTGAGACAAATTGAACAGAATGGACATCATTTTTATGTTGGCACTCGTGTGTTTTGCCTTTTTGTGACTGTTCTGTTTAATTTTCTTTTGAAGTTTTCTTAATGATTTGTATGTCTTCACTAATTTTTCAAATCTGGTAAACAGTCAGACTTGTTAAGCATCTCTTTTAAGAAAGGCTCTGTTCCTAGCCAAAGGTAGGAACCAGTAATTTGGAAGCAGAGGTCAGAGTCTGCATACGTTGTATTAATAAGTTGCCATATCAGTTTCTTTTTAATTATCTATGTGTGATGGAAATCTGGAAATTGGACGTTAGTATATTTCTTTAACATAGTTTAAGATACTACCTCAGGTTTAAGTGCATATACCTAGCAGATTAGTATTGTGGCAGACTCAGGTTTTTGTAATTAGGTATGATGATGAAAATATAAATAATAATACAATAATATATTTAAATAATGCAACCCACATTAAAAACTGCAGTTCTATTCCCTTATTTTATCATGAACAAAAGTAAGGGCTAGAGAAGTAGTATATCTGCCTCCTCTTTAGTTAGTTGCGGTACATCTGGATTTGGAAAACATTTAACCTACTTTCCAATCCAGTAATAGTCCTTGTACCAGTAATCCTCTGACTCAGTCCCATGATTACTGTTTCCTGGAGTAAAGTTTTTTTCCTTTAAAGAGAAGCCCATTTTTAGTGTTAAGAATACTGTTAGGTTTTTCAGTTTGAATGCATTTGATATTTATTAATTTATCATAACAGCTTGATTATATTACTTGTTTCATGAACCTTTTTATTTATAGAGATGGATAATAGTGATGACTTGAAAATAAGTCATGAAAAGAAGGAGCTGGGCAGTGATAAAATGGTACCAAACTCAGGTTTTGTGCCATTGCCATCAGCTGCCATTGATCATCAGATTGAAGTACTTCTGTCTGAATGGAGTAAAAATGCAGACATGCTTTTCAGCATTCATCCCATGGATGGTTCTTTACTGGTTTGGCATGTGGATTGGCTGGATGAATACCAGCCTGGTATGTTTCGTCAAGTACAGGTACTATTAATTATGATTTCTAGACTCTTGCTTCTTGTTAGATTTTGGTATTCTTTGATGCTATCTTTTATTATAGCCATGTATTCTAAAGCATATTTTCTTAATTCTAGGTGTCCTTTGTTTCCAGAATTCCTGTAGCTTTCCCCACAGGAGATGCAAACTCTCTTTGTAAAAGCATAGTGATGTATGCCTGTACCAAAAATGTTGACTTGGCTATTCAGCAAGGCAAACAAAAACCTTCTGGCCTCACACGTTCTACATCAATGCTTATTTCTTCTGGTCATAGTAAATCAACTAACAGTTTAAAATTAAGTATTTTTACTCCTAATGTTATGATGATTTCAAAACACGCTGATGGCTCTCTAAATCAGTGGTTGGTCAGTTTTGCTGAGGAGTCCGCTTTTTCTACAGTTCTCAGTATTTCGCACAAATCCAGATACTGTGGTCACCGTTTTCATCTTAACGACTTAGCTTGCCACTCAGTATTACCATTATTGTTGACAACATCTCACCATAATGCATTAAGGACACCAGATGTGGATAGCCAAAAGCAGCCTTATGATGCTGTAAATATTGAGGACTGCTCTTTGGTACAACAGAATAAAAGCACCGTTGATGTGGCATTTCAGGATCCCAATGCAGTTTACAGTGAACTTATTCTTTGGAGGGTTGATCCAGTTGGGCCATTGTCTTTTTCTGGAGGTGTTTCTGAGCTTGCCCGAATTAATTCACTTCATGTGTCTGCATTTTCCAACGTGGCTTGGCTACCCACACTTATACCTAGTTATTGTCTAGGTAAGTAGTGTTATGCACTTTATTCGACAGTTTAGATTTTTTACATTATCACTTAGGGTTAAATTTTAAGTATTTGTAATATTTTCTAGGGGCTTACTGCAACTCTCCTAGTGCATGCTTTGTAGCAAGTGATGGTCATTATCTGAGATTATATGAAGCAGTTATTGATGCCAAGAAACTTCTCTGTGAACTTTCCAATCCTGATATATCTGTAAGTAGATGGCATTTAAATGTATAACGATATACAGTATTGTCTTTAGATACTTAGTTTACACTCATTAGGCATGTTTTAGAATTATGACATATAAGTAAGTATATTATTTTTAGATTTTTCACATTTATTTTGAACCCTTAGAGGTATAGGAAACAACTTTAAAGAGAAACTGTTTTTTCATTCATTCCAAAAGTAGAGTCTAGAGCCCTACATGTTCCTGTAATACTTCTTTGCTCAGGAATAGGTGGGACTACTAGCAGTACAACGTGGAAGTTGTGTGTGTGCTTTTTTCCTAGGCAAAGGGAACTGGAGTAAAAGGAGTAGTATTTTTATCTTAAACAAAAAAGTGAAAATCAGTTTGAGTATAGTCAGAGACCTTTCAGCACCGTTGCAAAACCTTCATGTATGACAGTTGGCATTACTTCCTGTGCCCAGCTAGTAGCCACCCACCAGCTGCATTGTTTAGGCACCTCCACCAAGCCAGTATTTCCACTTTTGGTTTCAGTGTTTGAAAATATTACCATATGAAACCTTCAGCCATATTAGTTCCTGTTCAGGTGAGTATAGCAGTCTCTTCAACTATCTAATGTATTTGATAGTGCTTTGGTTGTAGAATTGCATAGGTGGCAGTTATCTGCTCCAATCCTGATTTTCCCCTAAGTTATTTTTAATGTCTGGTTGTTGTAGAATACAAGATTTTAAAAAACACATATACACTGTTAGAGTAGATGAATATTTATTGAGCACCTTATATTTTTCAGGAATGTTTTTAAGTCCTGGGCATGTAGATGTGAATAAAATAGACAAATCTATATCACAGAACAGATATCCTAGTGAAACACTATTGAAAAAGAGGTAAGGTTGCATTGATAAATACTATGGAGAAGAACAGTGTTGCAGAAGTACTAGTGAGTGACAAGTACCATCCTAGTCAAGATTGTAGATTAAGTACTGTTTGAGTAAAGACCAAACAAGATGGAGCTAGCTATGTGGATATTTAGAGGAAGGATATTCTAAAGATGTATTTATTTATGCATACAGAACTGGAGTACAAGCCAGAGAGAGGTGCAGGGGCGGTGGGAGTATTCACAGAGGCTGCATGGGGAGCAGAACAGGCAGATCTACGAAGTACACTGCTGAGGGGAGCAGCGGGCAGGTTAGGAGAGGTCTGCCATGCCATGTGGGTCACCTCTGGGTCGGGGATCGAGCCGCACTGAAACAGATGGGGTTAGCTTGCAATGCCGCATCTTAACCTGTTGCACCTCTTGGGAGGGCCCCGAAGAGTATTCTAGAAAGAGGAACTGTGCAGTGCAGAGACCCTGAGACCACAGTGTGTTCAATATGTAAAAGAACTACAAGAAGGCAATTGTGACTGGAGTAGAGAAAATGAGGCAGAGACTATCCAAGAATAAAGACAGAAAGTTAGCCTAGCCAGATTATATAAGGCCTTACAGGCTGTTGTGATAACTTTGGATTTTATTCTAAATAACAAAGAAACAAAGAGAAAGAGAGTGATATAATTTGACTTAGGTTTTAAAAAGATAACCCTTATTGCTGTGTAATTAAATAGGAAAAGCAAATGTGGAGTCAGACCACCCAATTCAAGAAGCCACTGAGTTGTTGAGAAGCGTCAGTGAGCTTAGAATAGTAGCAACTAGTTGCTATAAAGAAAATAAGAACTTGTCAAACCTGGATGTGTTTTGCACATTGAATTGTCAAGATTGGACTATATGGGATTAATGTGTGAAAAAGAGGATGATTTCCAGGGTTTGTGAGTGTGTAGGAGAGGACTTGCCTTGAATTGAAAATGAGAAGAATATACAAGCAGGCTGTGAGGAGCAGAAGGACTCAAGAACTTGGGTTTGGACATACTGATTTTGAGATGTCTGTGGACAGTCAAGAGATTCTGTGAACTAGTGTCTACAGTTTAGAGGGAAGTCCAACACAACATAATTTTTTGTTGCAAAACTGGATGAGATCTCTGAGAGAGGGAATATAGTTGAAAATAAAAATGATAAAAGGATTGAAGCCTGGCACATGCCATTGTTGTAAGTGTAATGAGTGTGAGACATACCAAGTCAAATGAAGAAAGTTATTACAAGGAGGAGATGCCGTGACAACAGAATTGGGATAGATAGATCGTGGAAGGACTCGCTGTGTTATTTTCAGCTGAGTTGCTCTTGGTTTGGGACTGCTGAGTTGAGTCATTTAGAAAGTAGTCTCTGCAGATGATATATACACTTGCAAGCCTTGAAATGCTGTCACTCTCTGCTACTTCATTTTAATCTGTCTTTGAGATGCCATGGCAACAGAACTCAGATGGGTATATCATGGAAGGACTAGTTGTGTCATTTTGTTGGTACTTCAGTGGAAGAAGCCTCTTCCAAATCCTCACTTTGGTTGAACAAATTGATTTCAATAGCATTTTGTCATTGTTCTTTAATAGCTTTAATCCCTTGAACTGCTTATCCTGGATTATCTGGGAATCAGTAGCTTTAGATGCTACCTCTACTTCATCCAGAGCTACTTCCTGGTTTTAAAGAATTTGGCAATAGTAAGTCATCTTCAGCTACTGCCATTTTAGTTAGGCAAGGGAGCTAGAAATAAATCCTTCACATTTATGGGTTTAAAATGCTCATTCCTCTGTATTTCTCCAGTAAGTGAGAGGATCCTAATAAGGATTCAGGGAAAAAGTCAATATAGTAAAATAAAAATTAAAATCATCAGGCAGCTACAGATCAGAGACATTCTGCAGGGGAAAAGAGGGAGAAGGATCAGTATAGGAATAGGAAGAGCACAAGGGACTATGGTGATGGTGCATGGGTGACTTGGTGGTGGGAATTTCATGGGGAAATCGATTTTATACATTGTACAAAAATGAAGGATGCTGTAATAAATATATTTCAAAAAAATAAAAATGGACCCTCCCAGGTGGTGCAGTAAGCTAAAACATAATAGCACTGTGAAGCTATAGCCAGCAGACCTCTCTTGTCTTGCCCGCTGCTCCCTCTCAGCAGTTTATTTCACTCAGTTATCCTGTTCTGCTCCCAATTCTCTGCTGGTGAATCCTCTCACCCCCTGCACCTCTGGCCTGTACCCCAGTTCTTATATTAATAAATAAATAATTCTGAAAGAGAGAAAGAGCAGAGAGGTAAAGATGGATTAATAAGAAAAAATAAAAAATAAAATACTTATTTCCTTCCACCCAACAATTACCAAACATTGCTTTTGTGTTTCTCTGTACTGCCTGAGCTGTGACTCTTACTATTTCTGTGCATTTCCTTTTAAGGTGAAGTCTTAGAATGCTTATAGTAAAAAGAACTTGTGAACTGATTTTATCACATCTAAGTTTAATTATTATTAATTATCTATTCCTGAAATTTCACCTTTTTATCTCTCATTGTTTTGAATTGTTTGATAAAGGAGGTATCCAATTTTTTTCCCCCACAAACAGAAATATGTTGGTGAAGTGTTTAACATCGTGAGTCAACAGTCAACAGCCAGACCAGGATGTATTATTGCATTAGATCCCATTACCAAACTTGTAAGTGCTATTTTTCTGGTCACTTGGTGGTAGGTAGATAGTAATTTTGTCAACTTATGTTGTTATTTATTTACATTCAGCAAGGCAGAAAAACACAGCTGCTTCATGTTTTTCAAGAAGACTTCATTTTGAACAACCTTGAGAGGAAAAGTCTGGGAAAAGATAAAACATCTGATACAGGTAATGAAATTTTTATGTAATGACATATACCGTCATATACCGTGTACAATGTTACATATTTAATAAAGAAATTTGAAATAATGTTTTTATATTATCTGTTTGAAGTTAAAATTTTCCTGTGTAGGTTTATGGTATGCTTCACCATAAATACTGGTATCTTTTTATTTATTTATTTACCAGGAAATAATCCTGAACAAATTAAAGGTATTCATTTGTTGTGTTTTTTAGAAAGCATAATAAAAATGTTTACCTTTAATGATAGGTACTTTTTGCATGGGTGGAGTCTTCCATGAACGATTTGTAGAATATGGATATCTGAAGTTTTAGAAACATTTAAAAAAAATTTTTTATACATATAAGAACTGGGGTACAGGTCACAGTTACCTGGGGTGAGAAGATTCACCAAAGACAGAGTAGGGAACAGAACAGGTATATTGACTTAAATACACTGCTGAGAGGAGCAGTGCACATGACAGAGAGTTCTGCCAAGCCAGGTGGGTCACCTCCCTGGCCAGGAATTGAACTCATGGTGCAGTGGCTATAGACAGCTTCACAGTGCTGTGCCCTAACCCCTTACTCCACCAGGAAGGATCTTTTGAGAAACATATTTAAACATGTACTTAAGTCATGATTGATTTAAATATCATGTAATTCCTGCCTGTTTAGTAATGTCTTTTAATGTAGTCTAATCTGTGTGAACAATGTGATAGTGATGACTACAAGATGTGACTTTTTTTATTCACTTAAAATGTCAAGTTAATAGAAATTTGAGCTTTTAAGACGTTAATTGTATTTTCCAATCTACTTTACATATAAAGCTTTCAACAAGATTTTTTTTTTAATTCTGTTACCTTATGTTGGTATATTTAATACATTTCCTCATTTATCCTTGTCAATAGTGAAAACTATCATTATAACCACAGGTAGCTCACCGAATGGATTTTCTGAAAAATTCTACCTTATTGTAATAGAGTGTACTGAAGATAACCGTTCATTATTACAAATGTGGAATTTACATTTAAAGTCTGTTCCTGTTTCATTGGGTGAGTCTTTAAAAAAAAAATTTTTTTTATATAGGATTGAATTAAATTCTGTATAATTAGTTCAATGCACATTTTTAAAGTTATTCTTATAATTATAGCTTTTAGTTAATTAAAAAGCAAAATAATTCTTTTGTTTTCTTGCTCTAAAGAATCTTTGATTTGTTTTTTATCTTACCTAAGGCCACATTACATTATAAACTATAACAATTATAATGTTTATATAGTTCCCCATAGTTTGCTTTTTTTCTTACATTTTATAGATGAAAAAGTGGATACAAAAATTTCTGGAGGAGCTTGGCAGCCAGAAGAACATACTTCTTCTCCAGAAAAGATCCTGTCTCCATTTTCGCATAAGTATCAGGCTTGCAGAGCCAATCTCCAGAGTACCAGCAAGTTGACTCTGTCCTCAGAAATAGTTTATAGCCAAGAGTTGGATTTGCCAGAAGGAGTTGAGATAATAAGTGTTAAGCCATCAGCAGGTTTGTAAACTTTGTGAAGAGACTAATTAAGCTTTGTAATTCACAAGTATTTGCTAAGTGTTTTATATATAGGTGCCACTGCCTCTTTTTAAATTCAAACAGAAGGGGAAATGGAATTTTCACTCAGTACCCTAATTTGAAAACTTAGATTATGTTTTCAGATCATGCTGACATTTCTCAATGTCATTTCTAGTCTTAAATGTTAATTTTTAAATCAAATTTTGATTATCTTTTTGTGAAGACAAAGTGAACGTTTCTAGGGCAGAGGTAATAACACGGTTGTACTTATTTGCCAGATCTGATAAAATTGGAATTAACTCTAGAGCCATGCACGCTTTAGAATTTGTGTGTGGTTCCTAATGTCATATCTGTCATCCTTGTCCTAGGGCAGCAATTTTCAAAATGTGGATTCCTCAGGCCAGCAATATCAATATTACCTTTTTAACTTACTAGAAATAAAAAAATTCTTGGGCTAACCCCTAGTTTTACTGAATTACCAACTCTGATGTGGGACCCACCTCTTTTTAAATTCAAGAAGTACTGTTTTAAGAAATCAATACAAAAATTCATGTTTTTAATCATACCATTTTTTCTTTTTCGTAATCATAGTTTCAGGTTTTCTACTAATCTGTCATTTACTTATTTAACCTGTCATTTAGTTATTCTTTTGATTGTTTACTTGGAATGTTTTCTTCTTGCCATGTTGTTATCAGGCATTTAGTCTTTCCAAGTGATAACATTAGTGGGCGTGAATATATTAACTGTGTTGTGACAACTTTTGCATTCAACTTTTTGGTATAGCTTGATGAAAGAGTCTCAATGTAAGGAAATCAGTGTTTGAAAAGAAAGACTTGTGCATTAACACAGCTTTAAGAGCTGTTACCCTTTGAACAGTATAATCTTCCTGACTGAACTCCTATTAAGATATTATGGTAACTAGAGAAATTGAAGATATCTCTACAAAGAGTGCTTTTGTTCAATGTTGACTCAAGTTATGTTTGAAAAAGAAAACAAAAAGGTTAAAAAGAAATTATTTGACAAAGACTGTCGCTTATGGTAAAAGTTTTTTCCCTTAGTCTTCAGAATTTTTTTTTTTTTTGATCAGGACTATTTTCTGTTCAGTTCAGAGAAACCAGTGGCAATGCTGATTGTGTCCTTTGGAAATACGATATTTCTTAAGGAATTAAAAAAATAAGAAGATAATGTTCTTTAACATTTCTGTATTAAAATTAATACTGTATGTTTAATAGTTTGGGACAGTGATTGGCGAACTATGGGCAATCTACACTGTAAATATGTTTGATTGAAAAATAGCTATATCTATTTGTTACTTTTGTTCATGATTGCTTTTGTCTAACAATGGCAACATTTAGTACTTGTAACAGACATCCTATGGTCAGTAAAGTCTCAGAAGCGACTACTACCTTGCAAAAAATTTGTTGACTCCTAGTTTAGGAAATGAAGAGTTTATAACTAACATGAAGCCCAAGCAAACGTTGTACTCCACATAGGAGTACAATATCAGTCCTCTCAATATCAGTTACATTAAACATACACCTCAGTGATGAAGGCCCCATTTATGTGCTAGGTTGAGAGTCAAGACTAGAATTCAGGTTTTCTAAATCTGCTTAGAAAAGTCTATTTGGTTTAGGCATAAGATCCTTAATACTATAAATTCAGGAGCTGAAGTAAGTTATCTCAGTTTTCTTTCAGCTCTTGTAAGAATTTTTTTTTTAAAATACCTGTTTGAGGTCATTAAAATCTTCTTGCTGATATTACTGACCCATCAACTATATACAAGTTCATGTTAAGAGTAGTTCAAAGACAAATACCTTTAGCACATGAAAGCAGAAATATTTCACCTGATTTGACACTTTTTAATTACTTGTCTTGTTTTAGGTCATCTGAGTTCTTCTTCCATATATCCCATATGCAGTGCTCCTTATTTGTTGGTAACTTCATGCTCAGATGAAAAAGTAAGATTCTGGAGATGCAGAGTAACAAATGGAGATTCGACCATGTTGAAGAATGAGAAAATGGATCTCGTATACATTTGGGAAGAATGGCCATTACTTATTGAAGATGGACTTCAGAACAATAGTAGTATAGCTGTACCCGGCACACCTGTAGAAGTTAGCTGTGCACATACAAATCGGTTAGCAGTAGCATATAAGCAGCTTACATCTAGTGGTAAATCTTCTCAGGACTTTGTAATGCATGTAAGTATTTTTGAATGTGAGTCTACTGGAGGTTCTTGTTGGATACTTGAACAGACAATTCATTTAGATGAGTTAAATACAGTATTGGATTCCGGTATTAATATTGATAGCAATTTAGTGACTTACAATAAACAAGAGGCATATTTATCCAGTAAAGACAGTATCACATCAGATACAAAACGTTTAGTTCACTTAGATTGGATGTCTAGAGAAGATGGTTCTCATATCCTTACAATAGGAATTGGATCAAAGCTTTTTATGTATGGACCTCTGGCTGGCAAGGCACCAGAACAGACTGGTAAGGAAGGACTTGCCTTTCCTCTCTGGGAGAGTACTAAAGTTATGCCTCTTTCTAAGTTTATATTGTTACGAAGCATGGACTTAGTTTCATCTGTAGAAGGCTCTCCACCTCTTCCTGTGTCTTTATCGTGGGTCCGGGATGGCATCCTTGTGGTAGGAATGGATTGTGAAATGCATGTATATTCCCAGTGGCAGCCGTCTTCTCAACAAGAACCTCTTACAACAGATTCATACAGTGGGAGCACTCCGTCAATAATAAGCTTAATAAAACAGAGTAATTCATCAAGTTCTGGATTACATCCTCCCAAGAAAACTCTGACTCGATCCATGACCAGTCTTGCACAGAAAATCTGTGGGAAGAAAACCGCATTTGATCCATCTGTGGATATGGAAGATTCTGGTCTTTTTGAAGCAGCTCATGCACTTTCTCCAACTTTACCTCAGTACCATCCTTTGCAACTTCTGGAACTCATGGATCTTGGCAAAGTTCGGCGAGCAAAAGCCATCTTGTCACATCTGGTCAAGTGCATTGCTGGAGAAATTGTGGCTCTGAATGAAGCAGAATCCAACCATGAGCGCCGCTTGAGATCCCTGACCATCAGCGCTAGTGGCAGCACTACCAGAGACCCCCAGGCATTCAACAAGAGTGAAAATACAGACTACACAGAAATAGATTCTGTCCCGCCACTTCCTTTGTATGCCTTACTTGCAGCAGATGATGACAGCTGTAATCTTTACTCATCTTTGGAAAAGTCTAGTAATCAGGGTACCTTAAACAACTCGAACAAGTTGTCAAAGGAAAGTTACGATGACCTTTTTCAAATCTCAGCTTTAACGTCTGATAGTGATGTGTTAGAGATAGATGAAGAAAATACAAAGCCCAAGGTTATTGACCTTTCACAATACAGTCCAACTTACTTTGGTCCAGAGCATGCTCAGGTACTTTCTGGTCACTTACTTCATTCTAGTTTACCAGGACTCAGCCGGATGGAGCAGATGTCTTTGATGGCCTTAGCAGACACAATTGCAACTACCAGCACTGACATTGGAGAAAGCAGAGACAAAAGCCAAGGTAAAATTGAGTTGAATGGCACATCAGAGGGAAAACTGATAATAGTTTTACTTACACAGAAAATAGTCATTTAAGAAATTTTCTAAAAAAAATGATGCCCTGATTTTTTAAATCATCACTGGTGTTTTCACATTGGGTTTGACAGTAATATATACTCTTTATCCCATTATAACTGAAGAGAAGAGACAAGTAATTATTATGCCAGCAAATTTTATCTTATTGTTTGATAAAATTGTAAAGATCCAACCAAGTCCTTTAGAGTTTCTTAAATGTTTTAGATATTTGAAAATAAGTTTCTTTCTGCATTATTTTTTCTTGTGTTGTAATAACCCACTGTTAACATTATGGCTTGCTTTTTATAAATATTATGCTCTTTAATGAGTGTTAATATATACTCCTTCATTGAATAGCAAAAGTAAACAGAAACTAAGGCCTTTTCCTCACTCAGAGAGCATTTTCTTCTTAGTCTCCTGAACGTGGACAAATATAAATATAGAATTCCCACTCATCTGAAATTAACAAGCCTAGCCTTATGCACCAAGTGGTAGGATGTTCTTGTAAACTATGATTGAAAGGGAAGTTTGAGATAAATTCGGGGGGAAAAAAAGAAAAAAGTTAAAAATTTAAGGAAAAAACAATTTGGTCATTGCTTTTACCTTAAGAGTTATTGCTAGCAGATGTATTTTTTATAAGAATTTGTTGTATGTATTTTATACAAATATACAATTAAACCCTTCTACCATAGAATCCATTTTTTTTCAGATGAGTGGGATGGACATATGAATTGAACCATTGTGGAAAATATTGTAACATATCACAGTGAAGTTTACAGTTTTATAATTTAGTCACATTTGAATTTAAATGAGATTCAGTGCATATGAGGTCAGATTACAAAAAAATAAGATAGACCCTGAGTCAGTCAATTCATTATTTCTTACCAATTTTTAAGTATATTGCATTATTTTCTGTAATATATGGTTGCATAGGAAAAGAAATATCAACTAATACTTTAGTCTGATAGCTTTTGTCAGTTTCAGAATGTTTTTTCATGTATTTGTTGTGTTGGCATAGGTTTTTTTGCCAGTGTTGTTTGTGTTTATTTTGTCTTGCTAGTGAGATGTTTTCTTTTTATAAATAAAAATAAGGAAATTATTTTCCCTGTTGTTTACAGGTGGAGAAACACTTGATGAATGTGGATTAAAATTTCTTCTGGCTGTTCGACTTCATACTTTTCTTACAACTTCCCTTCCAGCTTACCGAGCCCAACTTCTTCACCAAGGTGATTTTGGTGGTAATATATCAGAAGGAAGTGAGAAGAAGAGAGAGGCTTGAGAATTTAGTTTTGTTTTTTGCCCAGATATAAGAATGACAGGTTTAGCACATTCTAAGTCACCTTAATTCATTTAAAAAAAAAAAAATTTTATTTCTTCCCTTATTTTGTTAGGTGGTAAAAATTAATGAAGATTGGTTATTAAGGCGTTGGATAGTCTGTGTTACATTTTTAAATACAAGATGTATTAAAGGCCAGTTAATGTTTCATTCACTTTCATCTCTTATTTACATTTTCTTTTTCACATTTATCCTAATTCAGTTTTTCTATAAAACTTGAGTATCATATTTGTTATAGAAATATTATATACTCAGTTTTTAATTGCTTAAAATGAAAAACTGAATACTGGAACATTCAAAGAAAAAATTCCCCCATACCCAAAACTATTGTTAACATTAGCATGTATTTCAGGTATTAGTTTATTAGTACTTTAGATACTCATATTTAGGATTAAGGGAACATAAGCAAGCCATGATACTTAGTGACTGAGTGTCTAGGAAGTTCAGGTAAAATAACTTGCCCAAAATTATATAGCTTGCTAGGGACTAATTGGAATTCAGTGCTTATATTCTGCTTCTGGAGTCCTTGCAGTACTCTATTCTGTTTGCTAAGCTGTGCTGTTGTTGATGCTTTTTTAATTCCATGAATTAAATCCACAGATCAATTGTTGATCAAAAGAAAGTGAGAATCAGCTTTTAAGAGTAATTATATCAGTACAGAATAATGCCTTAGGTGTTTCTCATTGTCTAAGAAAAGGTGGCCAATGATAGCTAAAGAACAAGAATTCTCACTACAGTGGCACTGTTCACAGTATTTTCTTTAACATTTTAAAAAGCATTTTAATATTAGAATATATGGTCATTATAGAAAATAGTGAAGGGGTGGAGTTATTTGGAGAATCAAAACATAATAATAACCTGTATTCCCTCCAGAATAACCACTTACTTGTGCTGTGAATCACTAAGGCTAGACAGTTTATTGCAAACATTGAGTTCGCATTTCTGATAATCATCTTATAGTTTTGATTATGGTTCTTATAAACATTATTTTTGATGTTTTTTCAGGTCTTTCTACTAGTCATTTTGCCTGGGCCTTTCACTCGGTAGCAGAAGAAGAACTGCTAAACATGTTGCCAGCGATGCAAAAAGATGATCCTACTTGGTCTGAACTAAGAGCTATGGGTGTGGGGTGGTGGGTCCGGAATAACCGAATTTTACGCAAATGCATGGAAAAGGTAAGTGTTTTATTCTGGTATAAAAAACTCTGGTATTTTGGAAGTTTCTTTAAATGACACCTATATTTCTTCTGTTATTACTTCTTTTAAAAAAGTACTTTTAAAGTCTTTGTATGTCAAAATATGGAGCGTATTTTAAAATTTTCTACTTTTATTCCTCAAAATATGTAATATATTTAAAAAATTTCCATTTTAATTCTTCAGTTGTCAGAGAGCATGTTTATTTAGTAATTTATGACTTAATTTTATAAAATATTATGTTTAGAAAAATGAAATAGTACAGAAGAGCTTGTAATGTAAAGTGTAGTCTTCTTTTTACATCTTTGTATCCTTGGAAGCCTTCATCATAGGTTACTTTCACAATTATAATATATATATATATAAATATATATATATATATATGAGATCAAGTATAGTTTTTAAAAATATTAATGTTCAGTGGACATAAGATCTGTGCCAGTCTTGTATCTGAGAGAAATTATTTGTTCACTTAAAAAATGGTTTCTGCTAAATTTGACTAACATTTTCTAATTATAGGTGGCCAAAGCAGCCTTTCATAGAAAAAATGACCCTTTAGATGCTGCCATTTTTTACCTTGCAATGAAAAAGAAAGCTGTGATTTGGGGATTATATAGGTAGGTGAGAATACTGCTTCAAAATGAATGAATATCTTTCCATAAGGAATAGGCATATGATTTTAAGATTATTGTTTTTGTGAGTATGGTTCATATGGATCATTAGTTATTTTTGTATTTAAGGAGAAATTTCATAAGGAAGAAGCCCAGATGTGTCCTGGAAGAGGGGTATCTTGATAAGGTCACTACAGTTTGTTTTTAGGTTTATTAGTTAAAAAAACATTTTTTGCTTGTTTTTCCAAGAATCAAATTAGAAATGAGTATCTTGAGTGAGAAGTAAATAAATTGGTGGTATTTGGAATAAGAGCAAATTACCATCCAGACTATCCTCTTCCTCTGGGTCCTGGCTCCATTCCTGAGCCTAGGGCTACGTGGAATTTACTCTTTCACTTGTCTGGTGAGACTTGGTTTTTATAAATAGTTTACTATTGCTTAGGGTTTACTTCTAGGGTCTCTGAGTGAGTAACAACGTTAGGGGGAAAATCATGTTACCAAATCAGTTTTTTAAAGAGATGAATCTTTCACAGTTGTTTCAAACCAGATATATTCTTTTTATTTTGATCATCAAATTGACCCTGAGGTGGGCAACAGTGTTTAAGGTGGTTGATGAGATTTAAATTGTGAAGTAGCACAGAAGTTAATAAAAGTTAATGTATCTGACATGGATTTAAAAATAATTTCTCATAGTTATGCTAATGCAGTTTGCTTCATAATTTGAGAGAATTTTTTTCAATAATTCCTGAGATGTATAAAGTGTTTACCTGATCTTATTGTATGCAAGAGAAGCAATGTTGAGTAATTTTTGAACTGGCAAATATTTCTTTAGGGTCTAATTTTTATGTGAATAACTGTAAAATTTGTTTTCATGTAAAAACATTGTGCTCTAGGCTCTCCCTGGTGGCGCAGCGGGTTAAAGCACAGCGCTGAGAGGCTAAAGCCACTTCCACATGAGTTTGATTCCCTCCTGCCCCGGAGGTGACCACATGGCGCGGCAGACCTCTCCTGACCCGCCCGCTGCTCCCCTTCTCTGGTGAAGCCTCTCACCGCCCCTGATACTCTGGCCTGTACCCCAGTTCTGTATGAATAAATAAATAAATCTTGAAAAAAAAAACATTGTGCTCTAGACTGTTCATACTTTTTTTTTTTTTTTTTTTTGCAGATCCCAAAAAGATGTAAAGATGACACAGTTTTTTGGGCACAATTTTGATGATGAGCGATGGCGTAAAGCAGCTTTAAAAAATGCTTTTTCTTTATTAGGCAAACAGAGATTTGAACATTCTGCTGCCTTTTTTCTTTTAGCTGGTTGCCTCAGAGATGCAATTGAGGTAATGAATGAAACTTTCATAAAAATAGTATGGCCATGTTTTTAAGGTTACATAGGAACTAAATACAATGTTTTAAGTGCAGTGAAAATAACACAAAAGATAAATATCTGAAATAACTGATAATATTTTATACCAGTATTTCAAATTTTGTCATAGTGTCAGTTAAGATTTTTTTTTTTTGAGAATTAAGATTGACCAGGTTGTTTTGATGAATAGAGACAGGTAATTGGTCTGATTCTTAACCATTTTAATGAACAGGTTAGAAAAGTTTGTCCTGTATTCGAACATATTTGAACCTACATGACTTTAATTTAATGAAATTTTTAACTGATTATTTCTCAGTAGACTTTAAGTTTATGAAATTTGAAGATATTATAACATTTGTGTCTGAAATTGCCCTCACCCTCAGTTTCATACAAGTGTGATTCAAACAAATTTTAAGTTTGGGAAAATTTCTTTGTGGATGGGGAAGAGTAAAATTTCAATAATAAAGCAAAGTAAGTTATTGGAATTGATGAATTATTCAGTATTGTCTCATTAGGCTTATATTTTTTTCAAGCAAATATAGTACTAGTGGGTAAATTTACCAGCATTAACATATAGGTTATAAAGCTGGTTTGCAAAAAGCAAGCTGTGTATGTTTTGCTTGTTGTTATCCTGGTTTGTAAATTTTGTTTATTAGTAAAATGTGGGTTGTTTTAGTTATTAATGAATCAGTTGAATTCACCTTAAAAAATGAAATAAATATTTGAATATTTTATTTTTTTAAGGTATGTCTTGAGAAACTGAATGACATTCAGCTGGCTTTTGTAATAGCAAGACTTTATGAATCTGAATTTGATACATCTGCAACATATAAATCTATTTTACGTAAAAAAGTTTTGGGAATTGATTCTCCTGTTGGTGAACTCAATTCATTGAATCTAAATATGCATTGTGATCCTTTTCTTCGGAGTATGGCATATTGGATTTTGGAAGATTATAGTAGTGCACTGGAAACATTAATAAAACAACCTGTTAGAGAGGATGATGGTAAGTTGCAAATCCAAAATGTTAGTGATTACGAGTTTTATTAGTACTTAGTGGGTGTAGAGCATACTGTTGGATCCTAAGGGTTTCTCCCACTGTGCAAAAGTAGAGTGTCTGTTTGTTATGAATCAATAGGTTATTTTCTGAGTCCAGTAATGACAAATTTACCATGTAAATCAATGGTAACTGCGTTCCAGATCCCAAAAATAACTCTGGGGTTGTTTAGCTTCAGCAGTAGAGAAGTATGAGTCAGTTTTGGGGAGTGTTGTTTAGATTGGGAAGACTTTTCTGATAAGATCTTTGAACAGAGACCTAATTAAAATGAGCAAGTGATCAAAATAGATATCTGGGTGAAGTGTGGTTTTAGAAACAGTAAGGAAACCAAGGAAACAGTAAATAAAATGGCCTTGAAACAAGTGTGTACATATGTAAAAAGAACTGTACTGTAGGCCTTTGTATGTAGTTGTATATATTTACAAGATGAAGTTAGCAACAGAAATAAGATATGCACCTTATTATCAGCATATAGATTCTGTGTAAAGCCAGAAGGTTATAGGTGTTCACGCAGGGGTTCAGATGGAAAAGGGAGCAAACATTTAACTCTAGGGTACTCTTGACATTGAAAAGTAGAGCAGATAAGGAAGATCTGGCAAAGCACACTGAAGAAAAGTAGAAAAAGACACAGTTATATGTGGAAGTTTTAAGTTATTTTGGATTATAACCTGAGGACATGAAATCAGTATAACTTTCCTAGTATGTTAGAACACTTCTGTTATAAATGTGTTCTTGTCTATTCAGTGCTATATTTTAGTTAATCTGTTGATAAAATGTTAAAAGCTAGGTTTAGAAAGGTGCCACAGTAGAGAAAAAGTACTACAGCTTATGTGTTGAAGATGTTTTCTTATCTTATAAAATAAATTTATTTTCAGATCAAGTCATGACTTCAGTTTGTAATCCTGCAGTTTTTAATTTCTATAATTATCTACGAACGCATCCTCTCCTGCTGAGGCGTCATTTTGGATCATCTGATGTATTTTCCACACACATGACTTTAACAGGAAAAAGTGGGCTGGCAGGTACAATTAACTTAAGTGAAAGGAGATTATTTTTTACTGCTGCCTGTGCCCACTTAAAAGCTGGCTGCCCCATGTTGGCTTTAGAAGTATTATCAAAGATGCCAAAAGTCATCAAGAAAACAAAACCTTTTTGTAAAGCATCTAGTGTTTTGAATACCAGTCAAGATCTTTCTCCTTCTTCACCATTAAAATTGGATGCAAAGGAAGATAAGTCTTCTGCTATTGATTGGTCACAATCAGTAATCAATGGTTTTGGATCTTCTTCAGAGGGTTCCTCAGAGAAACAGTCAAACTCCACTCTTTCTTTTGACTGGAGCCAACCAAGTGTTGTATTTCAAGATGACTCTTTAGAATTAAAGTGGGACAGTGATGATGATGAAAATGAGGATCTCCCTGTTTCAAGGAAAGAACTAAAACTTGCACAAAGAAAAATAAGTAAAACTGTAGAAGAAATGAGTTCTAATTATACAGAATCTCTCAGCACACTAGATGAAAGTGACATTTTAAGTCCATCAGAAGATATAATTGCTGTTCAATTAAAATTTAGAGCATGTTTAAAGATTCTCACAGTAGAACTTCGTACTTTATCTACTGGCTATGAAATAGATGGTGGAAAATTGCGTTACCAACTATATCACTGGCTTGAAAAAGAAGTGATAGCTCTTCAGAGGACTTGTGACTATTGTTCAGATGCTGAAGAATTGCAGTCTGCATTGGGTGAAAATGGAAATGAATTTGGATTAAATGAAGATGTTGGAGATTTACCTCACCAAACAAAAGTGAAACAACTGAAAGAAAGTTTTCAGGAAAAACGACAATGGCTTTTAAAATACCAGTCACTTTTAAGAATGTTTCTAAGCTACTGCGTACTTCATGGATCCCATGGTGGGGGTCTTGCATCTGTGAGAATGGAATTGATTCTGCTTTTACAAGAATCTCAGCAGGTATGTACATATAGTACATATATGAATCAATTTTTGATAATACTTTTTTAAATGTTAAAATTCTTGATTTTCTTTGTTACGCTTACTTTGAAGAGTGATCCTTTTTGCTTCATGCTGAGTGTTAGAGTTGTATATGTATTGTGGTAAAAAGACAGCTTGAATTTAGCCCCTAAAGTCTGCTACATGCATTCTCCACAGTCTTATCACACTGTACTGTGAGTTGAATAACTTTTCTTTACGACAAGAGAGTATTGTTCCATCATTTCTCAGTTTAATTGATAGAATCAATAGTATATTGACCTCCCTGATCCTCTCTTATTTTGTAATTGCTTCTGTGATGCTTTTAGCTTTTGTTTTGAAGTTTTCAAGAAGATCCCAAGTTACTTAAGTGTGGAATTATAACTACAAATAGTTTGATTAACATTTTCCCCCTTTGTTTTTAAGGAAACATCAGAGCCAGTATTTCCAAGCCCTCTGTCCGAGCAAACCTCCGTACCCCTCCTTTTTGCTTGTACAGCCAGTGCCAAAACAGTAGTTGCCAATCCGTTATTGCACCTTAGTAATCTAACACATGATATTCTACATGCCATAATAAACTTTGATTCGCCACCCCATCCTGATATCCAGAGCAGTAAAGTAAGTATTCTAGTTTCAGCCTTTTACTGTGTCTTATATTCAGTGTTAAAGTAAAAGATAGATAAGTCTTTTTATGAACAGTTTTCAACATCAGAGTGTAGTGATTGTTTATATAATATTAGAATATTATCATATAATATTACGGTTACAGACCAAACTCATGTCACTTGAGTTACTAATGTTTCAAATTTTTATCATAATGCAATTTATTTTGTCTTATTTAGTATTTTTATTAAGATAGAAGTAACAAACATGTGCGGATATATGAGTATTTCCTTTGTAAAGTATACCTAGTGAAAAAGGTGATTGTTTTCTAGAGATCAAAGCTTAATATTTTGGTATAAATATACCAATAAAAATGTTTTTCTTTCATAATAAAATACTACATATTTTAAGAATAATGTTGTAAAGCTACCCTCACCCCTCCCCCCACCATGATTTCTCTAGGCTAATTGTTAAGTCATAAATAGCTACAGCAGAATCACCTGAAATGTTTATTAAAAGTTTGGATTGCTGGCCCTCCCTGGTGGCGCAGTGGGCTAAAGCACAGCACTAAGAAGCTAAAGCCACTTCCGCATGAGTTCGAATCCCGCCTGCCCTGGAGGAGATCCACATGGCGAGACAGAACTCTCCTGACCCGCCCTTTCCTCCCCTCAGCAGTGTACTTGGTAGATTTGCCTGTTCTGCTCCCCACTCTGTCCCTAGTGAAGCCTCTCACCCTCTGCATATCTGGCCTGTACCTCAGTTCTGTATGAATAAATAAATAAATCTTTAAAAAAAAAAAAAAAGTTTGGATTGCTAAATTCACTCCAGACTTATTGAATCAGTCTGTGAGTATCAGTTCTAGGAATATGTTTTTTAGTTCTTCAGGTGATTGTGATATATAGCTAAATCATATAGATATCTAGTCAGCCATACTGTCTTCCCATCAATCCTCACTCTACTTGTATCTACCACCAACATCACATTTCATTTTGTTAAGAAATAAATTTTCTTCAGGTTGTGCTCATGTCATCCAGCTGTCCCATATTTAACTTTAATCATAGCTTTTGTGTTTGAGAACCATTCTGAAACATTACTTAATGTAACTAATCATTTGTTTGCTTATAATAATGTGAGTTGGCTCATTAATCTTGGTTGGACCAGGTTGGGCTGATCTCTAGAATCTTCCATTTGTTTTTCATCACCTGGTTAATTGACAGGATTCTGGATTATCTAGAATGACCTTTCTAGTAGATGGCAAACTTTTTTAATAATCTGGGTCATTTGCGTCTCATCCTGCAGCAGATAAGTTTAGCTTGTTAGTATCTGTTCTCTAGATAAACAGAACCAATGGTGGGTGGGTGTGCACAAGCAGGCACATGCACTTATTAAAATGGACTTTATTATGAGCAATTGGCTCACATAATTATAGAGATTAAGAGGTTCCTGCAGTTAAGATGCTGAGACCCAGGAGAGCTGATTATGTCAGTTCAAAGTCCTGAAAACCAGGAACCAGAAACCAATAGTGAAAATTCCAGTTGGAAAGTGTTAAAGCATTAGCCCAAGAAAAGCCATATTTCAGTTCCAGTGTAAAGGCGGGGGGCGGTGGTGGGGGAACAATATTCTTTATAATGGGTGATGTTAAACATTTCTACTTTGGAAAAGTGTCTTTTTAGCTTTCTGCCTATTTTTTTTTTAAAGATTTATTTATTTATTCATACAGAACTGGGGTACAGGCCAGATATGCAGAGGGTGAGAGGCTTCACCAGGGACAGAGTGGGGAGCAGAACAGGCAGATCAACAAAGTACACTGCTGAGGGGAGCAGTGGGCGGGTCAGGAGAGGTCTGCCACGCCATGTGGATCTCCTCCAGGGCAGCCGGGAATTGAACTGATGCGGAAGTGGCTTAAGCTTCTTAGTGCTGTGCTTTAACCCGCTGCGCCACCAGGAAGGGCCTCTTCTGCCTATTTTTTGATTGGATTGTTTTGTTTTTGTACTGTTGTGTAAGCTCTTCATAGATCTTTAATATCAGTCTCTATCAGTTCCGTGGTATACAAATATTTCCCCCAAATCACTAGAGTAACTCTTTGTTTTGGTTGCTATTTTCTTTTGCTGTACAGAAGCATTTCAGTTTGATGTAGTTCCAGCTTACTATCAAAGAAATCCAAATCAAAAACAATGATATCCATCTCACACCTGTGAGAATGGCCCATATAAAAAACTAGAGACAATAAATGCTGGCAAAGATGTAGTGAAAGGAACTCTTACACTGCTGGTGGGAATGTAAACTGGTCCAGTCACTCTGAAAAGCTGTGTGGAGGTTTCTCAAAACATTCAAAATGGATCTACCACATATGATCCAGTGATTCCACTCCTAGGAATCTACCCAGAGAACACAAAAACAAACCTGCACTCCTCAATACTCCAGTCCAGATGAATGGATCAAGAAGATGTGGTGTACATACACAATGGAGTACCACTCAGTAAAAAACAAAACATGACCTCATGCTTTTTGTGGCAACATGGATGGAGTTGGAAGGGACTATACTCAGCTAAATAACTCAGAAGGAAAAGATATGTAGTCAGACACAAGAAGTTCCACAAACTCAGACTTTTTGTTCTATTCAGGTCTTCAGTTGATTGAGTGAGGTTTACTCACGTAAGTGAGGACAATCTGCTCAATATAGTCTGCAGCTCAAATATTGATCTCATTCATAACCATCCAAACAAGTACACCAAGAATAATGTTTGATGAAGTCTCTGCACATTACTTGTTCCAGTCAAGTTGATACATAAAGTTAACCCTTATAATCATATATTTAATCATTTTACACAGTTGTTACAGGGATTTAAAAAACAATAAGACTTTAGTTTGTAAGGCCTTAATAGGCTCAGAACTCATATATCACTTCTCCTGCATACTCTTGGTCAATGTAAGTCAGAGCCCAGCCCAGATTCAATGGAGAAATAGTCTATTTCTTTAAATAGGAGAAGCTGGAAAATGTTTTCGTTTTTGTAGTAGTCTTTGTGCACCCTTTGCTGTTTCATTAATATGATTATATCCTTAATTTTAATTCATACCACATCTTTTATCTGCATAAAAGACTATCACATACATCATTAAATCAAGAATGCAGTCTTTTAATATTTTAGTCTACTCTGTTTTCTTCATTATCAGATTGCTCTTATGCTATATTTAGAGCATTTATCAATACAAATGTTCACATTTTCTGTCTTTAATACCTTTCCTTTCTCTAAATACTCATTCTTTTCAAATTGTTCCTGCTGTTCTTTAATGACCTCTTCTTAAGTGAACTGTTTATCAGGCTGTCATGTTCATATTTCTGTTGAGAAAAAAGCAGGTTAAGTCTTGGAGAGTTGCTTCTAATATATGCCACATGTAACATTGAAGAGCTGTCTGTTTTCCATTAACTACTGAAATAGAAATTAGATAGTAGAAGCATGTTTTACAACTTCATTATGTTTTCCTTTAATTGTCCTATAGTGAGTGATCTGTCTAGACAGGAGTGTTAAGGGAAAAAAAGAAATACTTGTTACTAAGGGCAAATTTTTATTTGTTATAAAAAATGCTGATTAAATAATGTCTTAAAGTTTTTTACTTATATTTTTAAAATTATGGTCATTTTGTTTTTCTCCCCCTAGGTATATGTAATGCATACTTTAGCAGCTTCACTTTCTGCTTGTATTTATCAGTGCCTTTGTGGTAGTCATAACTACAGGTAAATATCCATTTGTGAAATTTAAGAATGTTTATAATAACTGATGAGTTTTCAGGATTTGTGTACTTTTAGTTTAGAAGACCTGTATGAAGTAATCTACTTTAAATAATGCAAAAAGCATGGATGACATATTAAATACCCTTGTTTTTTAATGTATTATGTCTTTATGGTTAGTGATTCCCAAATAAATAGAATATAACTTATTTACTACCCTTTAATTAATTACTGTATAACATGAGACTTTGTGATTAGGTCTTCTTCTTAAGGTCAGACAGACATGTGGACTGATAGCATATAACATGACTTGTAGTTAGTTAATAGATATGTTCCCTAACATGATGCATAGAAAAATACTTGGGGATCATACAGGAAGGAGTGATTGACTTGGACCTGAAAAAACTTTTTACAAAAATGATGTTTGTGATTTTTCTATTTATGTCCTGAGTTTTTCTCTTAATTTCATAGGACATTTTGGGGTCTCTCTGTGTCTGTTTTAGTTCTTTGAAATTATCTGACTTTATTTCTTAAAAATATTTTGTTTTCCCTCTTTTATTTGCCTTCCAATTTCACAGATGCTACAATTTGTAGGTCCTTCTTATTTTTCTTCTTGATGTCTTCTGTATGTTCTTTTTCAAAATTTCTTTTCTGTTTCCTTTTCCAGATACTAAATGATTCTTCAGCAGTCTCCCATCTTTTAGTTAGTCTGAGTTTGTATTTTATAAATTCTATTTTTTTTTCTCATTTTTATCATCTAAAACTTGGAAATATTACATGTGAAATTTAGTTTAGGTCATTATTACTATTAACGTTTTGTTTACTTTTTAATTTGTAGCAGTAGGACAGTCTATTGAGTTTTGTTAATAAATGAAAACAAAGTTTTTCTTTTTTCAGTTAAAGAATGCTTTCTGGTAACGTGTAAAGAAATGCAGAAACCACAAAACACCTTTTAAACACCTTATTCTCGAAAGTGAACTTATTTCCATAGATCATTAAGATTGAAATGTGTCCCTGGAGATTTTTATTGATGCATTTCTGTACATAATGACCTTGGTAGAAGGGAGTCTGTTTCTAGTGTTTGGGGCTCAATAGTGGATTCTTGGTTTCTGATTCAACCATTGATGAAAGGCCTCTATCATTAGGTGCCAAGAATAATTGTCTTTATTACTCTGGTTTTATTGGGTGAGGACTCTCCACTGGGCCAGGAAGATGTTATTTGTTACTGTATCATTGTTATTGTAGGTTTTTGTAAATTATTTGAATTTTTCTTCTTAGTTCACTTCACACAAATCAGTTTACTGGAATGGTATATCAGACAGTGCTTCTTCCCCATCGACATTCTTTGAAAACCGGAAGCCTAGATGAGGCAGTAACTCCCAGCACATCACCAGCTCAATGGCCAGGTATAGATAATTTATGTATCTATGAGTTTTTTTGGTCTTAATGATTTAACCATTTGAAGAATAATAAGTTTGGCTTAGTCCTGATGTATGATGTTCATTGTAGAATATTGTTAGAATTGACACCAGTATTTCCTCTTCATTATAAATTACGCAGTTACTTAACGTTAGTATTTCCTTAATAGTCATTTGAAGATAAAACAAGTGTTTTGTTTTTTATATTCCTCTACATTTTTCATAATAGCAAAATACTTTTTATAGCAATTAATTTTTTCAATCTGATTTAAGATTCCAAATTTTTAATATTTCTCTCAATTGAACATGTAGTTCAACATTCATACATTCACTTTAATAACTTTACTTGCCTGTGAATCTAGAGAAGAAAAGTACTGATGCTGTAACTTTTTTTTTCAAAAATTAGAAAAATGTTCTCAATTTTTAAATATTTAAAAAGTTGATTTAAATAGTTGCTATATTTGTTGTTCTTCTTCCAGGAATAACTTCTCTAATGCGACTTTTGAACTCTTCTGGAGAGGAAGCCCAGTCAGGGCTTACAGTTTTGCTCTGTGAGATTCTCACAGCAGTGTATCTTAGTCTCTTTATCCACGGCTTGGCGACACATTCAAGTAATGAATTATTTCGAATTGTGGCCCATCCTCTAAATGAAAAAATGTGGTCTGCTGTATTTGGTGGAGGTGCACATCTTCCTAGCAAAGAACAGACACACTCAAAAGCTTTACACGGTTCGTTTTAATTCTTTTTTTTTAAGCTGGAACTTCATTTGAGTGATAACTGTCAAATGTAATTTACATTTTAATTTGTTCACAGAAGGTTCTTGTTACAGACCATTTTCTGAAAGCATGACAATGCAGTATTAAGTTTCTGGTGCAGTTTTCAATCGCTAACATACTATTGCACCAATGATTACAACTATAATGTAATGTTCATAAACTTTTTACTGTTGAATTTTTGTTTGTTTGAAATATGCTATGATACTGGTTTTTGTTCTATCCCAAATCAGATTCTTTCTTCTTTCTTTGGCAGGAAGGCACTTTGCTATGCCTAGCCCCCACCAGGTAGTGGTATTCTCCATGGAATGTGTGGGCTTTTCCAAAGCTCTTTCAACCATCAGTTCTCATAGCCCTCCCAGTCTTGCAGGCAAGATATTAGTTTTAGAAATAGGCTTTTTCAGTTCAGCTTGCTTTGTGTTCTTTTGGAAGGGTTTGGGTAATGGGCCAGCTTTTTTTTTTTTTTTTTTGGTATTTACATTAGCCAATGGACAAATTTCCATTAATCAAGCCATATTTTTGATTTAAAACAATGATTTTTATTGTAGAAAACCAAGTCTTTTGTTTTATTCTGCTTTTCAGTGATTTGTTCTGGTGTTTTCTATCTCTTACACTTTAACCTATTTTTGAATGTATAGAATTTATTTAAGAAATGTCACTGTTAGTCATGGTAAATCAGACTATGGCTTGATGTGACTGGAAAAATATTTCAAATAAGGCTGCTTTATGTTTTGCATATTATGTTCTGGCCAGTAGGGGTTTTGGATTTCTAAGTGTTCATAATACCATAAAAAGTAAATATTTTAAATAATTACATCCTTTTCCAGAACTTTCAAACTGCAACTATATAATCTATTTAAAGATTAAAGCACTATGCTTTCTTGATCTGAAGAAGAATGTCCATGATGCTTTCTGCCCTTGTTAAGTTTTCTTTTCGTAATTTATTAACCACTATGGGGCAATACTGGTTCTCAGATTTTTAAAAATATTTTAATTTTCATAACATTTCCAATTTTTAAAAAGCAATTCCCAGTACTTTTTCAAAGCATGGATAAAAAGGAAAACAACTTCTCAGTAAACTTGCGTGGCATATCACTTTAACTGTATATATCTGAATTCAGTGTAGGAAAACTCTCAAATCTAGTAGCTATACAATTTATAGCTCCTCTGCGATTAGTTTTAAGTAATTTTGGAATTTTTAATGTGTTCTATGAGGAAATAATTTTGTAGTACTCTTATTAATACAAAATGTTTTTAAGGAATACATTTTGCTACACAATGTCCACATATCTATAAAAAATTGAAAATACATTTTCTCCTAACCAGCCAATAGTTTTCAGTTTCAACCATTTCTGCTAAGCACAGATAATGTAAAGATCCTTACTCAGAGTCCAGGGTAGTCTTTGCTTAAACACACAGGTTTAGTTGTTTCCAGGAAAAGATGGCATTAAATAAATTACATTTCAAGCACCATCATAAACAATATCCCAACATTTACTAAAACATTAATGAAGTGACCGAAATTATATACATTTAACCTCTTAGATTTGAGCATGCTAGCAAATGGTAAAGAATACATAAATTAAGTGGTTCACTTAGTAGTAGCCACACCCAGTTGTTTGATGCTGTCCAATCTTTGAGAATTCACAATTTAATCTGAATACAATCATAGATATAATAGAAAGGACATTTACAGAGAACATGAATGATGTGATTCATTCACTGCCTGCTAATTAGAAAAAGGTTAGTATTGAATGATGCTAACCATTGAATGATGAAGTCCAAGGCTTGCTGGTTCCAAAGCTTATTTAGTTTGAGAAGGAAAAGGTAAAAACAGAGTGAAAGGGGAAGAAGTGGAAACACTCGTAGGAATTTGAAGCAGCAGTCCTGTAAAGAAGCAGATCTACTAAGTTATGAAATGTCAGTGTTTGAAGCATTATTATGTTCTAAAGCAACATGGTTGTCTAGCAGTTGTAACTAAGCAGCCCTACATGTTTCAATTACCACAGAGCATAATCATGATAGACTTCCAAAAGTCTGATTGCATTAGGTGTAGTATTCAATAAACATTGTTCACCTAGAGACTAGAATAATGTGTTTTAGAAAAGTTGATATAAAGTCAGTGTACACACACACACACACGCACGCACAATTTTAGGTTTTAGTATTTCAATTTGGATAAATTTAAACTGACAAGTCTAGAGTACTGCATTTGTTTAATAATCTAGTCATTGTTAAATTATTATGTGTTGATGAAACTCATAGTTAAAACTAAATTTCTGTGTTCTTAAAAGTATTTTCATAATCTGGGCACCTTGATGTTACTTAAAGTAACTATTTTCATTGTTCTATGTAAAATCTGATTTTAATTTTTTTTGTACAATAAGAGTCTCATGAATTAAATTGTATTTCTCTCTACATAACTATTATATACTTCACCAATTCTTTAGTGATACAACATTTAAATTCAGTTAAGCTTTAAAATAAGAAAATGATAGTTGAGTTTTATTAGACTAGGTTGGTAGGTCACAATTCTTACCACAATATTAGTAATTTATTTTTCATCAATATTTGTGAATTCTGTTCGGTATGCTATTGAGAGTCTTATCTTTGCTAATTAGAACTGTAGTGTAGGTATGTTCTTAGAGTTCTGAATTATTTTGTTTTTATGGTTAATTGTTAAAGTAATGTTCAAAAGTCAATTTTTTCTGCTAACAGTTAGAAATCCATACTTTTGCTTTTTATTGCACATTTTAAAGCATAACAAAATATTTTGAGTTTTAATTGTGTTTTATAATATTTGCAATTATAAAAACTGTGAATTTTCTATCCTTACCTTGATAACTTTATAGTAATAATTTTTACTAAATTGTACAATGAAATATAAACAAATATTTTAAATTTAGTAGTCATGTGGATATTATTTTACTATGCAATTTGGATATTCTGATATTTGAAGTACATTTTTAACATTTGATTATATGTTAAGTACAGATAAGAAAATTTGTGTTTTTCTTTTGCCCATTAAGACTTGTTTAAAAACAAAAGCCTATTTAATAGCAGTTATCACATGTTAATACCATTCCTTTCACAAAATATGCAAAGTAGCAACATTTCTTGACCAGAAAAGGTAAGAAGACTGCAGCTTAGTATTTAAAATATAAAACAAATCACCTCTTCAAAATACCATTGAATATGCCAAACAAACTAGCTGCTGAATAGCAAAATAACTGAAATGGGAATACAATTTTGTTAAAGTACTGTGATAGACTTTTCATTAAGTATAGCATAGAATAAATATGTGTAATCATTCATTCATCTGTACATAAACATACTAAGGTCCTGTAATACCCTTTTTGTTTGTTCACTAGATAACTACCAAGGAAGGCAAATTCTGAGATAATAAAAGTAGTGGAAGCCCAGGTGATAACAGAAACATTTATAAATTTTTACAGATGAATATCCTTGTATTGCTAGGTCTTAGCTGTTTCTAACACCTCTGGCACCCCTAATTGCTATAACAAGTAGCTTTAATGTACTTTTTCCACTCTGATTTTGTTGTGTGTGTGTGAAAACATAATATAACTTAAAATTTATCACCATAACCATTTGTGTATAGTTCAGTGGCATTAAGTACATTCAATTTTGAAACATCTACAGGACATTTTTGTTTTACAAATTTTAAACTCAATTCTCAGTAATAAACAACTCTCTTTTTCTCTACCCCTTCTGATAACCACAGTTCTTTTTAAGTTCCATGAATTTTACTACTTTATATACTTGATAAAGCAAAAGTATTTTTCTTTTGATGACTGATTTATTTCACTTAGTGTAATGCCCCTCACACTCATTCATGATGTATCATGGGATGGATTTCCTTCCTTTACACACCTTAACTGTATGTATATACTCCATTAAAATTTTTAATGTCTTTTGGGTTTTACCTGAAATCTTATATACAGAATTATCGTATGGCTTTTAGGGTAATTGAAAAGTAGTATTTCTAAGGCAGTTTTTATCCATATTAAAAAAAATACTCAAAAAATACCTGTCAGTTTTTTTATGTGGAGTGCCCCTGATCATAAAGGAGAAGGAAACAAAATAAATGTACACACACACATACACACACCCTTGCTTCTTAGAAGACCTATCAGACTATGTTAGACTGCATAAGCTTACTGGGGGAAAAAAAAGCAAGAAATACATATGAAATCTTAAAATTACATGATTTTGATATTCTTCACATTTATTATTAACTTTCCTTGCATGTCTTTAAATTTTGAAGCTCATTTTGAGGCCCAAGACAATGTACTGCCTAAAACTTCCTGCATTTTCTGGCACTCTTAATAAAAGCCTGTTCCATTTTCTGGCACTCTTAATAAAAGCCTCACAAATAGCCCTGTAGATAAGCATGCCTCAAGAATGAAATGAATCTTCTGGTTACTTTGAGGTCAGGTTGAAAAGAGGTAATTAACTTGAGAATATATTTAAAATATAAACTGAAAATAATAAAACTAAATAGTAAAAATCATTTATGTTTTAATGTTGATCAAAACACTATGCATTGAATAATAAATCCAAGTGTACAGACGATCTTAGGATAAAATGCAATCTGTCTTTTTTAATTCCCATTCCTTACATGTAGCCTCTGAGCCATTTCTCCATTTGTGTTTTAAGTTCTTTGGAAGTTACCCTCTGATTCTAAGAAAACCACTGTACAGTTTGCTGGAGATAATTATAGAGGTTATTATAAGGGAAAGAAGGTACTTTTGAATGCTCAACTATCCCATCCTCACACAGAAGCCATTTTTAAAAAGTAATTTCTGTAAATCCCAGATAGCAAGAAATTTATTTGTAAATTCACGTCAGTACGTGGCTATTTTTCCCCATTCTCTTATTTCTCCATGCCCATGACCATTTGTAAATTCTATGTCCTACTTCATTTTCATTTCTCCCTAATAGTGTTTTTTTTTCCTTCTCTGTGTAATAAAGTAACCATTTTACCCTTAATATTGAACTATAGAAGGGATTTTTATCCAGGGAGTGGCAAAGTTGTATATACTTGATTATTATCTTTTCAAAAGTTGGCACGCAGTAGCTACATTGTCTTTTTGATACCCCTACACTTCATGACCACTGTAAGTCAAGGTAATTTGAGTACAAAATTGTCTTAGATATTGATGCAATTTGAGAGAAAATAAGAAGGAACGTCTCTCCTAAAAACAAGGCAGCGACATTTCATTTTTTCTGGAAGGCATCATTCAACTCTTTTTATTTATAAGTAATGTCAGTACTGTGAATATGTTCATCAAACTCTTTTTGATAAGTAGATTGATACTCTGGCATTGAGTATGTACATCTTAAGCATTTCTGTACATCTTAAGCATTTCCTTCCAGTTTGATGAATTTCTGTGTAACTCTAACCCTAGCTTCACAGTACTTCTCTCTTGAAAAGTCATATTTTGTTTTTAAAACACTCATTTTATCATGACATGACAATCAAGGAGGAAAGTCTATTAATTTAGCTTTCTTTTTTAGTTTATTTTTCCAGAGCTCCCCACAGCATCTATTTTCAGCATTGTAGTAAACAGAACAAGCAAAATGGCAATGTTAAACAAATGATATATTTATCTTAAACTTCACCATAACTTTTTTGAAAGGTAGAAAATGCCTTTATATTCTTTATTTTTTTATTTCATAAGAATTTGATAACATCAATTTAAGTTTGAGAATATACATAACTGCAGAAGGCATAAAAGAAGCAACTGTGGGTTACCATTTCTAGTAAGAAATGGAAAAATTCCACATATAATTTGATGGTTCTTTTTAATAATCATCACTTTTTAGCAATCTTAGGATACTAATTTTGTTTTTCTTTATTTTTTTATTTGTGAAATTACTAAATTACACTGTTAAATTCAGCCTGGCTGTAGCTTCATACAGTGCATGAGCATGCTTTTTATGCAAGCTGAGTAGCTTTAAACAATTACATAAAATTATATTACAGCTCAAGTTATTTGCATTCCTTTAGAAGGTAAGTAAATTCTTGGTGGGACCATTGCAAAGGTGATGGTGCCATAATATGGAGTTTTTTTGCCTTTCTAATAGACCATTCTTAGTCTGGGAGATTTTTGATCTTTTACTGGTGATTTGCAACTTGTGACATAGCATTGATTAGTGTTTTCCTCCATTAATGTTACCTGTATTCTTACATAAAATATTAAGCAAATATGAACCCTCTGTTAAGTATTTATAAATTAAAACAATAAAGGTAATGTTTTCTTCCCTTTATTATTCTGTTGACAAGAAAATTCCATCTCCACACCTTTCTGAAAGTTTGACTAAATTCAAATAGGTAATAGTGTTTCAGTGTTTTTATATTTTAGTGGGAAATGTGGCATTATATGTAGATAAAAGGCAAATAAATGGTTACTGCAAAATTTCATAAATGAGTTAATTGCCTTTAACATTTACATTCTGTGATATTCCTCTTCCCTGTGATGCTCTTACATAAAATGGAAGAACATGAAAAAATTTCCAATATGGCCTTAGCTACGTTGTCACCCATTTATAGGCAGATATTACTCCTGTTACTTCCATGTGTAATAGATTATCAACATCCAACAAGCAAAGACAAACTTACATGGAAAGAGATACTACTCTGCCAAGTGACTTTTGTTTCATTTTGTTTGCTTTCTTCCTTTATTCTCATAATCTCAATTTTATATGTGCAGTCTTATTTACTTGTGTATTACATAGAGTCCAGTGAAAATGGTTCTTCTTTAATGATACTTTATTTTGTTTTATTAGTTTCTTCACTAGTGGAAGAAGGAGAGAAACAGAATAAACGTTTTAGGACATCAAAAATGTCTTCCAGAGAATCTGCCCCACAGACTTCTGCCTCACCACCAGTAAACCAGGACTCGCTGAAAGTGAAAGAAAAATTCATCCCACCTGAGCTTAGTATCTGGGACTATTTCATAGCCAAGGTAATGAAAGTTGCTATTCAGATGAGTATATATGTAGTCAAACAGAAATGAAAATGTTTAAAACAACTATGATTGTCCCTGTGTCAAATGCTTTCCACTCCCTAAAGTTTTCATTTTCTGGTACTATATTACAATATATATATGGTTAATATTTTAGTACTAATATACATAATACTAATTAAGAAATCCAAAAACTATCAGGAGGCAAAGTGCTATCCATACTCCTTCCTTTTCTCTACTACAGGCTATTGTGCATTATTAAGATACACTCAAATTTCAGTTACCACATTTTAAGTATCATTCTCTGTACAATGCAGTTCAAATTTATTTAAATCACCACAATTAAGTAATGAATTGCCACATAAAATTTAATCTTGCCTGTTAGTGTTTTAGTTCCCAGATCAATTAGTAAATAATGGATGAACCTCATGATCTGTGATCAGTCAGAGCAGTATTTTCAAAGGCTATTGGTGATTGGTTATTTAATACCTGTTAGTTCACACACAGACAACAAAGCACGTGGTTGTCTTAATTGTTTCCCATGATAAACTCATGTGGTATATGTCTCAGAATTAATCAGATTACTTATCTGATAATCACAAAATGACCATTTCTCTAAAAGCAATTTATAGATTAGGGGCAATTCCAATGAAAAAAAAAATGTCAGTGGCATTATTCAAAGAACTAGAGCAAATATTCACATGGAATCAAAAAACCTCTAATAGCCCAACCTATCCTTACTGAAAAGAAGAAGAATGGAGATACTATACTCCCAGACTTAAAACTATACTACAAAGTCATAAAATTCAAATAGCATTGTACTAGAGCACAGACACACAGACTAATAGAAAAATTGAAAACCCAGAAATAAAGCCATACACATATTGTGATCTGATCTATGTACAAAGGAGTAAAAGTATGCATTGGAACAAAAATAATCTTTTTTTTTTTTTTTTAAAGATTTATTTATTTGTACATACAGAACTGGGGTACAGGCCAGAGGCTCAGGGGCAGTGAGAGGCTTCACAAGAGACAGAGTGGGGAGCAGAACAGGCAGATCGACGAAGTACACTGCTGAGGGGAGCAGCGGGCGGGTCAGGAGAGGTCTGCCACGCCATGTGGTCACCTCCGGGGCAGGCGGGAATCGAACTCATGCGGAAGCGGCTTTAGATTCTCAGTGCAGTGCTTTAACCCGCTGCGCCACCAGGGAGGGCCACAAAAATAATCTTTTTAATATTAATTGTGCTGGGGAAACTGGGCCACTACTAATGAGACTAAATAGTATATCACACCATACACAAAAACCAAGTCTAAATGGATAAAATACTTCACTGTAAAAACTAAAACCATACAATACATAGAAGAAAACACAGGCACAACACTCCATGACATACATCTCAGAAATATCTTTGAGGACTCATCCCCAGAAAATGAAGGAAGAGATGAACAGCTGACACTGCACCAAGCTAAACAGCTTCTGTACCTCAAAAGAGACAGTAACCAAAATGAAGAGACACCCTACAGATGGGAAGAAAATATTTGCTCCATTAAGGGACTAATATCAAAGACCTACAAAGAGCTTACACAACTCAACAAAAACAAAGAAAGAAATCCAGTTAAAAAGATGGGCAGAAGAACTAAAAATACACTTCTTAAAGAGGATATGCAAGTGGCCAACAAATAGATAAAAAAATGCTCAACATCACTTATAATCAAGAAGATGGAGATCAAAACCACAGTGAGACACCATATCAGACCAGTAAGAATGGCCCTCATTAAAAAAAAAAAAAACAAAAAACTGGTAACAACAGATTTTGACAAGGATATGGGGTAAAAGGAACCCTCTTACTTTCTTGGAGGAAATACAAACTGGTCCAACCACTATGGAAAGCTATGTGAGTGTTGCTCAGATTACTAAAAGTGGATCTACCGTATGATTAAGCAATTCCACTCTTAGGAATCTACCTGAGGGATACAAACATACTAATGCAAAAGGAAATCCACACTCTTGTGTTGATTACAGCATTACTTACAATAGCTAAGATATGGAAATAACCTAAATGTCCAACAGCAGATGGCTGGATCAAGAAGACATGATGTGTGTGTGTGTGTGTGTGTGTGTGCCTACCATACTTTTGTTACACATGCTTGTTTCTTTTCTTGCTATTTGACTTTTCTCTCATAAAAGATAGGTCCCAATAATATTCTTTAAATATAAATCTTAATAACTGTACTCTACTTAAACATCATTAGTGGCTATTGCATTCCTCAATACAACTTCCACATCTTTACCTCATCTATCATCTGTTCGTTTAGCCAAAAGGCCATGGAACTAACCTACATTTGCCACAGCAGATCTCTCTTGTCTCAGCCATTGCTTCCTTTCACAATGTATTTCAGTAAATCCACCTGTTCTGTTTCCCACTCTTGTCTTTAGTGAATCCTTTCACCTCATGGCCTACACCCCAGTTCTTCTGTGTAAAACAAAACAATAGAGTCTTTCTGTGTAGTATCCCACTGTCTAAAATACTACTCTTTTCTTTATGATAAGACTTTTTTCTTAGTTTCCTTTAGGTCTTATTTTAATGCTGCTTTGCAAAGATATCTTCCATGACTGATTTATCTCAACGATTTTTAATTTTCTTAATCTGGACACTGTTTTTTGGTACAGCACACTAACTGTAACTTGTTCTCTGTCATTTGTGTATTTTTTCCAGTAGCTGTAAATATTATTGAACAGCAACTGTATAGACCTTAAAAAATTTTTAATATCATATATACTTTTTTTACACATCATGGATACTTAATGGATTCTTTGGTAGCTAGGTGTAAAATGGAAATTGTATAAAGTGGTGTCCAAATATTCCACTGTAAAAGTCACAGCTTTTTTTTTTTTTTTTTTTTTGGGTATAAAACTAAAGTAGCAATACTCATTATTTATGATGAAGTGTTTTAAAATAGGATAAATTGATAATAGTAGACTGTATAATTGAATATATTAAATTAGATAACTACATGATAAATTATTTAACTTTTTTTTTAGCCTTTTCTACCCCCTTCCCAAAGTAGAGCAGAGTATGATTCAGAGGAGAGTCTGGAAAGTGATGACGATAATGATGATGTTTTATCTTCAGATTTCCATCTCCAAGAGCATTCTAATTCAAATTCATATAGGTATGGAATGTTTATTTTTAGATTTCCTTTAAAAATGCATTATAGTTCAATACCTAAAATACTTTAAATTAATATCTGTAAAATTAATAGCTTAGTGAATTAATAACACATACTTAGATTTCTTTCATTGAAATTGTTCTTTTATCTTATTAACAATGATCCCATATTTAGTTTTTCCTTATCCATGAAGAACAAACTGTACTTTATATCACTTCTCACAAATCTTGCTGTCACATTATTTATTCTCTTTACTCCATGGGATAAGCCAACCTCTCTGTTTTATCCCTAGAACTAGTGTCTATTCAGTAGAGCATATTAGTACTCTAAGAACTCAGTATTATCATAAAAATTATAAAAATTGAAAACATTCACTCCCCTGCTCTAAAACTTCATTATCCTTACATATGTAAATTATAACATATTAACTTCTCTTGATGTAATTTTTATATATAAAACATACATTTGTTTTATTAAGACATGATATACTAGTTGTGTTATAAAAGATAAAAATTTCAAGAGACTTAAGGATTTTAGGAAGAATTAAGTGTCACTTTATTAAAGAAAAAATTTTTATGATATTTTTACTTTCTGGTGTATTTTTTTTTCCTGTTGACCAAACAAAATATTTACCTTGCTCAAAAATCAAATTGTGTAACTGGAGAAAAAAAATCAAATAACTCTCTTAAAAAATGGGCTAATGCCATGCATAGACAAATTTCCAAGGAAGATACACAAAGGTTCAGTCAGTAAGGGAAAAGATGCCATTACTAGTCACTAAGGAAACACAAATCAAAACCATAATGACTGTCACCTCACACCCAGTCGGATGGCTACTGTCAAAACAAAACAAGCAAACAAACAGAAAATAATAGTGTAGGCAAGAATGTTGTGAAATGGGCACCTAGTGCCCTGTTTCTAGCATTGTAAAATATTACAGCATCTGGGAGAACTATATGAGAGTTGTTCAAGAAGTGAAAATAGATTTACAATATGACCCAGCAATTTCACTTCTGGATATATACCAAAATGAATTGAAAGCAAGATCTCAAATAGATACTTATATACCAGTGTTCATAACAGCATTATTCAAAGGTTGAAAGCAACAAGTGTTTGTGAGCTGATGAATATATAAACAAAATCTAGGGTATATATATTCAGTCTTTAAAGGAATGGAATTTTTTTTTAGAGATTTATTTATTTATGCATACATGAACTTGGGTACAGGCCAGAGGTGCAGGTGGTGAAGGGATTCACTAAAGACAGAGTGGGGAGCAGAACAGGCAGATCAGCGAAGTACACTGTTGAGAGGAGCAGCAGACAGTCAAGAGAGATCTGCCATGCCATGTGGGTAGCTCCCTGGGCCAGGGATCAAACTTGTGCTCCGTGGCTGTGCATAGCATATTGCTGTGCATAAGCCCTTGTGCCACCAAGGAGGGAGGCCCCCAAGAATGGAAATTTTGACACATACTATTACATGTTTGAAGCATAAAGATACTATGCTCAGTGAAATAAACCAGTCACAAATAAAAGACAAATACTGTATGATTCCATTTAGATAAGATCCTTAGAAAAGTCAAATTTATAGAAGCAGAAAGCAGAATGGTGATTGCTTGGGCTAGGGTAATTGGGAAATGGAGAATTATTTCTTCACAGGTATAGAATTTCAGTTTTGCAAGATGGAAAGAATTCTGGAAATAGATGGTGGTGATAATGGCTGCAAAACAGTGTAATATACTAATGCCACCAGACATTATGCTTAAAATAGTTAAGATAATTTTATTTTATGTATATTTTACTACGTTGATTTGACAGTGGAAAAGGCAATAGTCTCAGAAATGTATTGCACTTGAAACAAAAGAACTGAGTTATCTTTAAAAAAAAGTAAAACTATAGAAATATGGTATCAGAAGCCTTAAATTTCTCTGTTGCCCTCACTTCTCCCATAGATTATGCAGACCCATTTTTGTTAAGTTTCTTTTGCAAAAGTTTGCAAATGTGTGTTTGTAAAATTTTATTCTCCTTGATTGCTCACAATAGTGAGCATACTATTTTCATAAAATTTTATCATTTGTTTTTTGTTTATACATACATGCTGAATTTCTCTTCATATTATCATTAAAGAACCTTCTTCATTCTTTTTTTTCTAATGACTACTGTAATATTCCATGGTTCAAAGCTATATTTATCACCATAAAGCTATTCTCTACTCTCCTAGTAGATAATTGGGTTGTTTCTCCTCTTTCGTTACTGTCAATATTGCTGACATGATGTAATTACAAGCATATTTTATTTTTTTGTGTGTGAAGGTCTGGCTTCAGGGTAGTTTCATAGTAGTGAATTTATTGCATCAAGAATGGTGTTCTTTTCTAAATCCCCAAGTAAATTTTAACGAGATCTATTGCTTTATTTTAGTTGGTCATTGATGCGGTTAGCAATGGTGCAGTTGGTGCTCAACAATTTGAAGACTTTCTATCCATTTGCAGGCCATGACCTTGCAGGTAATAAATACCAACATGAACCAGATTACCTTTGTTTGATTTATTCATTTTTTTATCAGTGGAGAAAATTTTTATAAGTTCTAATGATTACAGAATATGGGTTTCTCCAAGCCAATCATTGTGCCTATCTTAATTAGTTTCTCTAAAGAGGACAACATCGTAGGAAGCAGAAGATATTGACCTGAAGCACTTGACTGTATTGAGACTGGTGTTTATAGCTCTAGCTGAAGTGCTAGATATTTAATAGTAGTGAGCATATAGAAAACCCAGCAAGCACAAAAATTTAGTGCTTACTAACTCCCAGGGAGGCCTAGATTGTACAGGAAAGATAGAATTCAGGAGTATGGAAGCGAAAGCTGGAAAAGGCTAGTTTTATGTTCAGTATTATATAACACTTATTTTTTTTACTTCTGTGTATTTCAATTTTCTAATCAAATGTGTATTTCAATTTTCTAATCAAATGTCAGTTGTATGTCATACAGACTTTGGACTCATAGAAAGGTTAAAGCAGTTAATTTTTCTCGAAAACATATTTTCATAATCTTCAGGTATCTTTTTCTTGTGAAATTAAAGTCAAAAGCAGTCATTGTTTAAATCATAAGTCTTATAGGTTATTTCAAGTTTTAGTAGCAAAACTATGATGTAATGTTGAGTTACATTACCTTTTTTTTTGTTCTTCTAGATCAATTTATGGTAATCAAATACTATACAGACTTATGGCACCATGTTTTTAAGCCTCTAAATTTCTTTCCCATCTGTCTCATACTGCCAGAATGTTTTAAAATTGGATATAACATTTTACTGTTGAAGGAAATGTGTACAATTTTGTTTTCCTTTTTCAGAGCTTCCAGTTAGTTCACCACTCTGTCATGCAGTTCTAAAAACTCTTCAGTGTTGGGAACAAGTTCTTGTCCGAAGACTTGAAATCCATGGTGGGCCACCTCAAAACTACATTGCAAGTCATACTTCTGAAGAGAATTTGTCTGCAGGCCCTGCACTTCTCCGCCACAAAGCTTTGCTAGAACCTACAAACACTCCTTTCAAGTAGGTTTCCTAGTTATGCTATTCTTAGGTGTGAGTTTTTTTTTAAAGATTTGTTTATTAATGCATGCAGAACTGGAGTACAAGACAGAGGTGCAGGGGGTGGTGAGATTATTCATCAGAGACAGAGTGGGGAGCAAAAGAGGCAATCAAATTGAAATGCACTGCTGAGGGGAGCAGCGGGCAGGTCAGGAGAAGTCTGCCGTGCCATGTGGGTAACCTCCAGGGCCGGGGATCAAACTTGTGCTGCAGTGGCTGTGACAGCTTTATAGTGCTGCACTTCAACCCATCGCTCCACTGGGGAGGGCCCAAGCATGAGTTTTAATAACAGGATTTGGACAGTTACTTAAAGAAAACAAATTAAGTGGTTGTATGTTTAATTTGCTGTTCTAGACTAATATGCAAGTCTTTGTGTGTAGACTATCACAGTCCAGAATTTAGCAAACATTTACTGCAAAGCCTAGATAGTAAATAGTGTAGATTTTGGGGGTCATATACTTGTTTAAATTATTATCTAATTGTTTAAATTATTGCACTGTAGTTTGAAAGCAAATGTAGATAATAAATAAGGTAATGAATATAGCTGTAATCCCTTAAACTTTTAATATCTAAAATGGAAGGTAGACCTATATTTACCTGTGGATCATATTTTACTGATGCTGACTCTAGACCAGTACCTTTTAAAATAGTTAATTAGCAAACTGTTTTACTTGTCCCTGTGAGATAAGACATTTATACATCAAAGGTGAATCAACACATTGCTTGTTTTATCACGAAAGTCTTACTATGGAAAAATGCCAATTAAGCCATGTACTTAGTGACTTATTGGCATAGTTGATTGACATTGTTTCATAAGCCTCATTTTTTTCATCAGTAGCAAAGGTTTCATGGACTGGTGGGTTCCAGGCAACTCTTTAAGTAGCTCTGCTTCTAGACCTTTTCTAGGAAGCACACCAATATTGTTAAATCTTAAGTTTGTAGTTTAGGTTTTAGCAAACCTCAGCTCATGTAGTTAAGACAATAACTTTTGTCAATAAGGTTTTATTAGCTCACAGTCATGCCTTTTTATTTTAATTTTACTTTTGGCTCCCATCTCACTACAGTGGTAGAGTGATAGTAAGAAGACATACTGGCCACAAAGAGTAAACAGTTACCTGTCTGGTTCTTTTAGGTGATTGCTGCCTCTATGATATGGTCTGATTTCTTGCTACTTTATCTCTATGAACATTCACATAAAACCAAGGAAATGCAGTCAAATTAACCAGAAATCTCCAAATATACTTATATACTTACATATACTGTCTGTTTGTAGATCCAAGCACCATGTTGCATTGTCTGTGAAGAGACTGTGGCAGTACTTGGTGAAGCAGGAGGAAATTCAGGAAACCTTTATCAGAAATATATTCACAAAGAAAAGGTGTCTGAATGAGGTGTGTACATGTGAAAATCAGTTTGCTGTGTTACTATGAAAGTCTGTTGTTCTATATAATCATGAAGAGTAAGTTGCATTCTATAGACTTTTAAACTCATTCTATGTCATAAACTTAAGTTTGCAGTTAAGTATAAAAAATGATTAAACTTCAGAGGTCAGTGTCAATTGAAAGTAATTTAGATGTATTTGACTTTTTTCCTAAAAATATAGAGTTAAGAGTCTATATTCCTGTATTGAACTGAGATAATCTCTACTTAAAAACAAAAGTAGAAGTTTCCCTGATTCTAAAGTGATAATTAGAATTTTACCTTAAAAGTTTAATTGAAATTCAATTCATAAGATGAAAGCATTACAAATATGTACATTTTGCTTTCATTCTATTGATTGAACTTAATGAAGCTAAGAAATTGTATTTATAGTATAAGTGGTTTATTATAATTTGATATTATGATAATAATTGCATCTTTGTTTAGTCCATTGTTGCTAAAAATTACTAGTTTGATGACAATCGAGAACTTGCACCTGAATAAAAATTAACATGGCTCCCTTCTTTGAAACAGTGTGTAAACTAAACTGTGTATTTAGTGATGTATTTGATTACTTTTCTCCTCATCGCCCTTAACAAAAAGACCAGCAGTTGATCTATGGATCACATTTTGAGAAAGTCTGAAAGCAAATTTTATATAGTTTATGAAGTGGGAAAAGTTAAAAATTTTAAAAAGTTAAAAATTGCTTTTGGAGAACTAAAGATGGATAGTTTCTTAATAGCTGAGTTTGCAAAAAAGCAGTACAACATCTAATCCTATTTTAAAAAAAAAAAAGGAAAATCAGTGTAAGTCATTAATTTTTAAGAGACAAATCCTTGTGCTACTAATTTACTATTTTCCTGACTGTGTGAACACAAGCCAGAAAGCAAAATATAGTTCTTGCTGCATTAAATTTTTGACATATTACCTTTGTATAACTTTAATATTATACTAAGCAGTAGGTAAAATAGTTATTTCTGTTTTTCCATATTTCTACTTAACTTTATGTTAGATCTGTTTTTAATATGTAATATAACAATTATTATTAAAACCATTCAAGAAAATGTTTTGATAAAAAAGGTTATCTGGAGAAGGGTCATTTAGGATTTGTGCAGCAATGTTTCTGATTTTATCTTGTTTATTGTAGCATATCTTTGCATTTAATAATTTATTTGGAATTAAGGCTTTCTCATAACCTATATATAAAGCACTACTCTATTAATCTATATAAAAAGCACGTTTACTGTGCTCGGTACTCCTTGGATTTTGCTAATGGAGTTTTCAATGTGGATATGCTAGTTTAGTATAGTAATATGATTAACATAGTTATAAAATAATCTTTCCATTATATATTTAGTGTATCAGGGAACTGAAATAGTTCTCTAAACAAACAAAACTGTAGTACCATTAGATTGTCTAGTTGAGTCAGGGAATAGAGCAGCATAACTAAGTCAGAGTGTATGCAGAAGGAAACCAGATAAGTGAGTACTACTAAAACTTCTAAATCTCTCTGTTGTTTTATTCTTAGTTCTTTTTAAATGTCTATGATAATCCTAAGAAAATTTTGAAGTTATTTTTGTATTGTAATTATTTTGATCAAAGCATGAATGTGAGTATTGCACTAAAAGGTTTATTACTACCAATCTTTTGTATTTTAATGTTTGCCTCTTTACCTGTAAAATGTAAGAACATTACTTTTTTCTTTCCAGTGTTTTTGACAGCAGTTTCAATATACATAAACCTGGCCTCTACAATTTTTGCTTGCTTTTGTTTACTTATTGAAGAGTTTTTTTGTTTGTTTGTTTTTGTTTTGCTGGTGTTACTCTAAAGATAGTGACATTTTGTGTAAAGGAATATTAAAATAAAGTCTATGTAGTAAAATGTAGGTTGAATAAGATTATTTAGATTAACTTTACAGAGAGGTACAAGATTATCACTGGATAGTCGATACCCTGTTTTTGGTATTAACAAAACAAAATTCTTTGTAAAAAATATAGTCTTAAGTCACTGACTGCAGATTCTTAGAAAATAGACGCATGAAAAGCACTATATTTGAGGATGATTGAATGTATTTTGCAAAGTGTTGTTTTTTTTCATTGCTTTGTATATCTGAAAATGAAATTTTATGATGTCTTCATCTGACAAAATCCTGTGTGTACTCCGATCTTTTCTTTTCCTGTCTGGTGTACATGCATTTATAAGATAAAAGATACACCCTATTTGTACTTACTGAAAGTTTAGTATAGGAAGGGGGGAAATGGTTCCCTGTAATCTTTAGCCCCAATTTTGTTTTTGTGTACTTTCATCTTCTAAGATTTTTTTTTAAAGATTTATTTATTTATTTATACAGAACTGGGGTACAGGCAAGAGATGCGGAGGGTGAGAGGATTCACCAGTGACAGAGTGGGGAGCAGAACAGGCAAATCAATGAAGTACACTGCTGAGGGGAGCAGCGGGAGGGTCAGGAGAGGTCTGCTGCGCCATGTGGATCTCCTCTGGGGCAGGCAGGAATCGAACTCATGCGGAAGTGGCTTAAGCTTCGTAGTGCTGTGCTTTAATCCGCTGTGCCACCAGGGAGGGCCCTCATCTTCTAAGATTTTAAGAGGTCTTAAAATCATTCAACTTTTTCTTTAACAAATGATAATATCCCATTTATGATGGATTTGTATCTATTAGCAGTTTGATTTTTTTTTTTTAAAGATTTATTTATTTGTGTATACAGAACTGGGGTACAGGTCAGAGGCTCAGGGGCAGTGAGAGGCTTCACCAGAGACAGAGCAGGGAACAGAACAGGCAGATCGATGAAGTACACTGCTGAGGGGAGCAGTGGACGGGTCAGGAGAGGTCGGCCACACCCTGTGGTCACCTCTGGGGCAGGCAGGAATCGAACTCATGCGGAAGCGGCTTTAGATTCTCAGTGCTGTGCTCTAACCCGCTGCGCCACCAGGGAGGGCCAGTTTGATTATTTTTTTGTTAAATCATAAGATAATTAGAAACTTAGAAATAAAAATTTTTTATTTCCGTTTTCTTTAAGGAGTTGAGCTATAATGGAACAAGATAGAGTAGCACTGATAAAACCCATCATAAATGGGATATTAATATTTGTTAAAGAAAAAGTTGAATGATTTTATGATCTTTAGTTCTTAGAAAATGAAAGTACACAAAATTGGGGCTAAAGATTACAGGGAAGCATTTTCCCCTTTCCTATACTAAACTTTCAGTAATTGTTTCATTATAACATTGATGAGGGGAAGAAAATCCATCCAAATTGGATGAAATGGTGTTTCAATTATGTTACCAAGGACTTGCTTTGTTATAAGTTGCCTAAAATTGTAGTCTTGCTTTATAGTTGTAGTGTTTAAGAATCTGTCAAAATCATTAAGTGATGACTGGTACTAATGGCTCTGGAATCTTTAATTTCAGTCTTGCTTTACTGTCAGCATTTCAGACTAATTTGTGTGAGTAAAAATTTCTTAGGAAGTAGAGTTAAATTTACTGTGGTAGTTAATGAGTTGTGAAGGATTCTGTAAATTTAAGTTTTCCCCAACTCCTTGACGATGCACACCCACACCCATGTTTCTTTTAAGATACAAGAGATTTAAAAACTAGTATCTGTGTCTAATGTTATTTTCTAGCAAATTTGGTTAAAAATATAATGAAAACATATCTCCAGTGTTGCATGTTGCATCTCGTCTTTACTCTCTGTCATTGGTTATTCTTTTTGATGAAGTCATTAGGGGACAACTGTGAAACTATCAAAAATGCTATGCTGGAGGAGCCAAACATCAATAAGGTACAACATGTCATTCAACAGAAATTAGAAATTGCATTCTTTCACAAGAAAAACAAATATTTGTATTTTGCTTTTGTGCTGCATTTTATTTCTGATGAAATTAAATAACTGTTCCCTTAAATTACTCTTATTTTAACAAGTATTGCAATGATAAGTATTATTTCTGTTTTGTGAATAAGAGAATGCAATTTTAAAGGGAGTTGAATGTCTACTCTGTTTTGGCTACTGAGTAAAAACACTAAATAAACTGAAGGTCTTAAGACAATGTGTTCACAACAGCCATTGTAGTTATAGTATTGTTCCATTTCTGCAGGTGTCACTCTCCAAGTTAAAAATATGTCCTGTGATTATCCCTTTAAATAAGTCAAATACTATTATATGACATTTATTTTACTGCTAGAAATAACTATAGCACATGGGCTTTGTTCCTATAGTAATTACTCAGTATTTGTTAAAAAGAGCGCAAAGAATGAAAAGTTTTACAATCATGAAATAAATATTCTGTCGTCACTTATTCAAATATTTCTCTTAGATTGATTTTTTAAGCCATGCTTTTCATATTGTGTATGACTCACTAATTTCAAGGTAATCCTCATAGTAATTTTTAAGGGAGAATTTTCTGAAAAGACTTCATTAAGCCTACAAATTTCCACCTCTTACTCTTTACGGAAAGACTCTTAATCAAATAGATGAAACAATTCTGTGAAACTGACAAAATAACTGATTTATGTCAAGTAAGATTAAATAGAACTTTGATGAAATAGATATAGGTGGCCTGTCATTCCCAGTAGCCTTTGAGTGTTTTCAAAGGATATAATTCAAGCTTAATAAATTCAAAGCTTAATTGTCTGAGTAATCATAAAGTGCTATAATTTATGGAGTATCAGGAATTCTTACCTAAAGACTTTTCTTTTGATGTTATTTAATGTTAATAATCAGAGTGTTGGATTTCTATATCATTGCACTAAATTAAAATGTAATCATCCTGTTTGATTGACATTTTGATAATTTTTTGTCAGAATCTTTCAAACTGAGCTATAGTCTTTTTTTAAATAGACTCATTAAATATATCTGACTTAAAGTAGCTGTGTAAAGTGTAGCGTTTGATAATTTTTGGCATATGTAGACCTCATAAAGCTACTACCACAGTCAAGATAGCAAATATACCTATCATAACCCCAGAATTTTAATCTCTCCTTTGTTTCACCCCTCCTTCCACTGTTGTCTTCCTTTCCAAGCAACTATGAGTATCCTTCCTGACATTATAGATCAGTTTGCGTTTTCTGGAATTTATGTTTATCCATTTACCTGTTGATAAATACTTGAGCATTTTGCATTTCAGGGCTGCTTAAAATACAACTGCTTTGAATATTCATGTACACATCTCTCTGTGTGGGCATATGCTTTCCTTTCTTTTGCGTAAATGCCTAGGAGTGGAATGACTAAATCACATTGTAGGTGGGTGTTTAACACTTTTAGAAAATGCTCATTTCCCAACTTAGTTGTACCATTTTGCATTCCTTGCAGAAATATATGAAATTTCACTTGATTCACATCTAAGTAACCCTTGGTATGGTTATTCTTTTTATTTCTGTCATTTTAGTAAGTGTGTAGTAGGAGTTTATTATGGTTTTAATTTTTGTATGTATACACACACACACATTGTATTTTGTATACCCACTCCTCTGTTGATGTTCATTATGAACAATGCTAGTGTGAACACTGGTATACAAATATCTTCTCAATTCACTGTATTCAGTTCTTCTACATATGTGACCATGACCAGAAATGAAATTGTTAAGTGTTTAGTTTTTCTGTCTGCATATTCTCTGAAATCATCTTAGCACTAATATTCGTCATCGTATTTCCTTATGCAGCCAGCCCAATCACGTTTTATAATGTTTACTTGAGACTTTTATAAAGTTGATTTGAGACTTGACTTTAAGGCCTTTAAGACTGTATTTATTATGAGTATATTATATGACCTTTTACAAATTAAATTGTATTCATAAAAAATGAGAGTTCTGTTCTTTTGCATATGTAACCAAAAGTGAAATTGTTGAATCATGTAATAATTCTGTTTAGTTTTAGATATTCCTGTCTCCTTCCTTTCCCAGGTTAAATCCCATGATCTATTGTCATGATCATTCTCTTGTGAGCATCCTCAGTGCTTTCATCCTGTTCTTGCTACTCTATTTGACCTGAAAATTTCCAAATCTATTTAAAGACAACTGTATTTTGTTTTTGTGCCCAAATAGCTAAACACAGAAAAAGCACAAACCATGGGGTCTTATTTCTTCCAGATATATTGCCACAGATTCCAAATGCAGATACTCAGCAACCTTAACAGATTGTTCAATAGTAAATTTGTCTTTTCATTCTTCCAATTTTGGTCATATTTCCAATATTTTGTCTTTAATAGTAGACTAGCTGCCACTTTTATCTAGTGTCAAAAGTACTTTTGAACAAATATACTACATTACCTTTTAAAGGAAAGCCAAAAAAAGCTATTTTTGAATCTATCTTTACACCATTTTACTAATCCCATGTAGCAAAATTCCTTCATAGAGTTACCAGTAAAGTCACTCAAGAACATTAAGAGTAATACTACAAACAACAGGTAGGAACCACCCAACATAAGAAATAAAACTAAGTTAATATGTCGGTGAGTTTAGCCTTATAGACTTCATTCCTTGTTTCCTAAACATGTCTCTCTAATAAAGTTAGGTATTATCTTCAATCTACACAAAGATTTTCCTAGTCAAAACCACCATTTACTTTAGTAGTCATCGGTAAATTCCGTAGTAAATTCTCTTCTTGTAATTCAGATTTTTAGTATCATTTGGTATTGCTGTTCTTGTAATTCAGATTTTTAGTATCATTTGGTATTGCTGATCACTGCCACTCTGCTTCCCGTAGTTTCTATAACACCAGACCTTACTATTTCTTATATTCACTGTTTTCCTGCTTTCATTAATTATTGCTTTCCCAGGAATTAATTAATTCTAACCTTTTTTTTTGCCTTCTCTGTATTTTTTCTTTGGGTTATTCATGGCTTAAATGTCATTCACATTCTTAAAACTTTTAATTGTCATTAGGCCCACTTATTTCCTGATCTTCAGACTTAAATGCTTAAATGCCCAGATGTCAAAACACACAGTTTTCTGTTAATTAAGTTACCAAGTCTGAAAACTAAGAGTTATTTGCCTCCTTCTACTTTACTTATAATGCAATTTCAGTCCATTAGGAAAGTTTATCCTAATTTCAGTCATGTGTTATTTCCTGCCCTGTAGGAACTTTCCTGCCCTTAAGTGTTAAGTTTGAGGAAAGTCTGCTAGTGAAACTGATGTTTCTCCACACTCTCTCATCTCCCTACCCCATTCATTATTAGCAAACAATATATTTCTTGAGTCTTTGAAAGTCTCATGTCTCTATTTCAAATTTCTTCAGAATTCACTAGTAGACATTTAGTCTTTTATATAACAGGAATATACCTTGCGAAATTGGGATTTTTGTTATGAAATTACAGGGTATAATTAATAGATTAGTACTAGGTGATAAACCTCTAGTAGCCAGAGCTAAGCTTTATTTCTTAGAAAAGTTCACCCCAAATCAACCAAAATGTTTAGTAAACACTGGAATTCTTCTGTTTATAATTAAATTGCATTTTAGATTAGAATATATTTAACATCTTAACATCCAATGACTAATTTTTTAAGAGTTGTTTTTATCTGGTTGTCTCTAACTTGGCAGTAGAAGTCATTTTAGTTGCCACTTTTAAAAAGGCTGTTGATCTTATTCAATTCTAATGTCAAACGTGGACAAGCATTGGTAAATTTACTGATATAAATTATGCAGGATGTGAATTTATTGTATGCTAGTTTTGAATTATAAGTACTACACAATGAGACATCAAAAAATTGAAACATTTCCAACTTTCAGGAATAGCCTTCTCTTTTTACAACTCTTTATTTTAGTAAATGTTGATTTTATTTCTCTCTTCTAGTCCAAACATGTTACATCCTTCTGCCATGGGAAAAGCAGAACAGCAGATATACTAACCTCATTTAAAATACAATGAATTATGGTTTATTTAGTTACCTAAACTGTTACTGACTTGGGCAAATTACTATGCCTTTCAGCATTTCAAGTTTTTCTTCTTGAAAATAAAATTTACTTTAACCAGAAGTCAGTAAGCTGCATTTAGCTTGTCCTATTCTATCTGTTCCTCTATGTAAGCTAAGAAGTGTCTGCACTTTTCAAAGGTTAAAAACAGAAAGAAAAAAAGATTGTGCAACAGAGACCCTGTACTATCTGCAAAACCTAAAACATATACGCTCTGACCTTTGAAAATTTATACAATACTGCAAAAAGAATATGATACTAGGATACTTGGTAAACAAATTTGCTTCAGTAATTAGAATGTCTTGATCCTTTAATTCATTGCTGCTTGGAAAGATAAGCAATTAATGAAGTATTTCATTAACATATCTTTGTGTATGAAAAAGATTTCTTTGCCAAAAAAAATTATCTTAGGAATAATTAGCATGTTAAATAGTACTTTTGGGATTGACATATCTAAAACATTTCTTAAATAGCTTGTGCAAATATATTCTTTTTTGTGTTACTAAAATGTCATACTTCTGTGTTTTCTTTCCCTCCACTTAGATAGAAGCAGATTTGGGATATCCTGGAGGTAAAGCAAGAATTATTCACAAAGAATCTGATATCATTACTGCCTTTGCTGTTAATAGAGTAAGTATACACACAGCCTTCTTTCCTTTGATTATTGTACATAGTTGGATTTTTTGTGGTTGGAGAATGTTGCCAGTTTTGCTGCTTTACTCAATATCAGAATTTCTCTTCTAAAAGCAGTTTCCCAAGTCCTTAAATTGCAATATGAATAAATTTTATTTTATAAAATGAGTGTGTAATCTGATGATTTGATTTGCGATATAGTAGATAAAATGTTTTATTACTGTACAAAAAGAATATCTAGTTTTTATCTATGCAGTAACCCATCAAATTTGTACTTTTTGATGGGTAATCTAGGGAAAAGGATCTTGTTTTCCACACATAAATATGTTAAATGTGGCTTTTACTATTTGATTAAATTTAAATTCATGTGTAGTACATATAAATTTTCCTTTGACTGACAGAAACTATAGCTGCCCAACTATATACTATGCCCTCCTACTTAACTTCCCCTCAAAGATGTTAGTAGGCTGCTCACAGAAATCCAAGATTGAAATTTATTTCAGTCATTTTCTTTTTTTTTTTTTAAGTCTATGATAAAAATTTTATTACTTTTGGTCATTACACTGTGCCTTAGATACCCAGAACTTGCTCATCTTATAGAGGGAGGGAGATATGCTTTCTCCTCCTTCCTTCCCTTTCCCCATATCTTAATCATTTTCCCCTTCTGTCTTCCCTAGTTGCTTTGCAAATTTTTTTTAAAGATTTATTTATTTATACAGAACTGGGGTACAGGCAGAGGTGCAGGGGTGGTGAGAGGATTCACCAGAGACAGAGTGGAGAGCAGAACAGATAGACTGATGAAGTACACTGCTGAGGGGAGCAGTGGGCAAGACACGAGAGGTCTGTGGCGGTAGGTGGGTCACCTCCGGGGCAGGGATAGTGTTACAGAGCAACCCAATGTGAACTGGGTTGCCTGTCTGTGGGTCCTCACCCATGTGCTTAAAATTCAGTTATACTGTAGGCACACACTAAAAGGGTTTATTTACAAAGGGGAAAGGAAAAGGTACAACCCAGGGAAAGAGAGAGAGAAAGAGAGATACAAGTTAACTAGAACATCCTACCAGCTCCACTGACTTGGAACTCCAGTAACACACTAAAAGCTCATCAAGAGCCAAACAACCAGCACTAGTCACACTGTCCAGAGCGTGAGAGCTTTAAACCTGGTTCCCTTATATATCCCCAAAAGTCCCAGAATGCCTGCTTAGCTCCGTTCTTGAGTCCTCTCATTTCTCTCCGTGGTATTGCTGGGAGTTGTAGTTTACGGGAATAGGGGGTGGAGTCCACAAAACTGCCAAGTTCCTTCAGGACATTCTTTCCCCACTAGCGATAGAACTCCCTGAAGTGGCTGTGGCTATCTTCATGGTGCTGTACTTTTAATCTTTGCAGGTAGGGTCCCTGCTATCCAAAATTTATAGTGACTTTTAGTTATTCCTGTTTTTTTTTTTTATTTCCATACATGCCTATGTATGTCCTCTTTATATTGTTTCTTTATTTTCCTGAGTAATTCAATGTTCTTCATTCTAAGTGTCTGCTAAATATCATTTTATTGCAACTTACTGTATTTCAAAAAATATTTTTGGCTTAAAGAACAAATATATTTTCTAGTAGCTATGGAGGCTACAATTAATGTGTTCCAAAACATTATTTAGATGCATATTCCAAGGTGTTACTCATTTAGTAATCATTTCTCTAGTTGGCTTACCATTTTCATATGCTATGGTTGTCTTTTCGTATCTTTTTACTTGATGACTTCTTTGACATTTCCTTGTGTCCTTCACATAAAGTCTGCAATTTATTGTATAAGTGTACCTAATTTAATATTTCTATTTCCAGATTTATTTTTTTACACCCTTGCTAATTTGTAGCTGAAAATAATACCTTTTGCTTTAACAAATATTATTTTAAAATTTCAGTGAGATTGAATGTTTTCTCATTTGTTAATTTTGAATTATCTGTGTCTAAAACTACGGATAGAATGTTTCTTTGGAATGTTTATATTTGAGCTAACAAGTTTGCTCATTCATCTTAGTAGATGTTAAAGACATAGGCTGTTAATGGACCAGAGACAAAGAGCGGTTTATTATTTATTTTGATATTATTACTAATATCAAAAGCAGTAACTGTATTATCAACATTATTTCCATTTGTTTGGGGAGCTACAATTCCACAAAGCAACAGGGAGAGTGCCCCATAATCTCAACACATGCAGAGTAGAACTGAGAACAATGCTGAGTTAGGGAACCCACCTCTTTTCTCATGAACAGTAAACATACCTGTTTACTAAAGTAAGAGACTTTATCTATACACATACCCTGGAGATAATATTATACAATAAAGGGCAGTCAGTGACTCACTCACAAGACATGCAGAAAGAGAGTTGCCCTGAAGAATGAGCTCCCAGCATTCTCACGTCATATTATTTTTATCTGTAAGTTTTTTCTTAATAGTTTGTATTAGCATTTTACATACTGGAAATATTAATCCTATTTTTCTTTGCTGTCAATATCTTTCCATTTTTCCCTAACTTTTTTCTTAATAGTTTGTATTAGCATTTTATATACTGGAAATATTAATCCCATTTTTCTTTGCTGTCAGTATCTTTACGTTTTTCTGTTTTTTAGAGGTGATCATTTTAAATTCAAAGGTGCTTAAAATTTTATATCATTTAATCTGATAAACTTTTCATTTATCATTTCTTCTGACATCTCCCTCACTATTTTTCTGTTCCTCTGTCTTTTCTTTGTGATTCCTTCCCAATTGTACTTTTCTTGGTTGAAAGGCATTAGGTAAAAGTGACAATCTCTTATTTGAATATTAGCTATTATTTCTCTCACTTGGTGCCCCAAGGCTCCTACCTTCTTCAACATCTCTCTATATTTCTGAACTGTGTAGAAGTTAGGGAGTTTGTGCTATTCTAGCAAACAAGAGAGAATGCTAAGAGAATAGAGCGATACATGTATTGCCATTTATAGCTGCCTTTCTGTTGTATACTTTTGAATTCCTAGAACATACTTGTGTCTTCAGGTTCACCCTGACTTGATTATTAGACTTAAATTTTAATTAAATTATAAATGCTCCCTTGTGAGAATTCTATACCTTAAACTTATCGTTTCTAGAAACAATATTGTAACTTCCAATATACATGCTATGATTTATTTTTTCAGGCAAATAGAAACTGCATAGCAATTGCTTCTAGCCATGACGTTCAAGAACTGGATGTTTCTGGAATTCTGGCTACACAGATCTATACCTGGGTAGAGGATGATGCAGAAATGGAAACCAAAGGGTACTTTTAAAATATTTTTTTATTCTGTTAATTGCAGTAAGAATGATGTTATCCACCGACCCTTATAGAGATTTTTTAAAAGAATCTTAGTCTTTACTTAAAGAATCTTTACTTACAGTGTTTTGCATTTTGCTCTGGTCTGTACCCCAGTTCTTATGTGCATAACTAAATGAATCCTTTAAAAAAGTGCTTTGCATTTTAAGTAAACAGATGCCATAAATGGCAAAGTGTATATAAGAGGTAGGAATCTGAAATTGTTCAAATTTAAAATTACTGTTTATGAGTTAGAAGTTAAGAGCTGAAGAAAATTTTTTATTGAGATAACTTTGATTTACAACAGTGTTTAGCAATACAGGTTCACATCTCTTCAGATGTATGTTACCTTCCACACCTCCTGCCATTGAGCCAGTACTACTGCACCACAGTCCTTTACGTCCCCCTTATTCTTTGTTCCCACACCCCTCCCTTTGGTAACGTTAGCTCTTTAGTGGATTTCAGAGGTGTTTTTATTTTTTCCTGTTCATTTTCTTTTGCTTTCTTACATTCCACATAGGAATGAGATCATCCAGTCTGTCTTTATCCATCTGACTTAACTTTTCCTAGCATCATCTCCATTTCTATCCATATTGTTGCAAATAGCAAAATTTCATCCTACTTTTTGAGTAGTATTACATTGTGTACATGTACCATGTATTCATTACTCATCTATCATTGGGATTTAGGCTTTTTCCATAGAGGGCTATTATAAATAGTGCTGCAGTAAATGTAGATTTGCTTATATCCCTTTGAATTAGTGTTTTTGTTTTTGAAGAAAACTAAGTTTAATGAAAATGTAGTCATGTATTAGGGCTTTCTGGTTTAAAAGATGAAAGAGAAGATTGATGGATTATTTTCATTCTGGTTGGCTTTCCCTTATAGTTCAGAAGATTTCTTGATTATACATGCTCGTGATGATTTAACAGCTGTTCAGGGTACAACCCCATATACTCACAGCAACCCTGGTACTCCAATTAACATGCCTTGGCTTGGTAGCACACAGACTGGCAGAGGAGCAGCTGTGGTATGTAAAGTTAAAGATATCTGTGTATAAAATGCTAGTTTTTGTACTAGTTTAAAAGATAATGGACAATTTAAACTTTTTAAAAAATTCTTAACTTTTTAGTAAGTCATATTTGTTGGACATGTACACTTTAGTTATGAAAAATATGTTTTCATTTGAAAAGAATAACAAAGATTTAATAAATAGTGTAACTGCAAAGATTTTTATTTTTATGTAATACTTACTTGTAACCCGTTGGCCCAAGTTAGGCCTCAGCAAGTTATGTTCCATAGTCAAATTCTGCCCATCATCTGTTTTTATGTAGGCAGCATACTAAGAAATGGTGTCTACATTTTTAAGTCATTGGAAAAAATCAGAAGGAAGGTATTTTGGGACACATGAAGAGTAAATGAAATTAAAATTTCAGTGCTTATATGTATAATTTCTGTAACTGATGAAAGCTATAAAGATAACAAAATGGGATAGTATGATACAGGATGACAGTGGATAGAGCATAGAAGAGCAAATGCCTTCATTAAAGCAGTGAAGGAACTCTCTGGGAATTTGAGTTGAGATCTCAATGGTCAATAGGAAAATAACATTTTTTGTAAGATTTATTTGTGTATACAAGAACAAGAATGCAGGACAGAGATGTGGAGGGGTGAGAGCATTCACCACAGACAGAGTGGGAAGCAGAACAAGCAGGGTGACTGAAATACACTGCTGAGGGGAGCAGCAGGTAAAATAGAGAGGTCTGCCAGGCCATGTGAGTCAGCTCCCTGGCTGGGGATTGAACTCAGGTTGCACTGGCTATGGATAGCCTGATAGTCCTGAGACTTTAATCCCAGAGCCTCCAGGTAGATCCAGGAAAATAACATTTTAAGCAGAAAACAAGACAAAGGATCTGTCATGGTGTTGATCTTGATGTGCTCAAGTGACAGGAATAAAGTCAGTGTAACTAAAGCAAAGCGAATCAGCTGTTGAATGTATGAAGGCAGATAAGGCTACAGAGGTGATGGGGTCAATCACTTTAAGCCTTAAAGTTAATGTAAAGACTTGATTGTTTAAAATTTTTACTGGGAAATCTGAAAGTTTCAAGCAGGGTAACTGAAGAATTGTGTTGCATTCTCTGAAACTGGAGTTTAGAAAAAAGTATTTATTACTTCCTTTCAGATATTTCACATATCTGTATTTATGCTTATTTAGCAAACTAAATCATTCAAAGCACAATTCAAATTTAAAAGCATTTCTGTTTAAAAATTTATGGTTTTCTTTTTCACATGCTTCTATATGTCTTTTTAACCTTATACTATTCAAAATTATTCCAATAAATTTAATGGATAAATTTAATTTCAAGAAGATAAGCCTACATTCTTGAGGTGAATTTGTTCTTAGATTCTAGTTGGTATGCAGAAGGCAGAAAATACATATACAGGTAGATGTAAGTTAAAGGAACTATTAAATTTCATTTCTATAATCATGTTTAGTGTTTTAGTGCCTTTGACAGTAGTTATAGAATCCCTTAATTGTAAATGAATAAATGTTATGTGAATTTGCTGTCACTATTATATTTTTACCAGTCTTCATTCTAATCATAAAAGAGTGATTTTTTTCTTTGTAACAGATGATTAAGAAAGCCATTAATAATGTCAGAAGAATGACTTCTCATCCAACTCTTCCTTACTGTAAGTTGATAATATTTAGCAGCTATTCTAACAAATTTAAAGAAAGCTTTAAGTTTTAATTGAAAGATAGCATTTCACTTTTTCTTGTACACATGCTTGCTAGCAAAAATATCTTTACTCTAAAATTGGATAAAAAATAGATTTTCCTGGCCCTCCCTCGTGGTGCAGTGAGTTAAAGCACAGTACTGAGAAGCTAAAGCCACTTCCGCATGAGTTTGATTCCTGCCTGCCCTGGAGGTGACCACATGGTGTGGCAGACCTCTCCTGACCTGCCCGCTGCTCCCCTCAGCAGTGTACTTCATCGATCTGCCTGTTCTGTTCCCCCACTCTGTCTCTGGTGAAGCCTCTCAACGTCCCTGAGCCTCTGACCTGTACCACAGTTCTGTATGCACAAATAAATAAATCTTTTAAAAAAAAATAGATTTTCCTGAATAGGGAAGGCTAATTTGATCTAGTAAATTTTGAGCATCTTGGCTTCATATTTCTAAATACATTTAATTTTAAACATTTCTGAACTTATGTAGTGTTAAATTATAGTTGATAATTATTATTTTCATAATAGTATCACTTCTCCTTTTTATTACGAAGGTGAGAGTTATATCATGATCATTTATTCATATTTTGTCAGTTTGTCTTCTATTAGACACATTAATAGTAAATAGAGGAAATGATTATTAACAATTTCTTTACATTTTAATAGCAAATCCTAATAGGAATTGCAAAAGTTTTCTTCCTTTAACAAAAAACATAACTAGCAATGAATTTATTGGAAGTATTGAAGCAATGGTGGGCGGTGGGGGAGACAAATATAAAAACTGAGTGGTGGGTTGGAATCTATTTATATTGATAAGTATTACAAGTTTTTTAAGTATTATTTTTAGATTGTGCCCTTCATTAAGTTGTCATGCTTCACAAAATAAGAATAGTGCATATTTATTACAGCTCCTCCAATCCCCATCCAAAAGTGGGATGATCTTCTTTGGTATAATTTGTTAGGTTGTTTTTTGGATCTGAGAATGCAAAAAAATTCTCTCCATATAAGGGAATTATATTACTTATATATCCACAAATAAACTACCAACCCCCCTCTAATTTAATAACGAATAAAAAATTCTGTCACTTTTTTATGAGATGTTCAGTGAAAATGCAATTGACAAAACCAACCTTCTTTCTATTTAATTGTCAGAAATACTGCTATGCAGTTTTGTTTCCATAAATAAATCAGTCTTTAAATAAAAGAAATAACTGTTAAGCATCTGTTATTAAAGTTATATACTAATGTCCAATAGAAGTGTTCAAGAGTACCATGTATTAAAAAAGAAGAAATTACCTTCTGTTACTTATACAACAGGTATCAAATATGCTAAAACTTTTTCACTACTTCGAGTATATATTCAACATTAGAAGTATGTGTTTTTATTCACAAGTTTAAAGTCAGAACTTTTACATTCACAATAGCACAAGTGTGAGGACCCAAGTCAGGCACCAATTTCATTCACAGTGGAGTAGCCCTATACCATGAGTAGTCAAATGTGTTTTATGTACATAGCATAAATGTTAGTTATCACAAAGTAGGAAACATTAGGCATTTAATCTAACCTATGTAGTAGAATTTAGAAATTCCCTGAAATATTGATGTCATTTTTTCTCAGCTTCATAACTTATGGTTCTGACAGGTGACAAGTTTGTTGGGATTATCTTCTATCTAAAGCCAATAAATTTAAATAAAAAGATTGTTAGGTTTAAAAGTAATTAATGGACTTACTTTCAGGAGTTATTAGGTAACATCAAAGCACTTCTGTCTTGTGTTAAGTACTTTCTTTGTTTATTGAATTATCAGTTAAGAGCCTTGAAAAATGACAAGCTAATTAAACTAATCACTAGATTTTTTTTTCCTGCAGTGTATTTTTTTCTATAACAAATATGGTAGTAATTTAGTTAAATAATAACTAGTATTTATGTAGTGGATTTTTTTTTTTTTTTAGATTTATTTATTTGTGCATACAGAACTGGGGTACAGGCCAGAGGCTCAGGGGCGGCGAGAGGCTTCACCAGAGACATAGTGGGGAGCAGAACAGGCAGATCGACGAAGTACACTGCCGAGGGGAGCAGCGGGCGGGTCAGGAGAGGTCTGCCACGCCATGTGGTCATCTCCGGGGCAGGCGGGAATCGAACTCATGCGGAAGCGGCTTTTAGATTCTCAGTGCTGTGCTTTAACCCGCTGCGCCACCAGGGAGGGCCCTGTAGTGGATATTTTATGAGACAGTATTTTTTTTTTTTAATTTACTTTGAATTTCAGATACTACACAATAGTTCATTTGGAGTAGATCTTTTTTTAAAAGATTTATTTATTTATGCATACAAAACTGGGGTACAGGCCAGAGGCTCAGGGGCGGTGAGAGGCTTCACCAGAAACAGAGTGGGGAGCAGAACAGGCCAACTGATACAGTACACTACTGAGGGGAGCAGCGGGTGGGTCAGGAGAGGTCTGCCACACCATGCGGTCACCTCCAGGGCAGGCGGGAATCGAACTCATGCGGAAGTGGCTTTAGCTTCTTAGTGCTGTGCTTTAACCTGCTGCACCACCAGGGAGGGCCTGGTGGCTGGAATAGATCTTTTAAAAATCTTAGTCATTATAAATGACTAGTTCTACTCCAAGGAATTAGCAATTCTACAAAAGATGAATTAAAATAGAAATGGAAGCCTAATAGGGAAGCCCTTTTTTTAAAAAAAAAAATAGTTAATACATTAAGGTTTTTAAGGTGCATTTAACCCTTTCCCTACCAGTATGTTTAACACTCTTTGTTACTAATGTGGGATACTTGCTCAGACAACCTGGTTATAGAAACTTCTGTTTTTTATAGTAATTTATGAAATTACATATTAAACAAGCAAGTATTTTATTTTACATGTCAGCTACCGAATACTAAGGGTTCCTTTCAAATAAAGTCACAAGTAATATTTTTTAAAACTTGAGCATTTTTTAAAGTACAACTAGCGCTTTTTTTTTAATTAATGTAAGACTATTGGGATATGCTCAAAAAGTTACAACTTCATTTTCACAAAAGTTTACCTATCCTCGTACTTAAGAACAATATTAAAATATTTTAAAACAATTTCTTTTAAATACTTGGTAAGAAATAAAGGAAAATTTGAATAATGTATGCTAAGCAATGTGATAAATGCTTTGTATATATTTACATAATTTCTCACATTGTTCTGAATACTGATGATACACTCAATGTGATGAGTCATGTGTTAAACATATTCCTATATGACTCATATTAATAACCTTATTTACATCTCACAATCAATTAGCCTTTTACAGGAAGGAAGCAGGCTCAAGGAGATGGAATAAGACTCCTAGTAATTCACAATTTGAAATTGTGTACTGAAGAATTAGTAATTATTTAGTCTGTTCCTATTCCTCAGTAAACTAGATAACATTTGAGATATTAGATCAATCAGAACAAATATTAGAAAGGGTTCTTTTTCTTTACATAATATTTAAGACTTAATATATTCTTTATTTTTTCTGGAGAAGAATATATAAATTTGATTATTAACTAGTTTCACAGTTAACTTTTGAGTAATACCAAGAATTTGTTCAGTGGTTATCATAAAGTATTTATTAATGGCTATTAAAACATCATGCAGATAATTTCAAAAGGACTTAAAATTTACAGAGGGTTGATTTAATTGCTTCTGTTGTTTCATGTGAGGCTCTGTTTTCAGTCAAATAAAAGTGCATCATACAGCTATTTATTTTTAAGGTTAAGACTGTTAAACTGAAATTTCATACATAGGTAACATGTAAACTGACTGACTTATTTCTTAAGTGTTTCTTCCATACATGTTTTCATGTTTGATTAAAAAATAATAATTTTCCAAAAGATTCCTGAAATGTGAAGTTTTTGCCCTCTTTTATTGCAGATCTGACAGGAGCTCAAGATGGAAGTGTCAGAATGTTTGAATGGGGCCATTCTCAACAAATAACCTGTTTTCGATCTGGTGGCAATTCAAGAGTTACGAGAATGAGATTTAACTATCAGGGAAATAAGGTAACATATAAAAATGGAAGTGGGAAATTAATGATGTTGGAAATTTATCAATATTACTAGTTTGGCTTTCTGAAGAAAACTTAACACTTTTTTGAGTCTTGCTGTAAAGACGTTATATAAACATTATTAAAATTCACATAGGTCATGCTTTTAAGGGTTAAATGATTATTGTATCACCTTAATATTACACATTTTTTATTCAATACTCCTACTTTATGCTGTGGAACCTACTCATAAATTTTGGTCAAGTACCAAGGAATATCTGGATACTTAGAAATGCAATTTCACTCGTACCAAGGAATATCTGGATACTTAGAAATGCAACTTAACCCATTCGACACCTACTGCATCATCATCTGCATTTCAACCAGTATTACTACTATAATATGCCAGTGCTCAATAACTGTGCATCAGCAGTTTATAGCCTAGCCACCTCTTTTGTAAGTAAAGTTTTATTGTAATCAGCTACCCCATCATTATTTGTTTTCTATAATTCCCCACTGCAACCAAGTGTTCAAGAGAACATTTATATCTAACAAGCCAAAAATATTTATTATATGACTTTTACAAAAAGTTTGTCGGCCATCCCTTGTGGCGCAGCGGGTTAAAGCACAGCACTGAGAATCTAAAGCCGCTTCTGCATGAGTTTGATTCCCGCCTGCCCCGGAGGTGACCACATGGCTTGGCAGACCTCTCCTGACCCGCCCACTGCTCCCCTCAGCAGTGTACTTCCTCCATCTGCCTGTTCTGTTCCCTGCTCTGTTTCTGGTGAAGCCTCTCACCGCCCCTGAGCCTCTGGCCTGCACCCCGGTTCTGTATGCATAAATAAATAAATCTTAAAAAAAAAAAAATAGTTTGCCAATCCTACTCTAGAACATTCCTTACTGTCACCTTAAATTCCCTCTCTGTTCCTTGTATCTCAGTAGCACTTTAAACAAAAATTGAAAGAGAAATCAGCCTGTTCTTTGTAGTTAGGGCCACTCTTCACTAAAAACATTTGCATAGGTCCTCCTTGATGTTATATCATTCTTTTTCCCTTAAAATTCAAAGCATTAGGCCCTCCCTGGTGGCGCAGCGGGTTAAAGCACAGCACTGAGAAGCTAAAACCACTTCCGCATGAGTTCGATTCCCGCCTGCCTCGGAGGTGACCACATGGCTTGGCAGACCTCTCCTGACCCGCCCGCTGCTCCCCTCAGCAGTGTACTTCGTAGATCTGCCTGTTCTGCTCCCCACTCTGTCTCTGCTGAAGCCTCTCACCACCCCTGACCCTCTGGCCTGTACCCCAGCTCTGTATGCACAAATAAATAAATCTTTAAAAAAAAAAAAATTCAAAGCATTAAAAGCTCCTCATACAACCTTAATGTGTACCATATTTACATGGCTCTGTTACCATCTCACATAAGTCAATAGTTTTTTTTCATATAGTCATTAAAGAAAATTTTTAAAGCATGAAATTTCTTAATATCACCTTCAGCAAGGGGATTAACCTAGTTGTGTGAACCTACCAATACCCTTTATGTGCTCCTACTTTTCCATTTTGAATGCCAATATTATATGGCTTCTAGCTATATAACACTATAACCCTGTATAACTCAATCCTCATCTCTTGCATCTTCCGTGTTGCCTACAAAGTTATATAACAGAAGACAATTAGATAGCTATACTACAGGTGAGGTCATATTATTTTTAAGAACTTGTTAATCCTCCTCATGGTACTAGAACACCAAATTCTTTAGTAGGTCACTTAAGATCTTCTGTAATCTGAATTATTTTGCAGCTTTAACATTTCTTTTCGCAATCATTATAACCTTCCCCATAGGCTATTTTAAGACATATTAAATTATCCATTACCTGTCCAGATGTCTTTGACACACAGTCAACTTAATTTCACTAACATTAGTCATGATGGAACTAAATAGCACAATACTTGTGCATAGTATCTCCCTTAGAAGGAAAGCTTTCTAGAGTAAATGAAACAGAAGACATATTGTTTCACAGTGTGGGGATTGGTTTATCATTGATGAATAGAAGTGGTCTGCCAAAAACCATGAATGTTACAGACAAACTAAGAGCCTGAGTGAGACATTTAACACAATAAATTACTTGGAAGGAACATTTTCTCAGACTAAAGACAATATTTCATTCTGAAATAACAGGTTGCTGTGAAAAAATAAAGGCAGTAGAAGAAAAGGAAATAAATCTTAGAAAATAAAAGCATGATTCCCAAAAACCTGGGTCAGAGGAACTACTAACTATGGCATCAGTAGTAGAATATAAATAGTACAGAATCAAGTTTATAATTTGGAAATACAAAATATGAAATAATTTCATGATAGAAGTAATCAAATAAATTGAGGCTATATCTAGGAAATACCATATTTCAGAAGAAGAAAAAAGATGAGAGAAGCTTAATATTCAGTGGAATTAGAAAATAGAAGACTTCCCTAAAGCAAAGAAAATCTAGGCAGAAATTTTGAGAAACAATCTCTACTAGATTCATAGTAATTATTATTATTTTTTTAAATTCAAGGATAGAGTTCCTATGAAGGATTAGGGTTAAAATGGTTACTTACCATCTCTCTACATTTCCTCCCAAATTAATAGCATTGGCCTACTCAACATAAAGATTACAAATAAACCTAGAAAAGTATTCAAAAGATTTTCATGATCAGTAAATGAAAACTATGAGTTGATGTCTTTCAATACTATCATTCATATTTGATAGCAAAAGAAATACTTTTTAAAGTATGCACTTTATTTTCAGATAGCTTTTCTGAAGAATGTACCTATATTTACTCCAGAAAACATGGAATAAATCACTAAATAGAGCAGGGTAAATATTTATGACAAACAGTAAATGGTGGGTTAATAGTCCTAGTATAGCACCATCAATCTTTTTTTTTTTTCAAGACTGATAAGTAGACAAAGAATATGAGCAACCGTTTTGTAAAAAGTTATGCAAGGTCAATAGCTCTCACTAATAAATGCATAGTCTTTTCTTCTGTAAGTCTACAAATGTTTAAAATTTTAGTAATATGCAATGTTGATTAATGTGTAAAAAAATGATTTTGTAAATTAATATCACTGGACGATTTAATTATGGCTTCTTTTACCAGTTTTAAATAAAACCCTTTGACAAAGTATTTCATTTCTAGGTGTTTCATACATAAAAAAATGTAAAAATATATGTGTGAAAATGTTCCAAGTGGTACTTTTATAATTGGGAACATTGAAAATTGTTTAAAATGGAAATATTTTAAAAAATAATTTGTGTAGCTATACAGTGTAGTATGTAGTTATATATATAGTTAACCAACCATATATGTACATGCTATTTGTGAAAAATGACTAATAAATAAAAATTATTGTAATTGTAGAACTCTATTTATTATAGTCATATTTTAAAGCCCTGTATGTGTGTTTGAATATTCATACAGCAATTTTTAAAAGGGCACAAATGAAATGGTTAATAGTTTTTAGATCTGGATATGGCAGGAGGCAGAACAAAATGGATATTTGTTTTATTTTATACACTTTATGTTAGAATGCATTATTTTCACTATCTAAAGAAAAGATTGTTAGCAGTCTGACCCTGAAGATCTATATCATATACTCCCTTTCAAGAGTATTTTGTCATCATACCAATCAATACTGGTCTGAGTTCTGATTGAGGAGTCTTGTACAGTATAAACCTTTGTTTTATTTTACTTTCTGCTGTGATATTACATGTTTTCCTTTGTGTGTCATTCTGAAAGTTTTTATTTTTCAAAATGTTCTAAGTTTTCTATTTTATATATGCCTGGACTTTGTTACATGGCTTACATGTAAATCCATTATTCTATATTAAGAGTACTTACAGAGGGTTGACAGGCTAGACTATTGGTTAATAAAATAAAATGAGTACTGGTATTTGTTTCATTTATGTTCACATTGGAATTTTTTAGAGCAATAGCTAAAGGTTTTACTGTACTAGAACTATAAGTAGGAGAAGGAAAATGTCAATATTTGAATGAAATGTTTAAGGGTCAAAGTATAGGATTCACAGTGATGATAAGATTAAATATATGCTTTTGATTTTGCATCTGTAGTACATAAACACTTTAAAATATTTGTTTCCTCAAGTTTGGAATAGTTGATGCTGATGGATATTTAAGTTTGTATCAAACAAATTGGAAATGCTGTCCAGTCACCGGAAGCATGCCTAAGCCATACCTGGTAAGCCAAAAAGAATGTCTATCTTTAAATTTTTGTTTGGAAAGAAAAACCAATAATATATATTTACACAAAAAAAATGATTAAAATCAATGAGTAAAATTTATCGTGTGCTATGTACTTAATCACTTTATTGTAAGTACCTTTTGTTGCATTGTGTCAGAATTATTCTGTGAGTTATAATTATAACTTGAAAGTTATTCTTTATAGAATCAACACAGTATTTTCCAAAACCCATGTAATCTGTAGCAAGTTCAAGTTCTTTTACAGTCTCACTTAGCTGTGGTGGATATTATACCAAATAGTAACGATAAATGAATAAGTGCATCTGGTTGTTTTTCTGCACTTAGCCCTTAAGATGACCAGTAGGAAGGATGTCCTGTAGCTGACACCATACTTCTATAAAGATAAATTGAATTAAAAATTTGCATTCTTGGCTCGCGGGATTAAAGTACATTTTATTTTAAGAACATGTCATTGAGTCCAGTGCTAATTGGGAGGGGAGGTAGGAGTTTGGAAAGTTACTTAAGGAAAAAAAATCTTTCATACAGTGTTTTAGTGTTTCAGATTCCTTTTTTATTGAAGAGAAATATCTGAACACGACTTAGAAACTTTCATAGTTGACTAAGCCTCAGAGATATTTCTTACTGCTTGATGAAATATTGAGAAATATTACACATTTTCTAATTTTATTGACATAGTAATATGTGTTATCAGTATTTGAGCAATTATAAAAGTTTAAGTATTTTTGAAGATAATTTGTTCTGAAATATTCTAAAAGGCTATTTCTGCCTTCCAAGGCAAAATTTTTACTAAATATTCAAAGGGAAATGTTTGGAATTTTACTTTCCATTTCCCTTTGAACTTCCAAACAAAAGCGAAGTGCTCCATAAGAGATCATGATATTTGCAGCTTCACTTAAATGGTTGAAGAAAAGTATGTGCGTATGCATGCACACACATGCGTGTACATGTGTGTGTTAAAAATTGGTGAATCTAGGTAAAGTGTTGTTGAGAGTTCTCTATAGTGATCTCACAGCTTTTTTAAAATTTGGGAGTTGGGAGGCAGAAAACATTTAAGTAAGTCTTAAGTGCTATGATCACTTTTTGATTTTTACAACTACTTCATTATAAAAGTCTTAATGGCAATCAGTAACATTCGTTGTTTATAACCATTCTAGACTTGGCAGTGTCATAACAAAACAGCCAATGACTTTGTCTTCGTTAGTTCCTCATCTCTGATAGCAACAGCTGGCCTTTCAACTGATAATAGGTAAGAGTATAACTGAAGTTGAAGTATGCGTATGTATAGCTGAGCTTTATTTTTTAATTGTTTTAGCTCCTATGTCTCAAGGTTGTGTTTTTTTTTTCCATAATTATGTTCAGCACTTTTATATTAAAGATTTGTTTCTTAGGTAGTTTTTAGTGTTCTAAATATAAAATTAAGGAAATTGTGTGCCTCTAAAAAACAAAAATCAGCTTCTGTATTTTTCGTGACCTAATGTTAAGACTAATTATTAGGAAAAAGGAATTTGGTTGCTGGTAGAATATATTTTTTCCCATATCATTTATTATTGTGTATTAAGAGGGAAACAAAAAGAACAATTATGTGTTGGTGATGGTTTATTTAATCTTCATCATGTCCCTATTTGGTAGGTATTCCACATTAAGCAAACAGAAAACTCAGACTTACTAGTTGTCTAACTAGTAGCCTTTTCTTTCAAAAAACTTACATTTACTAGAAAATGTTTCTCCTGCCTCCATCTCCACACCCTCCCCCCTACTTTTGCTTTTTCTTACTCAGCTGAGTTCTGAGATCAAAGCTTGATGAGGTTGTTAAGCTTTTACATTTATTTGGATGGCTTCCTTTTCACTAGAGATTGGTATCTGGGAATATGGAGTCTTGAGGACACCTTCCATGAAAATCCTCACATATACTGGTGCTTTCTTTGCAACTCCTAGTATAAATAAATATTCTACTAAAATGCTCAAGGGAATTCATTGTATCTTGATATGAATGCAACTCAGAATACAGAATCATAGAATACAAAAAGCAGTTTCCACATTCAGTCTCTGGATAATATTCTTGGTAATACATATTAATCCAAAGTTATTCAATTTTATAAAAATATTAACTATACAAAAATATACCAGTTGTTTGTATTTGGTGCATTTATTAATGTATGAACTTTCAGTGAAAACAAGATTGAAATGTAGCTTTTTATGAGGCACTTTCTTTTTTATGTTCACTTTCTTTTTTCGTGTCATTTAAGAAGTAAATTTTTTTTTTTTTTTTTGCAGAAATGTATGTTTGTGGGATACTCTGGTAGCGCCTGCCAATAGTTTAGTCCATGGTAAGTTTTGAAAGCATTTTAGTAACTGGAAATCAAAACATTCATAAACATTATTTTTAAGTGACTATTTTTAATGCAGCCAACCTGTGAGATTTATATTGTAATATTATATGTATAACTTTGCTATACCTTGAGGAAGGCCAATAGAACATAGATAATATAAAAATCCTGTTTCTTTACTTTGGATCTGCTATCACAGATTATAATTGTGAACATCAGTTATTACATGCTATTTCTCCCATCTCACTATATCTATTGAGCATTGTACTGAAGTTTTAACAATAAGAGAAGAAAAGGAGTAAAAGTTACTGAAAGAGATGGGAAAATACTACCTTTTTTCACAGATGATATAATTTTTTTTAAAGACTAATTTATTTATTCATACAGCACTGGGGTACAGGACTGAGATGCAGATGGTTGGTGGTTGAGAGGATTCACCAGAGAAAGAGTGGGGAGCAGAACAGGCAGATATACTGAAATACACTGCTGAGGGGAGCAGCGGGCAGGTCAGGGGAGGTCTACTGTGCCATGTGACCAGGGAATCAAATTCATTCTACAGAGACTGTGGATAGTTTCATAGTGCTATACTGTAACCCACTGAGCCACCAGAGAGGGCCAGATGACATAATTATATGTATAGAAAATTCCAAAGATTTGTCAATAAATTAACTTCCTGGAACTACTATACAAGTGGAGCAAAATCACAAGATACAAAGTCATTATATTAAGTAGGTTCTTTCCTATATACCAGCAAGGAGCATTGGAATATGAAATTTGAAGAATTTCACTATTTATAATAGCAACCAAAATAATAAAATACCAACGCCTAAATCTAACAAAATATGTATAACATATGTTCAGGAAAGCTGTAAAAAAAATCAAAGTTCTAAATAAATGAAGTACTAATCAACATGCACCAATTGGAAAACTCAATATTGTTGAGGTGTCGGTTTCTCCCAACTTAAATCAATTCAGTGTGATCCTAGCAAAACCCCAGTTACTGGAATAGAATAAAGAGCCCAGTAATGGACCCAAATATATATAGAGGACATCTTTAAGAAAGGCACAAGGACATTGTTATTGTTAACAAATAGTGAGTTCAATCCCTGCTCCGGAGGTTATCCACATGGCACGGCAGACCTCTTCTGACCCACCCGCTGCTCCCCTCAGCAGTGTACTTCACTGATCTGCCTATTCTGCTCCCCACTCTGTCTCTTGTGAATCCTCTCACCGTCCCCACACCTCTGGCCTGTACCCCAGTTATGTATACATAAATAAATAAATCTTTAAAAAAAAATGTCCTCCTTCTCAATATCTGATTGTCCAAGAAGCATATGAAAGGTTGCTTAACATCAACTATCATTAGGGAAATGCAAGCTAAATATAATGCTACTCTGTATACTGAAATGACAAATTTTAAATTGGGGAATACCAGGTGTTGGTTAGGATGTGGAGAAACAGGAACTATTTTGTATTATTGATAGAAACATAAAGTGGTTCAACCACTTTGGAAAACTATATGGCAGTTTTTAATAAAATTAAACATGGCACCTAGCATGACTCAAATATATATTCTTAAGTCTGTACCTAAGAGAAATGAAAGTACATGTCCATAAAAAGACTTGCATAGGAATATTTTTAGCAGTTTTAATAGACCAAAAGTGGTAATAACACAGGAAACTGGGTTCTTCAGTGGTTTTGATGTGGTATTCTTTATGTAATAGAATCCTTTTACATAAAGCATGACCTAATAATACATTGTGTGACATGTATTAATCTCTAAAACATAGTGTTGAAGGAAAAGAAATCAGGAATAAAAATAGTTACACATAATTCATAGTGTAAAATTCCATTTACATGAGTTTTCAGAATAGGAAAAACTAATGAGATAGAAATTAGAGTAATGATTGCTTTTGTGGAAAAGAATTGACTGCAGAATGGGACAATTGATCTTTCTGGGATGCTGCAAACACTTTGTCTTCTTCTGAGTGATACTTAACACATGTATCCATTTGTCAGAATCTATAATTTCTACATTTTACCCTACATAAGTTATATCTCAAAAGTGCTGGTAAATATTTTATTTTTAAGAAACTCTTTTCTATAATCTGTTTTATTTAATTTATTACAGTAATAATCACTAAATTTTACTGAATACTTAATATTTGCCAGGTACATTAAATAATTAACCCCTCTTAAAACGCCTTTTAGGTGGGTGGTGTTATCTTCTCTTTCACAAATGATGTCTCTTTCACCAAAGATGAAACTGAGATGTAAGCTTAATTATGTCCCTGAGATACACATTCAAACCCAAATAGAGACCAGGATTTAAACTCTGGCAGCCTGATTGTTGAATCTTCACTCTTCATAATTATGCAGTATTGTCTTTGAGCTATATACAGATTTCCCCCCCCCCCGATATTTGTTTAGCTAGACTTTCTTTTTTTTTTTCCTTAAATGTTCAAGTTCATTAGTCTTTTTAATGTTTTTTTTTTTAACATTGCTTAATCTGCTCTTAATCTTATGGAGTGTTTTGTTGTTGTTTGTTTTTTCACTCAAATATTACAGTTTTTAACCCCAGGACTTTTGATTTGGGATTTTTTTAAATATATGTATTTACTAGCTACTCAATATGCTGTCTTTCACTTTTCAAACAGAAGATAGTGTTATGACTTGATTTATGTATACTAATTCTATCATTTATGTCATTGTAGTGAGATTTAGTTGATAGATTTTCTTCTACCTAAGGGTTGTATTTTTGTACTTCTTTGTATACCTGGTGACTTTATTAGGTGCCAGTCAGGAATTTTTTCATTGGATGCTGGTTTTGCTGGACTTAGTTACTTAGAATCAGATTGGAGGCGAGCGAGGGCAGAGGAGAGCTAGGGCAAAGAGGGCAGAGGAGTTATTTTGTTAAGCAAGACTAAAGCAGCATTTGGTCTAAGGGGACTGTGGCCTGTTACCATAGCAAAACCTTTCTGAATACCCACCTAGTGCCTTATGAATTATGAAGTTTTCTACTGACTGGTAGAAAAAGAATCCAGATCTACTTGGTTTCCCTTCTTGTTCCATGTTCAAAGACATTCTTAGACAGTTCTCTGGCTCCACATAAACAGTTTTTTCCCTCTCTCTCAGAGATCCTGCTTCACTTCCTGATACCCAAATGTCTCAAGTTACTGTTTTCTAAATATCATATGATTTTTTCAGTTGTTGCAGATAAAAAGGTAAATCTGATTTATTAATTCCCCTTAACCACAAACCAGAAGTTTGTTTCTTATACTGTTAAATGTTTTTGTTTGTTTGTTTTTGAATTTCAGCTTTTATCTGCCATGACAGTGGTGCCACCGTTTTAGCATATGCTCCAAAACATCAGCTGCTAATATCAGGTGGCAGAAAAGGCTTTACATGCATATTTGACCTCCGGCAACGACAACAGAGGCAACTTTTCCAGAGCCATGATTCTCCTGTGAAAGCCATTGCTATTGATCCAACTGAAGAGTACTTTGTAACAGGATCTGCTGAAGGCAACATAAAGGTAAATGTGTAAGATCCACAGTATCTACAAGGTGAAATCTCCAGAATCTTAGGTCTTTAATCATATTGGTGACATTAGTCTATTTAAATAATAGTAACAGTAACTCCTTTTGTGGTGAACAGTGTTAATAACTTATTTAATCTTTCCATGAATTAAATTATATTTGTCTTAAAAATTGAATATTTCAGTTTTCTCCAATATGTTTAATTAATGCATGAAAAGTATTAAATTTTCCATGCAGGCAAATTACTTCAGACATTAGAATTAGTCTTGACTCCATGTCCAGGAATCACTGATTCATTTTCAGTGCTATGAAATATATTAATATTTTTCCTTATCCCCATTTTTTTTCATCTATCACATCAGTATGTAACCATTCAGTGCTTGACGTAAGAATTCTTAATGTATTGGATAAACCCTTTTCCAGTCTTTCTCAAACTTTACTGTGTTTGAAACATAGAGGCTTAAAATATTAAGCAGCTTATTGAAAATGTGCCCTATCCCAGAAACACTCATGCCCCAGTAAGACTCAGATGGTAAAGCTCAAGAATGTGCACTTTCATAACACAATTCTAATGGTTTTGATAAAGGGATTTTTAGCCATACTTGGAAAGATCTACATAATAAATCAGTCTAAACTAATCCTTGGGTGATATTCATGGTCAGCAAGCCACTGGCAGAATCTATTTCCTTAGAAAACATTAAATTAATTGGTCATGAGGTTAGTAAAACAATGTTCTCAGTAATTCTCAACCAAAAAAAAAATTTAGAATTACAAAATTTTAAGAAAACTTTTTTTTTTTCTCTTGAGATAACATTGTTTACAATACTATCTCTATGATTTAGGGAAATTGGCCCACACCGCCTAGGTAAATGAAAAGATTCTCTTTAATCAAATATATATATCAACTTTCATACAGAATTATTTACCATCAGTTTGAAGCTAGTTAATTAGTTGGGCCTCTTTTAGTTTGGAATAAGTCTTACTATGTTTTAGATTACTTCTTTAGTTTGTACTCTGATTCTGGGACTTACTTAATTAAGCTTAAAAAAGATTTGAAAATTTACCGTTATTGTCACAAGTCAAAAATTAACAGGGTTGTCTAGAGTAGTATGACTTCATGGATTTCTTAGGGAAAATAGTTTTGTTGTTGTTGTGAACTTAAAAAAATCAAATAAATTGTTTTCTGTAACTTAAATGTCCCAACACTTTTAGGGCTCTCACATAAGTGAAGATGTTTATAAATTACATTTATTTAAACAAATATATTTATAAATTACCAGATACATTTATTTTGGTAAGCAAGAACTGAACACAGAAAATTGTACTAAGTTATATATACTGAAATTGGAACATGGTTTTGTCTAGTCTGAAGGTTTCCAGGTATTGAGTATTTGTCTCTTTTCAGATCTTCTGAAGTCTTATTAACATTCTATATTATAGAGAATATAATTCTGTATTATAGTAAACCTCCCATTATGCAGCAAAACTTCTGCTGAGAAATAGGAAACCTTGCTGGTGGCGGTTCCATTATTACTACAAATTTCTGTAGCATAATATTTAGCTTCTTTGCACCTGTTCTAGTCCAAGTCAGAGTTAAATTTGACCTTCCTCTCTTACTGAATGGATTTTGAAAAATATAATGTCAAAGTAATTTGGAAAATTATAACACCCTATCCAGAATCAAAATTTACAATTAGGCCTATGTAGGTTTGCTCCATCTTGGTTTTAGAAATTCCTGTTTGCACAGGAACATATTCTTAATTTTTTTATTTGAATTTTTAAGGTAATGATCTGCCCCAGTTTCATATTTTGTTCTTAATATTTTTCAGATTTGGAGTCTCTCTACATTTAGTCTTCTCCACACTTTTATCAATGAACATGCTCGGCAATCCATTTTCAGAAATATTGGAACAGGAGTGATGCAAATTGAGACAGGGCCAGCAAACCACATTTTTTCATGCGGAGCTGATGGAACAATGAAAATGAGAATACTGCCTGACCAGTTTAGCCCATTAAATGAAGTGTTGAAAAATGATGTGAAATTTATGCTATAACATTTTTGACAATAAGGTGTATAATTTCTTACCTGTTCCATGGAATTGACCAACACATATAATGTACAGTGCTCACTCTTTATGCCACAAATAAGCTAATGCTTTCTTGTTTTCATATTTATTTTATGGAGCTTTGCCCTTGATGCACTGATGCCTTAAAAAATAACAAGGTCATTCAGAATTAGACTATATTGCCTAAAGTAGAATGTATAAGTAGTACTATAATAATAGGTATTTATAATATGCTATAGTGAGTATTTATAGTGTTAAAGGAATTTGTTTTCATTGATAAACTCTCTGCAGATATCTCTGCATGAATTTCTTTCACAGCAAAAACACCCTTTATGTAAAGGCAGTTGAACATCAGATATCTTAATTCACCATGCTCTCATTTCTTTTATCAAACTGATATATCTCAAACTGTTCTCCTAAATAATAATAGGTCAGTATTTGAGTAACAGTTAAAAAATAAGAACATCTGTCCTCAGGACGTAAGTGATTAATAAGCTAACTGGCTTACTAAATGAAATTTTTGTTAGTTTCCCTTCTGGAATCCAAGTTGAGTGTATGTATACATGTGTGGTTGTGTGTATATATGTAATATATCTTACATATTTTATTTGAACATAGTTTGTGTGTATATGTATGTTTTGTGCCATAACGACTACTGCCACCAGAATAGCAACCTTTTTGCAAATGTTTATTTTCTATTTCCAATATTGATTTTCAAATAAACTTCGAGAGAGTTCTGTAATTATACTTTTAATGATTATATTAAGTCAGAAGAATCTTAGGCAATAATGATTCTGTGCTGTTATAATTGAGTGACTTAAAAACAAGTTTATGAATTTGTGAAAGGAATTTTCAGCACCAAACAAATTATCTTAATTCATTTTTATTTCTATTTCTTAGGTGCTTTTAGTCTCAAAGTTCTGAAAATGTTATAGCAGTGTTTTTAAAAACAAATGTGAAAACAGTCAAAGTAAACAAATAGTATTTACAATTGTAAAATACCCACCAGATCTACCTATAAGAGAAAGTAAACTAAAACTTATATTTTATTATTTTTGCCAAATATATTATTTTATTATAAAATAAGACCAAAATATTAAAAATGCACAATACTTTTAACTTTAATGTACTAAAACCCTGTTTCTGTGTTTCATGCTCTACCTTTTCTGATTCAGAATTGTAGAAAACTTGGTAAATACTTGACTTTATTAACCAATGAGACTGGAGGCAGATGAGACTAAGTATTAAATGGAATTACAGACTATTTAGCTTAAATATATTTTGTTAATAGCGACTATAAGAACATTTTTATGTAACAAAATATGGACAGCTACTCTCTTGGAAACTAAAGAGTCAAATAAAGCAAAGAAATGAAGGGCTGGTAAATGAATTTTGTAATATCCTCAGGATACTTTTATCTTAAAAGTATATTGTTAAAGATTTTGTAAATTGTATTCATAATTTTAAATGTGTCGAGCAAATTGCAGTGAAAACACTGTCATTATGTAGAGAGTTTATGTGCACATAATAACCTGTACCTATATATTGTGCAATAACAATATGTGACTATTTTGCCATGGAGAAATCTGTGGCAGCATTGCAAACAATACTGTTGTTTTATGTAATTAAGCTTAAGTTATTTTTAGTAATTTCTTCACAAATCAAGATTCAAAAGGCTTTAAACACTTTCAATGAGGAAATTTATTATGCTTATTAGAAAAAAGGCATTGTGGATAAACAAGAATTTTAATTGAGGGTTTTTATGAATAATAAATTATGTACACCCATATGTATTTACATCAGAGTCATAATATTTTAAATAAACAATTATGCAGTGAATTTTTAGCTATTGTTTTAAGTAATATTTATGCCATGTTAACTGACTTAAAAAATATGTGACACTTTAAGATGGAGAATTTCCGTATTTGTATTTGGTCAATGTAAGAAGAACTGAGTAATTTTAACAAATATCCTGTTCTTTCTATCTTTTTTACTTAATAGGTAAGCATCAGTCAAAAACAGTAAGAATAAGAGTCATATAAAATAATATACATATATGTAAAATTGCATCTAAATTATTGAACTGGGTATGTCAAGATATATTTTTTAACATCTGCATTTCTGAGAATGTGGCTTGATAATGAAAAAAGAATTTACAGCATTACAAGTCTCATTTTCTGAAATGTAGGACTTAAGCTTTATTCTTCTTTCTTGCCCTATGGTTGTTTTACACAAATTGATTATTTTCCTTTATTTAAAAAATTACTTATAAAAACATTGTGGAGATTTCTCACTTTGGTTTCAACAATCAAAATGCAATACCAGAGAAAATGCATATTTAGCGTTAGGGTGGGTTTGGATTGGAAACCCAGACCGATGTATTTTACTACATAAAAATTTAAATATCATGACAGTGATATTTAAATATCAGTGGCAGGAGGCCACTGTCAAAATTGAAAGAATAGGTAAACTAGAACAAATATCTGTATAGTAATAGGGAATAAGTATTAATAATTCTACATACAAAGAAAACTTTAAAATGATAGATTATTGGAGAAATCAGTAAACAATAGGCAATATGAATGAGACATTGAAAAAGTTAGAAATCATAGAAAGGGCATTCTCAATAATGATTGAAGGAATTCTAAAAAAAAATTTGACACTAGTTTTTATCTCTCAGATTGGCATAGTTTTCATCTCTCAGATGTTGTCAAACCAGTGACAACATCAATCTTGGTGCAAGGAAACAAGCACAATGAAACCCCTCTGGTAAAACAAATAACAAAGTTACCTAGATAAAAATATAACGTACTTTCTCTGAGCAGTCTTAGAGAAATTTTTCTATAAATATAAAATCACCCATGCACAAAAATATGTGTACACAGATACCTACTGTTGCAAACAAATTGCAAGTCCAGTGTTTAGTGGGAAGTAAGTGTTTGAATAAATTGTGGTACATCCATACAATGGAACATTCTTTGAACCCTAAAAAAATTAATACATTTGAACCCTCTCAATTGAAAAGTTGGTGAGAAAATATGCAAAGGTATTCCCTGTTTTTAAAAAGCTTTTACAAATACTTATGATTAGTATCTGTTGTCACTTATTGAAAGAATTATAAAGATTTTTATTTCTGTGAGAAAGGGAAATAGTGGTCAAAGTGTGTCTAGCAGTAATAACAACATCAAGAAGTAGCAGGATGACACCACCAAGTTCTTTCTGAACTACTTTATACAGCCTGTATAGCATATCATTCCTGCTTTTAATGTGAGTGTTATTTTAGATTGTGTTTCTTGATATGGTTTTGTAGATTATATTTTGGATCTGATAATGCTCAAAATTTTTTTTGAGTTATATATAAGTTAATTGTAATTGCTTCACTATACCCATAGGAAAGTTTTTCACTTATGAAAGTTTCCATAGAACTTTCTACTTTTAGATAGCAGGGGGATTCCTGTATCTCATATTGTTTTTGTTTTTTAAGCCCTCACCTGCACTGATTCTTTGTGGAAGAATATACAGAAAAATTTAACATGGGGAAAGGGGAGAAAGAGGTAATATTTTTCCAAATTCCTAAAACCCCATTCAGTAATGTAATACCAAAGATTGTGTGTGCACGTGTGAGAGAGAAGAGAGTAAGAAAGAGTACCTATGCACGTTCAAAAGAGAGATAAAAACTATTTTTATACCAAATACAACTGAATGACTTTGGGAGCAATTCTCTGTTGAGTCATGTGGTCTGTGTCAAGAATACTGTTTGAATTATTGAGATAATTTTGATACCTGATTGTATTTAAGAAGAAAGGTTATAAAATGTTACCCTTTAAAACACTTGAAAATACAACTTGTTCATAGATTACTTGTATATGCCTATCAGTCTTTTACAGATGTGGATGACTTTTTCTACAATATTTTCAAAGCTAAATCTGTTGAGTTTTTCATCCTCCCCTGCCCTTCATAGCCTCCTATATGTATATGCATATAATTCAGGAAGCTCTTCCAGAGTCAGTAAATCGCATTATTTCACAGGGCACCTGGAACAAGAATTTTTTTTTTCCACTGCAAATATAGGTGAATGATAGAACAATTATTGTGACTACCTTTTTTTTTTTAAACTCATGTTTAGTTTCATGAATCTGTACTCAATGTATCAGGTATTCTATGTACAGAATTTAAGCAATGCAGGCTATTAGCCCAGGATATGAGCTGAAATAAGTTTTTAAATCTACATTTTATCTGTGGAATCTACTCACCATCTTTGTTTCTGGAATTGTAACATATTTACATCTTGAAATACTTTCACTTTTTCCAGTTCTGCTGTAACTGAACAAGGCTAATTATCAAAATTATGCAGAAGAATTCTGGTGGTAATACATACCAACTTGGGTTCTTTGAATAATGAAACAGTAAGTAATTGTTAATTTATAGTTCTGGTAGTAAAGAAATGAAAGTAAGAGCTTAAAAGGTATACATAATAAGATGTAAAAATGTTGGGAAATTAGTTCTGGGAGATTTCACTTTGGAAGGAAAGTGATTTCCTTTGGATGCTTACTGATAAAGTGGGGTGGGGGAGGGAACAAACTGAGGTAAGGATTATATTTTGCAAATGAAATACTGTACTCCTGAACTGAAAAAAACAAAATTTTATCCGTGAAAGGAATTCACCTCCATACAAAATTACTCTCAGAAAATTTGGGAGAGGATATAAGAGCAATCTATAAAACAAGAAATTCAAGTGAGGAAAATGTAATTGCAAATTCCAACTTGAATTAAACATTAACAAGTGGCAGCTAAGTTCATGGAAGAACACAAGAACTGAGAATTTGTAGGCACAAATATCTTTTTTAATAATAATAAAGAATATCCAATGCTTAAGTGAGGGGAGAGCTATGCATCCTGAGAATGGAACTTGAGTCACAAAGGATTGTTCTCAGGTTTTAAAAACTGAACAAATGGCCTGATTGAATTTTGAAATTGTTTGGCACAATATCTGGCACTTAATCAAAAAACTTCTGGAACATTTATAGAATGATAAAATGTGATTATATCAGTTAATAGAAACAAATGGCAGACACGATAGAATTGGAAAACACTTTAAAACAGATATAATAAATACACATGGGTACTAAAGGAAAAGATAATGAAAAGAAGATAAGATTAAACTTACAGAGCTACTAAACAATACAAAATCTGAATTTAAAAGCTCATTAAGTGGGCATTAATACTGAGACACTTTTTGAAGAAAAGAGCAGAGAATTTTATTGTTGAACTTGCCACAGTAAAACGCTGAAAAAAAATTGGAAAATCCAACACAGAAAAGAACATATGATTTCAATAATAGGTGGCATGTATTTTTTTTTTAAATCCAAGAACATATTTGGAGAAAAATTCCCAAATTTGATGAAAACCATAAACACAGATAGAAGAAAGTCAACATGCCCCAAGCAAGGACACACTACACCACCAGCATACATCCTAATCATTGCTAAAAACTGGTGATGAGAAAATCTTGAGCACATTTTATGCCCAGAGAGAATATCAGACGCTTTCCTCAGTAACTATAATCCAATAGACAGTGGAATGATGAGTTTACTGAAGGAAAAAAATTTGAGTAAGAATTCTATTTCCAATAAAAATATTTTTCATAAATGGAGGCAAAGGAAACCTGTTTTTAGCAAAGGAAGGTGAGAGGATTTGTTGCCAGCACATTTGAGCTACAAGAGAAACACTAAAGGAAATTGTTAAGGCAGGACAACAGAAGTATCTGATGGAAATAGGTCTATATTAAGCAGTGACTTGAAAATAATAATTACTTTAAAAAATTCCTTCCATGTTTCAATAATGACAAAAGAGAAGTGTTTAAACAAAAATAACTATGGTTTGTAGAAGTATATGCATGTAGAAGTAAAATATATGACAATGATACAAAGGGTATATAGTTTCTAGTATCATTACAAAGGTTGTTCTCATAGGTGGAATTCTGTCTGCCCTCATATTTATGTACAGCCCCTAGCAATATGACTGTATTTAAGAAGGCAATTATGGGTAAATGAGATCTCAAGAATGAGGCCCCAGTCCAATATGGCAGGTGTCCTTATAAGAATAGAATACAGGATGGACACACACAGACAAGGGCCATGTGAGGCCTCTGAGTGAGTCATCTGCAAACTGGGAAGAGAGACCTCAGGAGAAACAACCTGTTATATCTTGGCTTTCTACTTCCAATGTCTAGAAGAAGATACATTTCTGTTATTTAAGTTGTCCACTTTGTGGTATTTTGTTATGACAAGCGGAACAAACACAGTGATTATATAATGTGTAGTGTCAGAACAAAAATTGTTACTGGTTAAGATTTGTAACAATTCAAGCTTCAAAAGTACTATTAATAGAATATCTTTTTTACTTTCTGGTTGTCTGTACTGGGTAGCCAATTGCAGCAAGTCCTTGAATAACATCCTTTCATTGAGATGAAATACCAGCCAAACTCCTTGATCAAAAAGAAATTATTCAATGACCTGTCCTCATTACACTGTCCATTCTTTTGATAAAGTCAGTTTTAAGAAACTATTATCTATTTTAGTTGAGAATTTACTGTACCTTCCTCAACTTAGTGACTTTCAATTACAACCATTTTTAATTAGTATTTCTTGGTTTTTGTTAGGCAGCCATTCAGAGTGGAGTCATCTGGACAATTCTGCTCCATGTGAATTCAGCAAAAATTGATCAGTAATACTTGTTTGGCAATGTATAGCAAGTTAAAAGGCCCAAAAATTCATTCACATGTGTTGAGGATGATCAGAAGGCTAGGGTTATCTTTATGAATAGTATCAGATTTCCCATGTGGTCTCTCCAGTAGAGTTCAAACTTCTTACATGATGGTTTAGGATTAGGATTTTAAGTGAATGTTCCAAGAAGTGGAAAATTGAAGAGGCTAATCTCTTAACCCTGGGTGTAGACACATGCAGAGTATCATTATATCATCTTTTACCAGTCAAAAATTTGCAGAGCCTATCCAGATTCAAGAGAAGGGGACATAAACTCATCTCTTAATAGGAAGAGTGTCAACAAACTTAATATTTGTTAAAAATCTGCCACAATTTGCCCTCTGCTCACTATGTTCTTTCTCCTCCCTAGAACTCCAAAATTTTTATCCTAATGCTCATCAAGGTCGGGCTTACACTCCAGAATTGCATCACCTAAGTAAGGTACAGGAATTTATGTGGCTCCTTGAATATGTTCCTTTTTAGTATAAAGACCTAGGAATAAATGAGGCAAATTATGTGCCTCCCACACATCAAATATGTAATGGGAGACAGAGATAAAAGACTTATGGCTTGTTCTGATAGGGGGAAATAAGAGTCACAATATAGTCCCGGGCCATTAAGATTACGAGATTTTGGCTGGGTACATGTCACCAGTTCCTTGAGTAATCCTATTACTTGAAAGTAATTAATAACTCTTGTCTCTACCATCTGGGCCTCAAGTTTCCACTTCCGAGTCATCCTTCCCCTCTCATAAAAGTAGACTGTATTTTTAACTGAGGAAATTTCACAGCCTGGCCAGATAAGTTAGAAGGTTCAAAGGACTCTAGTTTGTATTATTCCTGTTTCTTAAAGTTCAATCTAGTAAAATTGCTTTACAAACCTCTGGGTTTCTTATATTTAAACTATAATCCAGTCACTAGACAAAAGATATCCAAGTTTTTTCTAAGATAAGCCCATACCACTTATGAGTTTGCTGCGATAGATCCCCTTCAGATATTTCAGAGTCCATTGTAATACCAAAAGGATCTACAGCGCATAAATCTTCCTGAGATCTTTACAAAGGCCTTAAACCACACCGTTCATTGGGTCTTTACTCAGATAATTTGTAGTCCCTGTAAGGATAGATTTTTCTTTTCTTTCTTTTTTTTTCTTTTTCTTTTTTTAAAAACAGATTATTCATTTATACATACAGAACTTGGGTACAGGCCAGAGTGCTGCAGTGAGGGGACTCAGCAGAAACAAGAGTGAGGAGCAGATCAGGCAGATGGATGAAGTACACTGCTGAGGGGAGCAATGGGTGAGAGGAGAGGTTTGCTGTGCCATGTGGGTCAGCTCTGGGGCCAGGAATCAAACACACACTGAAGCAGTTTTGGCTCACTTGCAGTGCTGTGCTTTAACCCACTGATCTACCAGGGAGGGCCAGGATGGATTTTTCAAAAAAAAATTCCATGAGACCACTGAGAATGTAGGGCAAGACCCAGGTGTGTGTGAGTGTGAGAGAGATACAACAAATTTTCACACCAACTTTACCATGAAGATTGGTAACTAGCAGGAAAAGTGAGGCTATTGAAAGAGTCTTAACTAACTAGGTGAGGATGATGTATTTTTGAGAATTCCAGGGCAAGTGTGGGATCCTTTCTTGTTTAAAAGCAACTAAAGTATTGCCACCTTAGACTAGCATTTTGTGGATGTAAGTATGCAAAAGAAGTCTATCAATAAAATTTTAGAATTTTAGACTATATAGTAAAAGAGTTGAATTGTACAGTCAAAAACATGACAAAAAAATCTTTGGCCCTCCCTGGTGGTGCAGCACTATGAAGCTCTCCACAGCCACTGCAACCTGAGTTTGATCCCTGGCCAGGGAGGTGAACCACATAGCATGGCAGACCTCTCCTGTCCTGCCCACTGTTCCCCTCAGGAGTGTACTTCAGTCAATCTGCCTGTTCTGCTCCCCACTCTGTCTCTGGTGAATCCTCTTATCCCTTGCACTGGCTTGCACCCCAGTTGTTATATGCATAAATAAATATTTTAAAAAAAAAAACTGA